TAATTACTAGTTATATTAAAAGGCAAGGGGGGTTATAATTACCTATAATTTTTAGTATTATTAGCCTTGCAGGCAAGTTTTTATAACATATTATATTTAATTATTAATAAAAAGTTTATAATAAGTTTAAAATAACTATATTATATTAACTAATAATATTATAAGATTTTTTTAAATTATAAAGCTAAACCTTTTAATAGCTTAAATATTATTTTAGCTAGGAACTTTTACTAGCTACCTTTAGTTAGCTAAAGCCCTTTTTTAAGGCCATGTTTTTACTTATAAATAAATAAAAAAGGCTAGTTAGTATTTATATAATTAATTTAACCTTATTATTAAGCTAGATATTATTTATTATTAAATTATAAGCTTTTAAATAATTTATATATTTATTTTTATACTAAAGTGCTTAAAAAAATATTATTATAATAAAAAATTAAAAGCTTTTTATAATATAAGTATAGGTTAAGTTACCTGCGGGCAAGAGTAATACCTTTATAAATATAATTTATATATATAAAAAAAAAGATAATATATACTAGTATAATTATAATTATATATTAAATTTTAGTAGGCCTGTAATTATTTTATAGGCTAATTATATTAAATTTAATATTATAATTATAAAAATAAACTAGGCTAGAAACCTAGTTAAAAAGCTTATGGTTTTTTTAGCTATTATATTATATTAATATAAAATATTTAAATAAAAAAAGGTTTTATAAATAATACTATGGGCATGTTAATAAATATTATATAATTATTAAAAACTATAAATTTTACTTAAAAGGCACTGCTTGCTTTAATAATAACTTTTAACTAGTATAATAATTTATATATTAAAAAAAATAATAACTATAACATAATGCTAATTTTTTATATAAGGTAAGACTTTTATTACTATAATATTATTTATACCTATATATAGTTCCTGGCTATATTAATATATATAATAATAATTTATAAGGCTTAAAGGGTTATTATTAAATAAGCTATCCTAAACCTTATTATATATAAAAAATTTTTACTAAATTTTATATACATGGCTATATCGCGTGTATAGTTACTTAAAAAATTATTATTTAAAAAACCTTTTGGCTATAACTAATTAATTAATAGCTTATTTAATACTAAAAAATAAAGGTATAAAAATGGTTATTTAAGGCACTGCTAACATGTATTTACTATAATTATAAATAATATTTTTTATTATAAAAGTAATAATAATATAGGTATAAATTTAAAAATAAAATAATAATTTAAATTAGCTTTATTAACTAGGGTCTAGCCCTATAAATATTAATTATTTTTTAATAACTTTTTATTAAAATTATTTAATAAACCAAGAAACTTATTCCTACCTTTTTTTTATTAATAAACCTACTTTTTTTTATAAACTTAATTATAATACTAAAATATATTTTAATAAATACCTTTTAAGTAGTAACGGACGCGTTTTTTTAAGTAATTATTATATTAAATAAGTTATAAAGTTACTTAGCGCGGCCGCGGGTTTATAATTAGGCTAAGGTTAATATTTAAATAAATACTTAATTATTTATTAAGTAATATTATAACTACTTTATAGCATAGTTATTATTTTTTTTTAATTTTATATATATTTTTTTTTATAGCACGGGCGGCGGCGGTAGTGTTTTTAATATTAATTTTTAAGTTATTATAGTTAGTTACTAGCTTTGCGGACTATTAATTAGGGTATTTATTATAATAATTATAATATTTATTTTTTAAGGTATAATAATAGTTAGCACAGGCGCTAAATAGTAACCTATTAATAATAATATAATTTATAAATAATTTATTTTTTTTATATATTAAATACAGGGCGTAAAAAGGTACTTTTTAATAATTTATATTATAATTACCTTTATATTATTAAGTAATATAAAGGTGGCTTTCAGGCGCTTAACCTATAACTTTAGCTTTTATATTAATAATATTTTAGCTAGTGCTTGCTAGTAGTAGTTACTTATAATTTTAATATAATTTATAATATATTATATAATTAGCATGCCAGGTAATATTTTTATAATAAAATATAAAAATATAATAAATAATATAATTATAAATTATTTTTTATAATAATATACTAAAAAATAATATAATTAGGTTTAATTTTAAAAGGTGGCCATGTTAATATATAACTTAATATTATAAAATTAAGTTTTAAATATTATAAAAATTAATAAGGTAATAGTTATTTATTATTTATTAAAAGTAAAATATAGCTTAAATAATAATAAAACAAGGCCATGGTATTTAATAAATAAGTTATAAATTATAATAATATATTTTAAGTAAGGCTTTTAAAATTATTAAGCAATTAATTTTATTAGTTTAAAGTTAAATAAAAAGTATTAATAAATTAAAATAATATTAATACTTTATTAAATACTTACCTTTAAATACTAGATTTTTGCTTATGGTTTATATAAGCTATTTTTAATAATATTTATGGTTAACTATACTTAATAAATTATAATAAATTTAATTTTTTTTATTATTAGGGTCTAGCCCCAGGAAAAATAAATTAAAAAAAACTACTTATTTATTATTATTATTATATTTAATATTCTTAAAACTAGCTTTATTAATAAAATTATTTATTATAAAAATTATAACATGGGATAAGGCAACTAGCCCAGCTATAATAATATTAAAGTTTATTATTATTATAATTATAAGTTAGTATAAGCAGCAGGTAAACTAAATAATATATATAGGCAGGGTAGTAATATTTACTTTTTTTTTATTTTTTTTTGTCCGCGACCTTTTTAGCCTTCTTTTTTTTATTTTTTTAGCCTTTTTTTTTCTCTTTTTTTATCTTATTATTATTATTATTATTATTATTATTATTATTACCTAGTATAGGAGCTAAATATATTAGCTAATATATTTATAAATAAATAAAAATTATAACTTATATTTATTAATACACCGCGTACCTAAATTATTTTAATAATAATTTATATAATTATTACTAAAATAGCCTAGTATAATAATATACTTTATAAATAGCTTATAGCCTTAGGTATAATATTTATAAATTATATTATTTTTAATAGGCATGTTAATATATTACTTAATAATAACTTTTTAGTTAACAGGGCGGGCTATAATTTTTTTATTATATTAATTTTATTAATAAGCTTGTAAAGCACAAGCTTATGTTATAAATAATATAATTATTTATAAAGTTTTTTTAAAACTACTAATTTATGGCTTAAATAATTTATTATATTAATAATATAGGCTATTAGCAGCTAGGTTAATATAAAAATAAATAAATAAAAAAGCATGTAAAAAAAAAGTGGTATTATTATTATTTTTAATATTAGTTATTATAATAAAAAAATTTAAAAAATTAAAAGTTTATAAATTATAAGTTTATATAAGCAGGCTATATACTACTTATATAATTTATTTTTTTATTATTTTTTAAATACCTTTATTAAATTTATTATTATTATAGCTATTAAAAAAAGTGTTACTATTTAAAATAAGTTATTAATAAAAGTATTAAATATTAAATAGGCTATTAATAATAATATTTTTAATATTTTAGGCAGGATAAACTTTATTTTAGCCTTGTGTATTACTCCCGGTATTAAAGCTTGCGCCCTAGAAATAACAGGACCTACGTTACTTATAAATGATGGGCCGTTTGTATAGGGGGGTGTTGGTAGTATACGAATATCCAATCGCAAATTAGGAGTGGATCAAATCCTTCCGATCCTTCCCTTATTCTCTTCCTCTGCGGCAGGGCACTATTGTATATAAACTCTTTGAATTTTCCGCACTGGTTGTCGTGGCCTTTATTTGAAAGCATCCCAAGTCATTCTGGCTTTTTACGTCTATTCTCGCGCTTTCCTAATTAATCTATCCTTTGCCACTGTATCAGTGCCCGTCTCTCTTAGCTCGCCCGCCACCAATATCGTGCTCCGAGACACCTTGCATCCGTCATCTCCATGCAACAACCAATGAATCTCAACGTCTCTGAGTCGACGGCGCCCGTCATAGAACCAAACTATGACTCCTATTGCTTCCAACCATATTTTCCTTTCGCAACTGCCCAAGCACAGTGTTCTGCTGGCATTCAAACCGCCCTACCGCATAATTACCAACAAATACAATGGTTCTCCGCTGCCGACCCGACCGTGTGGTTGGTTCCGCAAGCGGGACAGATCCCCGCCGCTAGGCATCCCGCAGCGGTCGGGAACGTCAATCTTCCCCCGGCCCCTCCCGGTGGCCCGCCCCTGGGGCCCGGCTACCAATTCCCCGATTCAGCGACTCCATTGCAACCGCCGCTCCGCAGGTTCGTCGACCCAATTGCGCCGTCATTTGGCCCTCGCCAGGAGAATGGCATTGATATCCAAAACACCCGACATCCTTCGTGGGTCCTGTGCATCCCACTGTCGTAACATGCGCTAACTAGCATGGTCTTCTGCAGGATCTCCCATGCGACGGACGCCCCGCTTCTCCGCTGTCAGTGGGTTGGTTGCACGAGCTCAACTACTTTTGCCAGGGTCGGCGACCTGGTACGCCATTTGAAGTCGGTACACATCGCTCCCGGCGCCTTTCCCTGCACAGAGCCCAGCTGCTGCAGCCGCTTTGGCCGGAAGGATCATCTTGACGCGCATGTTAAGAACCATCATAGGAAATAAGCTAGATTGCTCAATGAGGTTGAATTGATCTTGGTTTCCATTCAGGTTGCGGTTCACGTCCGGTGTTAGTTCATCTGCTCTTTGCTTTCAATTGAGCTGTATGGTGGACTAGGCTATATGCCGTGCCTGCCATACTGTATTGACCAGGCTTACCGTTTCTAGAACAATGTGGAATATTTATTTGTGGGGATTTGTAACGCGGTTCCATTAATCATCAAAATGATTTTCCGTTGTAATAAATAAAGCAATACAAACTCAGACTGCGGACCATTAGACTCTCAATCTCATCCAATCCACCATTCTCAGCAGCTGACATCAGAGATCATCGCAGAATCCCGACTTCAACGGCTGCGGGTCCTCCAATACCGTCTCGCCAATATGGACCGTCCAGTATCCACCTTCAGTACCCGAGAAGCCACAGATCGCGCCGCCTGGGTTATATATCTTGGTTACTGTCGTGAGGTTGTCTGTTTACGGCCTCATGAGCAACAACTCGAAGATACCAAGGGTTATACATACCGATCTCAAAAGAACTCAAGTCCGTGGGGAGGGTCTGGCTCCAAGAGCCGGTCTCGGTGTAGAACGTGATGGTGATGGAGTCGATGGCGCGCTTTTCGGGGTAGACTGCATTGGCTCGGGCGCTGGGGCTTGCGGAGGCAAGCATCGCCAGAGAGGCAATGGCAAGGGCTGCGAGACGCATTTTGGAAACGGTCAGATAGACAAATGATTGAGCTGGGAATGAATAGTTGGCGGTTGAGGGTTCGGGTTCGATGGTGTGAATGTAGTCCACTTAGCGCAGAAGACATTGGGCTTTATATATTCCGTCCACGGGTCTGGGTCTATTTTTACCTTTCAGTTCAGGTCAGTGGATAATATGCATATGCAAACAGAATCCGTATCAGGAGGCAAGGAGCGCTCGCAAGCATGTCTTAAACTCTGCATAGCAGCGTATCTGCATGCATTGATGCGATTGGTCCCGAGGATGATCGCAAGATGGATGATCGGCATCAGGGGGCTGTGCTAAGACACCAATCGAGATCGGATTCCATAAGGCGGCCCGTCAAGGCCATGGCTGTGTTGGATGGAGATGAAACAGTCGCAGTGAGACTGACGTTACTCTTGTTGATTACATGTTGACTATGTACAGATGGCCACGCATCCTCATCTAATACAACCGCCCGCAAGCGAAGTCATTCTCAGTTTAGTCCAGAACCCTCCCTCTCCCTTAGTCGCCTCATCCATGTCGGCTTTCAAGACGGGATTGATGCCCTTGGCTCTCATTTTCTTTTGCTTTTCGATTGGGATCTTGTGGACTGGGTGGTCTTTGCTGAGCTCGTGAGAGGTATATTGGTTGGAGGGAGTGACGCCCCAGGAGTAGGAGGAATCCGGGAGTGTGTTAGGGCTTGAAGTTGAGTTGGAACCCATGGTCACAATGATGATTCCGGTTCAATAGAAGTATGCAAGTCAGCAACATCACACGACGGCTATCCTAGTACATGGCGTTTAACTATACAAGCCAGGTCGCTCGTCGGGCACAGGGGGCAGTGCTGATATGATGCCACTTCCCCGCGCAGCCCTAACCGATCACGCCCGGCCTGGTCGTGGGGGATACATTTTGGCCTTGGGATAAGGTTAGTATTCAGGCTTATGTGCTAATGATATTCCCTCTGTTTGAATAGTGTTCCAACTCGTCTAAGTTACTTAGCTTTGGCTGGGTATGTGCATTATGTTTGCCCATGTTGGTAAATCAAACGGTGACCGTTCACTCTGCTTGCAGTCATATCAGATCAACGATATATTTTGAGACACTGCTCCCTAACCAGATCCAAAATTCCATTTTATTATGCAATCCGGCTACTCATACCAATTTCCATTAGCCATTGAGTACCCCCAGCCCTATCAGACATGACTACCAAGCGTCGACCCCCCATCAACAACAAGCCCCTGCCCCGTGATATAGCTGAACCGATCGCTGCATAGGAAGACAACAGCATCCGCAACCTCCTCAACATTCGCAATTCGGCCCATCGGATGCATCTTGGCCACAAGCTCTGCTAGGTTACAGTCACTCTCAATCGCAGCCGTTACACCGGGCGTGTTCACGAACGACGGACAGACGGCGTTGACACGGATGCCGTGGGGGATATTATCCAATGCTAAATGGCCATTGTTAAAATCCGCTGGGCAACAGAGAACTTTCTGTGAACGCTTACCAGCGGTCTTGACCATCCCAACAACAGCATGCTTCGCCGCCGTATACGGCGCTACATCGCGCATTCCAACATACGACGCCGCAGAGCCCAAGACAACGATCGAGCTGCGCGTGGAGCCCCGATCATCGCCTAGTACGGACGTCAAGCGCCTCGGCCTCTGCTTCTTCATCCGCGCGCAGCGGGCAGCGAAGGACTCCATGGTGATGACGCCGCTGATCACGCCTTGGTCGTATCCGAAGAGCAATCCACCGAGGGTCGAAAACTACACGCCCTGGGTCAGGACACAGTGGTTCTTTGCTGAGGCACAGGGACATACCGAAGCCACGCCACATAGATAGGGGTTCTGCAGGACGAGGCTGAAGCCGCCCTTCGGCGGGCCATCTGCGATTGATCCCATGGCGCCAAATCTCGACTTCGGCGTGAGCTTGGTCTCTTGGTAAAGCATGGCAGGCTAGCTGGGCTTTATAGGGGATCACCGTGCTGGTGTGAGCCGAGGAGTGCTGAGGGCCAGCCAATGATGACAATGGAAGGGCGAAGATCGGCCTGTTTGGGGTCGTACTGCGATGCGTACAACGCGGGGAAGGGGCCATCAGTCGGAGCTCGTCCGACCTGGGCCAATGCATGTCGACCCCCACCCCAGGTTGCCTGCAGGAAAGCTGCAGGTCTTATGCGGTCGGTGGCTTGCGACAGTGATGGATCCGGTTGATATCCCTCGGCCATATCGAGAACTATGGTATACTGGCAACAGTGGACAATCCCGTTCTGCTATTGCTGTTCTGAAACAAAAATAAACACATTCGACCTAATCTCTACTAAATACGTCCACGCGATCAGGCAGTGCCATTCCCCGGCAAAGGAAACTCCTCAAGCACCTGGACATCCCCCGTAATCTCAAACGCAGCGGTCGGATAGTTCTCGTTCACGTCCACAAGAAGCGTATACTTCCCGGGATACAGTACAACCCTCCCATCCTCGGTCCCCCTCGCCAGCGGCGCAACCGTCACTTCCACATCAACCTTCCTCGTCTCGCCGGGTCTGATCTCACTAGCCCTGCTGTATCCAACAAGAACCTTGATCGGGCCAGTCTCAGGTCCAACATCAGGGGCACTGGCAAACACCAGCGCAACATAGTCGGATGGCACATTACCAGTATTGGTGACAGCAAGGGAGAACGTGTCGACCACGTTCGAGTCAGGATAGTCGCCCGCCGCGAGTGTCGAAGCATCATACGGACCGAACTCGCTCTTCGCCCACGAGACATTGAACGTCGTATAGTGCAGACCGTATCCGAACGGGAGCACGGCGTCCTCATACCACCGGTACGTACGTCCGGGGTTGTTCGGCCCAGGACGCAGGTTCATATCTGTCATGGTGACCTCGTCGACGTAGGCTTTGGGGTACTGTGTGATGGGTAGACGACCTGCAGGCGCGACCTTGCCGGTGAGGACATCGAAGACGCCCGCGCCGCCAGACTGGCTGGGATATCCGACCCAGATGATTGCGCCGACGCCGTCAGATGCGAGCAGCGCAGAGTCGTCGACCTGTCCGCCGCCGAATTGCACGACTGTCAGTGGTTTGCCGGTATCAGCTAGTTCCAGGATAACGTCTTCCTGGTTCCCGGGCCAGTCAATGCGCGTGCGGTCAAGGGACTCTTCTTCGATGGTCAGGTCGATTCCGCCGAAGAAGATCACGGCGTCGGCTTGCGCGGCGATGTTAAGAGCGTCGGCGAAACCATCCGTGCTTGTCGAGTTGACTTCTGTGCCCTGGGCCGTGAGAACGTTGTACCCTAGTGCCGCGGCAGCCTCGATCATGGTCGGGATGTACCTCGCCGGACCGGCGTAGTTGCTCTGCAGCTCGGTGGTGTAGTTAATAAACGGCCCTATAAGCGCAAGCGTCCCATTTCCTTCCAACGGCAAGACGCCATCGTTCTTCAGCAAAACAGTCCCCTGCGTCGCAACCCTCCTCGCCAGATCCTCCGCCTGTTTTGTAGCAACATCCTCCCACCCTATCCCCCTGAACTGCTGGTCCTCAGCAGGATCAAAGTACCCCAGCTGCACAAGACTCGTGTACAGCCTGGTCAACGCCGTATCCAGCGTCTCCTCACTAACCAGTCCCTGCTCCTCCGCCTCACCAAGGTACGTAGGCAACCACGTCCCACAGTCCAAATCAACGCCCGCATTCATCGCCGCAGCTGCAGCTTCCGCGCCTGTCTCGACGTAGTGGTGCTCCGTCTGGATGCGCTCAATCGCCCCACAGTCCCCGGTAACCCAATGCCCATCCCCCTCCCACCCCCAGTGCTCCCGCAGCACGGTCTGCAGGAGATAGCCGTCCGCACAAGCCGGCACCCCATTGAGCGCATTATAGCTGCACATAAACGCGCCGACATTCGCGTCTACCGCGCACGTCTTAAAGGGGGGGAGATAGTACTCCAGCAAATCGACGATTGAAACCCGCGCATCAAACTCAAACCGGCTAGTCCCGCCCCATTCCTCCAGGTCGTAGGCCGCGAGGTGCTTGCATGTCGCGAGGACCTTGGGATGCTCGGCGTCCCCCTGCATCCCATCCACGAACTGCTTAACGTACCGCGAGCAATGCAGCGGATCCTCACCCGGCGTTTCTTGGCCTCGTCCCCAGCGCGGATCCTTAAACGGGTTGACGTTGGGCGTCCAGTAGTCCAGACCTGCATGGTCTGAGTTCGAGAACGCGCGCGCCTCCGTGGAGATTATGGCTGCGACTTGGTGGACAAGGGCATCGTTGAATGCGGCGCCGAGGACGATGGGGGCTGGGAAGGACGTCGCGTAGCTGTACTCTCCCGACTCCTCGAAGGTAACGCCGTGCTTTGCGGCGACACCGTGCAGGGCCTCGTTCCACCAGTTGTAGGGCGGGAGGTTGAGACGGGGCGCGCCGGCTGCTTCGTGGGCTGTGTTGTTGATTTTCTCGGGGAGCGTGAGGGCGGAGACGAGGGATTGGGCGCGGGCCCGGGGGGGTAGGGTTGTGTTGCAGATTGGCAGGGTGGAGAGGGGGCCGGTTGTGCAGTCTGGGTAGGTTGATTGGCAGAGGGCTGGTAGGATGAGGGGGTAGAAGGTGGCAAGATGGCAGGTCTTGAGGAAGAGCATGGTGGTTGAGGTGATTTTCTTATGTACTGGATCCAATGCTGGTGGGTGGGTGCGTGGGGTGTGCAGGTGCCAGGTATTTATGCACCATTATCTGCACCCTTGCTATCGTAACCGGCTGGTTTTTCTTTAGCACATACACAAACAGGCTATACTGCCCAGCTAGTCCCTCATTAGAGAAGAAAACTCGACGATCCCCATGCGTCAAACAGGAAATCAGGCTGTTACCCCGCCGGATCCGCAGGTGCAGGGGGGTCGGGGTAAACTCCGGCTATTTATTCAAGTATTATGTGCGGGCTGGGCTGGGGTTACTCTGTGGTAAGCTGAAGAACCGGGAGGATATATAACGCCAAGATGCAGGAACACATTGAAACACTGTTCTGAGGATGTTGATCATCTGCAAGTCAATATATATCTTCCTCCAATGGGGCTCGATGGGTAAATACTTACTTGCCACTCTGACTCAAACAGTGCAACCAAATAAGTCGAAGGGATTCAGTATCATAGTTTCATGAGTCATGATTCTTGTCGGGCATACTGTGGGCAAAGTACCCTAGGACCGGGGTGGTATCGCACCTTCCTAGGTATGGTGAACCCAAATTAGGGCTAATTTTAGACCCGAGACCAACAGAGTCCACTAGACGGCAACCTTGCCCACAAAGGGGTATGAACACAATTGGAATGAGAAGAGCGTGCGTTGATGTAAGAAAACAGACAATGAATCACTGGAATAGGAATAATGCATGACATATAACAAAACAAAATGACGGAGCGCGGACCACGCACATCCATTCGATTCACTACAGATAAGTTGTACCAAGATAAAGATTAAGGCAGGTCAGACCCGATTCGCGTTCCAAGCACTGGGTGTATACAAAATATACGCATTGCATCGGTGGATTGGACGTGAACATCGCAACCTAACACCAATACAACCTCATATAGGCTTTGAACCCCATGCTCCGGCCGAATTTGCCGACACATGGAGTCGCGCATGTTTCCGACCATGACCACTTCTTGCTAGGCGATCTGAGCTCTCCCTGGTCGTTCTCAAAGCGTGAATCTGCATCTACTCGGCTAGGTATCTGCAACAGCGCCACCTGGCTACGTATTCGCGGTGGAGCATCCTCTTTAGGCTTCGAGCTCGATGCATACAGAGAACGCCAGCCCGCCGTAGGTCAATTCCGACCGTGGTCAAGGCCGTAAACTCAAGCTCTGGAGTTTGCTTGTATTCAGTTAATGTTCTATCGATATGTGGTCTAATCTCGCCCAGGCTTCCTTGTGGTATTATTCATGTTCTGCTTGTTAGGTTCTACGCATCACTGCTCAGTGTTAGCCGGGACTCGCAGACCGGCGCCTCACAAGACAGTTGATCCAGCCTGCAGGCTTCCTAGCATAGGCAGTGCGTTTTGGTTACCTTCCAGTCATGGATCAGAAGAGGATGCGGTATTGACGGGTGGATCTTGTGTTACAGCGGTTTCACGAGGGGCAATAGCAATCACCAGCGGGTGGAAAACATGCCATACTCTATATTCCAAATCGTCGACAGTTCTGAACAGGTAGCATTGGCTCAGGGTACAGAATGCTGGATACCAAAGATCATTTGAAGCAGAGCAGCGACGGAACTACGATGGGACCGACGAAAACCGGTGCGAGGTTGCGGTTGGGTAGGGATGCCGCAAACAAAAGGGCGATGGAAACAGTACTATGATGAGTACCTAAGGGATTGGCGGAAAGGGCACGGCTATCTCCTGCCCACGCCGGCTCTGTTGCTCAGACGGTACTAAGATAGGACACTATCAGGGCGCAGTGTTGAAAAGAAGTTGGGATAGATATAGGCCAGGGTTTGTTAAATTACGTCACCCAGAACCCCCGATGGTGTAGTTGGTTTATCACGTCTGACTGTAATAGCAATTGTCAATCAGAAGGTCGCTGGCTCGATTCCGGCTTGGGGGATTGGTATTTTCTTTTTATGCTTCTCTTTTTGGTTCCTGTCTGGACAGAAGTAAGAAACCGATGGGGGAAGACAGTGGCGAGGCACGGAATCACTTACATGAGGGCGGTGCCCATTGCATTCCGCAGTCAAAGTCGCCTTGCCTTGTAAGTGATTCGCTTTTTGAATGGATTCTGGTACGGAGTATTGTGTAAGGTCTGGGCTATAAGGCATGTGATTGGCGCAACCCGGCAGCAACCCCCGATGGTGTAGTTGGTTTATCACGTCTGACTGTAAAAGAAATTTGTCGATCAGAAGGTCGCTGGCTCGATTCCGGCTTGGGGGAGTGATTCTATTTTTTCTTTTTGCTTCCTGTTTGACCGAGGTTTCGGAACGCTCGGGGAAAGCATTTGGGAGACACAAAATCTTCAAATCAGTATTGTAAACGGGAGGGCAGAGCCTATTGCATTCCGCAGTCAAAACTCGCCTTATTGTAAGTTGTGAGTATGCTCTTTTCCGAAGGAAGCCAATTTGGGCTGTAAAGCTTTTTTTTGACCATGATAAGGCCTTTTTTTTCACTGTAATATCAACAACCCCCGATGGTGTAGTTGGTTTATCACGTCTGACTGTAATAGTACCTACTATTGTATTTCAATAGTAACTTTGTGATCAGAAGGTCGCTGGCTCGATTCCGGCTTGGGGGATCTGTTCTCTTTTTTGCTTTTTGCTGCTTGGCCGACAGACTCGGGACCGGTCCACGGTCGCGCACTGCCGCCTCACGGCCCTCACCATGGGGATTTTCCCCTTTTAAGATAGATATTGCGTTTGGTAGAAATGCCTGTGGGTAACTGCGTAGTATGCTGCATTCCAAAAATATAGGGACTAGGGACAAGTGGGTTGGTTTGCGCACATGCAGAGATATATTTCCATGCTAGTCCAAGTCTTAAGGTTGAGTTTCTTGACCCTCTCTCCCTGCTTTCCGCGGCCAAACGCAATGTCAAGGCTATCATAAAGTAAATTCCCACCTCGCATGCTTAATCTCAGCGGACAACATAACGTCCCTGATACGACTGAACTCCTTGAACCCCTCGCTGTCCGCAAAAGAAAAGTGCTCGTCCACAGCCTCCCACCCGGAAAACAGCACGAATTCCTCGTCCCGATCAACGCTCCACCCCCAAGCTATATCCCTCTGCCTCTTAAAAGTCTCGAGGTGATGTCTCGTCTCCGTAAAATCCCTCTCAAAACCATCTTTGTTCTCACTGGCGACAAAATACCGCCCGATTCCGACAACAGCGTCCGAGTACGGGATCCCCTCATCTTGGCCACGTGTCTGTGAGTCATCGAGCGCAAGATGCTGGACCCAAACAACCTCAATCCCATCGCCCAACGCAGCCATGATTTCCTGGTTTTTCGACGACGGAACCCACTCCTCCATGTGCTGCGCGACCGAGGCCCATCTTCCGACGATGTAGATGTAGCTGGGCTCTTCGATCTGCGAGAGGAGCGAGGTCTTGGCGTTGGTGTACTCGGCCTGCGCTGTTATCCCCGCGCGGAGGGCTGTGTACAGCGATGCATTGGTGGGGTGGGTGAGGGGGAGGTTGTTCTTTAGATGTAGGCAGGCGAGCTCGGTGACGGGCATTTGGGATAGTATGGTCTTGTTGGAAAGGGTGGGTGGCAGCCGGATACCGACAGGCTGAATATATACGGCTTCGGAGATAGCGGAGTTTGTACCTGCGGCTTTGCCTAGGTCTGTGACTTGGTGGGAGTCGTACGGGCAGCTATTTGCTACATATCCTTGTATTATTATTGTAAAATAATGATGGAAGCAACCTTAATATCAGAAGACGCGTTGTGAGTCCGCACTCGAAGTATACCCTATATCGAGGAAGACGGACTGCGGGGTCGGATAACAGCGCCCGGTCCGAGGTTCATTTCATCGAAGTATTAAACACTCCTCTATCTGTGCTACATAGGTAGAAACATCAATCTCAACATGTCCGACCTCCCCGGCTTCAAAGACTACTTCAACCTCACCGGCAAAGTCGCCCTGGTAACAGGAGGTCCGCCCCTACCTCCCATACAAGTTCCTCCGCATACTAACAGCCCAGGATCCCGCGGCATCGGCCTGCACATCGCAACATCGCTGCTCCTCGCCGGCGCCAAAACCGTCTTCATCACCGCCCGCAAGACCCCAGGCGTCCAGCAGGCCGTCGCCCAACTCAACGCCCTCCCAGGCATCAAAGGCAAAGCGATTGGGATCCCCGCGAGCGCCGCCGAAACCGCCGAGATCGAGGGCCTGGTCGCTAAAGTGAAAGAGGTCGAGCCGAAGCTCGATATTCTGATTGCGAATGCTGGCGCGACCTGGGGTGGGCCGTTTGAGGCGAGCCCGGACTGGGCGAGCAAGAAGGTCGTTGATTTGAACGTGAGGGGGGTTTTTAACCTTGTGCGGTTGTATGTTTCACAAAACCAACCCATCAGACCAAAACCCTAGCTAACGAGGTATGGCAGATTCACCCCCCTCCTCACCCTCGCCGGAACACGCACCTCCCCCTCGCGCGTCGTAATCGTCAGCTCCGTCGCCGGGTCCGTCGTCAGCCACATCGGCAACAACGGGACGATCATGTACTCGATCTCCAAAGCCGCCGCCACCCATCTAGCGCGGAACCTAGCCGTTGAACTCGGGCCTCGGAATATCACGACAAACAGCCTCAGCCCGGGCTTCTTCCCGTCGAAGCTGGCGAGCGGGCTGATTGAGATTCTGGGCGGCGAGAGCGAGCTTATGAAGGCGAATCCGAGGCAGAGGCTGGGCGTGCCGGATGATGTTGGGGCTGCAGTGCTGTTTCTTGTTGGGCCGGGGGGGAATTATGTGTGAGTTTTGCTTTTGCTTTGCTTTGCTTTGCTTGTTTGGATTCAATGGGATGGGATGGGTGGATCGCTAATGGTGTTCTAGGAATGGGATTGATCTTACGCTGGATGGGGGGAGTAGTCTGACGAGGGGTGGGATGGCGCAGGTGAAGTTGTAGATCCATTGTCTCCCACAAGGTATCTTGGCCGACCGAGCGACCTTCATGGCATGTTCGAGGTGGTATATGTATGGATGTTTGGAGGTATTGCTTGTTTGCGGGTAATGGATACACCTTAACCCTAACTTAGTCTTTGTTTCGGCCAGAGAGCAGACACTGGTAATGTCATACAAAACATCTGGATTGAATGCCGCCCTCAAAACAACCATTGACGCACCCAGTCCCTAGACCCCAGCTCTATCGGAGCCATCCCACCAGCAACCCCTCACCCCGACTTGGCGTAGATATTCTTCCACCACTCAGATAGCTCCATAGACAAGCTCATCGCATTGATATACTGCTCCTCCCTCTGTAAGTGTCCCAGGACATTCAAATCCCTCGTCGCTCTCAAATTCAAGATTACCCCCACAATGTCCCTCCAAACCCACGCCGAAGCCCTAACGACCTCCCTCGCCCAAGCGGGCCTCATCTCAGACTCCGCAGGTCTAATCCCCAACGCATTCACACCAACAACCGAACTAGCCGTCAAATTCGGCGAGAAAGCCGTTGAGCTAGGCAACCTATTCCGCGTCAGCGAGGTGAAATCCGCGCCGACGCTTTCGTTCGAGAACGAGGTACGTATTGCTTACCTTCAACAGCAAAACAATCAGAGAGTAAGTATATTTGCTAATAAAACGCTTAGGCCGATGTCCCAGAAAGCCAACTCTACACCCTCCTCCTAGTCGACCCCGACGCGCCAACACCCGACGACCCGAAATTCGCGTTCTGGCGGCACTGGGTTGTGTCTGGGCTCACGGCCGCTGAGGGGCTAGGTGCGGAGTCTGCGAAGGTCTTGACAGAGTATCTGGGGCCGGGGCCGAAGGATGAGTACGTTCACCATGCCCTTTCTTTTATATTTGCTTTTCTGGATGAGATGCTAATGGTTGTGGTATTTGTTGTAGGTCTCGCCCGCACCGGTACCTCTTCCTCCTCTTCCGGGAGCCCGGGGGCTTGGTGCTCAGCAAGGAGGATGTGGGAGGGGAGGAGTTTGTGCAGAGGCGGTCGTTTGGGGCGAAGGAGTGGGTGGAACGTCATGGGTTGAGTCTTGTGGGTGTTAATTGGATGTTGGGGGCTGGGGATGGGTGGGAGGAGTAGATGAACTCTACCAGGAAGCCGGGGCGTCATACTCCCGACATTGACGGGAAGGTTGGTGGGTGTGATATGGTGATGATCTATGTACGTATGGATAGATGGGGAAGAGAGGAGCTTGTATACAGCAAGCTTACTCCGAACGAAGAAACGCGGAGAAAAAGGACAGCTTTGAGCGATATCATTTTGGACAACGTTGAGACCTAAGGCTCTGGGCCCAGAACCGAGTACCCTGTCCACGTAGGTAAAAGGGTGACAGGAAGCCGAATCCACGGACAGCCTTGAAGCTGTGGGACTTCCAGAAAGCACGCTGTGTCCGACGCCAACGCCCTGATCTTTGCTCCTAACAAGCCTGGAGAGAACCCCTCCCGTTGTTTGCTGCTTAGGTGGTATTGCAGCAGACTCTTCAGCTTCTTTCATCTTGAATTAGCCCGCCTGGTCCTGATACTAAAATATGAAGTGAAATATGGGAGCACCAGGTCGCTAGGGCTTGGCAGATGCATGCCGACGTTTAGTGTGCTGGCAAAGATGGTCTCTACGACCAAAGACCTTTGTACAGCCTTCCGCGTGGCATGGATATGAGCCGGGGGAGATATGGATTGTTCGCAGGTGGCGCACGAGGTCGCCCTCGCGCTTGAAGTAGTGCGAGCCGTCGCAGCCTTGCCATTTGCAGCGGAAGACGCGCCGGGTGTAGATGGGACTAGGGCTGTCATGATACATGTCAGGTCAAGAATCAGACACTGCAATAGTCAGGATGCGACTTACCTTGGACTCTGGCGTGGGAGCTTTTGTATGCTGTCCCGAGAAGGTTGTTCCTCGTGCTTACTTGGAAGCATAGCCGCCGTCTCCTGCAGGGGTATATCGAGGGGTGCACAATCAGATGCGGGAACACCCCAGGAGGAATCGGTGGCGCAAGGCTCGACAAACTGTTGGCCACTGTGCAACACGGCTCCCATTGGCTCGTGGGCACCTCGCGTATATATGACATGGGGGGAGAGCGTATTCGTTATACCGGTCGTGTTGGTACCTCCACACTGGGGAGCACAGCCACGGTCGGGAACTTCAGGGTAAGGAACGGGGTTCGAGGCCACATGGCGCGAAGCTAGGAAGGACATGAACTGCTGCATGAGAGCGGAAGACAGGGCGGGCCCGGATGGTTCGTATGGGGCATTGATGATCGGATCTTCGTCCGGCATTGAGAAGAGGGCTGTTTGGTCCATTTGGAAGGAGTGATGCCTTGACTTAAGAGACGAGGATGGAGTATGTCAAATGCAGATTGAGGAATTGGAATTACACGAGGCTCGAGGCCTGTTTAAGTAGGATATCCGAACCGCTGGGAAAGGACACCATCATGCAAGGAAAGTCCAGAGGCTCACTTGAATCACCGACGAGGCTCGCGGCAAAGCGAAAGCCCAAATAGATGGTGGCTTGCTGCTCATGGGCGCTTGTACAATGCATGGCGATAGAATGCAACCAGCAAGATGCCGACATACTGGGATTCGGACTGAATGCGCTGCGGAAGTTCGTGTATGGAACATTGGCATCGCGAACGATCGCCCCGCACAAACACGAGACATTCCACCAGCGGGCCTGGCCGAGACATAAGTTGAAGATTTCGGGCAGGAATGACTGGCAGTGGACGCGTGAAGATATTGGAATGACCCAATGAGAAAGTAGGCTGGATGAAGAGGGATGGAGCAGTGGTCAGCGCCAGAGAGCAGCGAGGTTTGAGAAGAAACCAACAGGGTCGCAGAAAGCAGGCTGAGGATGCGCCGCCCCCACTGAAGATTCTCAACTCAGTCAATGAGCATTGAACATTGGAAGTCTGGGAAAAACCAAGAGGGTGGTTGCACAAATCCGACCCTGAAACGCTGGACCCCAGACAGCGCCGTGACCCTCAGCCAGAGGCCTAAGAACAAACCAAACAGCTCGCAGATGTCAAGACGAGGCGCGTCGCGACCCTCCCAATGAGCATTCAAGTGCGGCGGCGTAGTTGGGCATTCTGGAGTCGGTGGACGTGACACAGAAAAACCAACGTACAGCCACCAGTCGCCCAAGGTCGCATGACCAGCTTTCTCAGAACAGAGGCGTCAGTGTCCCTGGGACGCTGATGGGAGACTGTGGTTAAAAGCGCATGCTGCCCAGCCGTCGCAGGAGTGATCCAGCGTGCCACATCCCGACTTCCTCCCGGCCACCCTTTCCAATCTTTGAATCTTCTCCTATCCCATCTTCTGTTTCAGCATTTCAATGCGCGACTATGAACGAAGACGAGTGGCAGGCCTTCCGGCCTGAGATCCAGCGTCTGTACATAGACGAAAACAAGACGCTGCCGGAAGTTCGGAGGCACCTGGAGTCCAGGTACGGCTTTCGAGGAACGAAGACGCAGTATGAGCGACGACTCAAGAAATGGGGCCTCGTCAAGAACCAGAAGGTCTCGGATCTCGAATGGAAGTTCATCGGCAGGCGCATCCACAAGCGGAAGCTCGCCGGCAAGCACAAGAGCGATGTGTACAAATACGGTAGACAGGTACCCCCGGGTACAGTCAAGACCGCGGTGTACGGTGGGAAAGCATACGTCCCGACCACGATGCTTGCCAGAGGTGAGTACCGGCGACATCCCAGAAATGGTAGAAAGCTGACTGTCGATGTCCACTGAACAGAGTCGTCCCCAAGCACACCCGATAGTATTCTCGTTTGCAGTCCTGCGTCTCCAGGGCTGCACTTTTCCTCGAAGCACCCCCTTCCATGGCAGAGCTTTTCCAAGCTTCTGCCCACGGATTATATCCAACGTACGCCAGAAGTTTGGTCCGAAACCGATTGAGCTAACCGTTACTCTAGATGAGCACCATTCCTTTTCCACCACCGTGTCGCCCCGCTGGGAGATCATGAGCCCGTCGTGCGAATGGAAACAGCGTGTGCGAACACACCTTAGCCTCGCCGTGCCATGGATCAAGCTCGATTGCCTTTCAGGCAAAGAGTGCTGCAGCCGAGACGCCTCTGCCGTAATGGCCCTAATGCCGAACCATGAAACCCTCGCCTCAAGGTCGTGTCAAGATGCGAATCACAGCCTTGACTTGTTTGAAATCCAGCTGTTCCTCATGTCCAATTCCTTTGGTGTAAGCGATGCGCAGAATATGGAGACGCTCCGCATATCAGGTTTGGACCGCCTCGATCGTTTTCAGACCCTGTTGACCGTGGAAGAGCCAACCGCTGCGGCCGTAGCAGAGAGGCTTTTTGCAAGCGCCTTGCGGTTGTTTGACATTAATATCGTGAGCATGATGCTGAAGGCTGGGATGAACGCCAACGGTGTCCTGTCGAGCACAGATACGCCCGGCCAGGAGACCATGTCATATTTGGAATACGCCGCCGAAAGCTCCGGCCAGAGTGGGCGAGAACTTTTGGAGCTTCTTCTATCTCACGGCGCAGACGCCAACCTGAGAGATTATAGCAAGCCAGCTATGCGACGAGCTATATGTCGAAAGAATACTGGGGCGATTGAGAAGCTCCTCCTCCATGGCGCTATTGTTGCAGCAAAAGATCTCGCCGCTGCAGCCAAGTATCTCGACGACATGGCCCTCTTCGAACACCTTCTGGCTGCATGCCCTGATGTGAACCCTGACATGGACCCTGATACGTACAGCGCCCTAGCAGAGGCGGTGATGCGACAAAACGTCCACATGATTAGCCTTCTGTTGGCCAGAGGTGCGGACCCCGCCGGCACTGTACGAGTTGGATTACGATCTGGAGCTCACGGGTTCACTACGCATCTTGGGCTGGCCATCCAAACAAACGAGTTATCGGTTATAGAGGCCATACTCAATGCGCGCAATAGCATTGTTCATGATGAGATTGATCAGTCGTCCCGGAGTGAATATATTTCTCCCCTCGCGCTTGCTGTCGACAGAGGCAACCCTGGACTTGTGGATCTTCTCGTGCAGGCCGGTGCTGATCCTCGAGCAGAAGATCCATCGCGTGGGTTGACGCTATTAGAAATGGCGGTCACGCAAAACAACATCGACATGTGCCGAACACTTCTGGCATATGGCGCCCCTGTGGACCCTCCTTCACACAGGCGGAAACAGTCGCCCCTTTCCGTAGCGGTTGACGAAGAGCGTGTTGACATGGTCTCCCTTCTGCTTAGTGCAGGGGCTCGTGTCAATGACGAGTATGATGAGCTCCCTGGGACTGTACTTGCCAGGGCCATCGAGCACGGAAACGTGCTGCTGGTCGATCTGTTACTGAACGCCGGGGCAGAACGGGTGGGAGGGTCGTTGCGATGCATCGGGAATTTGAAAACAGCAGTATACCTCCGCCGGGCAAACAGACTGCAGAGCATCCTGGATATCAGTGGAGCTGCGGTTCTGGCAATTTCTATCCTGTCAGAAGACGATGCGTTGGCACAGTTCCTGCTCGACCACTCCTTTGACGTTAATGGCACCACTGTATTTGACTATTTGTGGCATTGTGCCTGCTCGGACGATGATCCAATATATGTCCGAGTGCCTGAAACGACGCCACTAAGCGCAGCTTTGCAGACAGGCAAGATTCGCCTGGCAGCCGACATTCTAGCCCGCGGCGCGGAGATAACCGACCCTGACCTCGGAGCAGCATTGCAGCATTCTCTATCGGAGAGTCGGGATGGCTGGTTCTACTACCTCCTGGATCGGGCTTCTGGCCATGCCCCCACGGCAATCGGGATTGCCATCATGGCCGGTCGAGCAGATATCCTACAGCTTATGCTCAGCAAGGGTGTGAGCCCAGAGGGTGTTCCTAAGTTAAAGCATACCTGGCAATTACGTGGACCAAAGTACAGCCTCCGTTTCGACGAACCACACTCGGTGCTTGAAGTGGCAGTTATGGAGAACAACGAACGTATTCTCCGGACTCTATGTGACTCTCATCCATGGGGAGAAACGCAAAAAGGGCGGGCGCTGTCCCTCGCGATCGTTTTCCGTCGAGACGAACTCGTCGAGTACCTGTTGCAAGAAACGCTGGATATGAACCAGGAAGTCCATGTCCATTTTTGGAATCCAAACGGGCATTATAGCCGTGCCGACTCGGAGTTGGAAAAGTCATGCACTCCTCTCCAAGCTGCAGTCTTGAATCAAGATGCCTTCTTGGTGCAGCAGATCCTGAAGAATCCAACTACCGATATCGACCACTGCAGCAATGATCACCATGCGGCGGGAACAGCGTTGCTGCTAGCTGTGAAGCATGGTAATATGCAGCTGGTCGATATACTCCTTGACCACGGGGCGGATGTCAATAGACGTTGCAACTTGAATGGAGATGCTACACCGTTGCAATGCGCCGCTAGAAAGGGCTTCCTCGGTATTGCTCGCAGACTTCTCGATCATGGGGCCGACATCAACTATGACCCCAAGCATTGGTTAGTGCAGTCGGCATTGGTCGAAGCCGCTACACATGGCCGCATTGACATGGTTCAGATGCTGCTCAATGAAGGGGCGTCTGTGGTGGGTGCGGCTGGTAGGAAACAGTACAAGGAGGCTGTGTCGAACGCAGATGGGAACGGACATCATGCTGTGGCAGAACTTATAAGGGCATTCAAGCACCGCAAGGAGGTGGAGATGCGTCCTGTTCTGGAACTTGACAGTGATAATGATATGTCATGAGGATTTTCTGTGTACCTTAAGCGTTAATCTGAGTTGTTCTGAGCATTTTCCAGTCATCTAATGGACTGTTGAACTATACAATTGTTCAAGGCCTACTATCTGATATATAGTACAGTGCCTAGGAAATCGACGCAGGAGCTTAACTAGCCACAAAGCAATTAATGCTTAGGAGACGTAATGCTCTAGCTCTGCCATCACACGCCCGGTCTACCTAAGGCATTGGTACTCCTCCAGGAAACCGTCGGGGTATTATAGCAAGCGTAAACACTCGTCGTAGTCTGATTGCATCGAATCCGCCAGCACTGCTTTCTATATCCCACCCTTCACCATGATCCCAGCTATTATTCATCAAGCAAGCGTCCGACTCCTCGTCACTATCATGAGAATCAGGCGTAGCACGCCAATTAGACCTACCTCTGGCCACAAGGAGCGCCAACCGGGAGCTGGTGGTCGGTGGGCGGTTCTCAATGCCGGTGTACATAAAGCAGTTAAAGGTACCGCTATCGCTTATGTCCTAGAACTCCGGGTATAATGTTGTAGTAGTGTAGTAGTATTTAACACATCGGCGGTATTAAGGCTGGCTCACACCAGCCCTTTTTTAGGCATAAAGGCAGGTTGATACTAGAATAAATACAAAAAAAAAAAAAACTTAAAGTTCTTAAGATTTGAAGTTTTACTGTACGCATTTGCCTTTTTCAGTCCTTCTAAAGAATAGTTATTCCTACCAGCAGGCCAACGTGTGTTGACGTATTAAAGCTTTTGAAAGAGCGCGGGTTTCAAGGCCTTTCCAGGTAAAGTGGTATTGAAGTTATTATCCTCCCAACTAAAACAATAAAATAAAGTTGTTATGGCTCTGGAGAGCATCGATATCAAGGCCTTGTACGACCAGGCATTTAACTTCCAAGGCTACAGGTAGTATGGATGGTAGTAAAAGCAGGATGCAAACCCACCCCCTTGTTGTAGAAGAACAAAAAGGCCCCTGTATTCGTCCACTTGGAGGGTGGGTGTTATGTATCCGACATCTCTTGATAGGAAGAACAAAGGAAAAGAGGAAAAGAGGAAGAAATGTAGCCGCACATGCATCAGCATAAGTCGACGGTACGCAGTCTCGACAAACCCCTAGCGTCTGACAGATCAAAACGGAGTCCTGCGTACGATCTCAAAAGGGATAGTGGCGCCAATGCCCTCCGCAGCCTCGAGTCCACTGCGAACACAGGCTTCAAAGAGCGGCAACCCGGCGAACGCATACCCACCCGCAAGCCAGATCCCCCCATCTCCGTTCTTCCAGTGGGCCTGGGCCTTTTCCTTCTTCCCCGACTGGCCCGTGACTATGGGTTGAGTCCTATCGTCCCTGGAGAAGACGTCCAGGAGCAAGTCGTGCGATTTAGCAGTGGGAAGGGGGCGGGTCAGGAAGACCTCCATGACCTTCCTTTCCTTCCCGAGCGCCAACTGATTGATTCGTGTCCCCGAGAACGGGCGGACCGTCACATTAACCCCAGGAACCTCCACGGGCCCAGTAGTGTACGTCAAGCGGGTAACATACCCCCCTGCAGGATCAGCGAGAGTCACGAGGCCGAGGGGCTCGCTTCGTCGAGGATAACATTCCTCCAACGCGGCCGTGGCGACGGTGACACAGACGCGGCCCTCATTGAGGATATCGGTGATTCCGCGGATGGGCGGACAGAGCCTACCGGCCTGTTTAGCGTCCGTGGCGACAACGACGTGGTCGAAGAACCGGGATCGAGGGCTCCGTATGTGTTTGTGCCTGCGCCCGCCGACTCTGCCGGATAGCACGCAGACCTTCCTTATTCCGCCCCTGGTCTGAGAGTGGACACTGAAAACTTCGGCTGATAGTTTTCGCTTTATACCGGCCACCAGAAGATCCTGGAAACCGCGCATGTCGGCGATGGTGCGGTGGTGCGCGCCCAATGTGCGCTTGCGGTAGTCGGCGATGTACACGGCCGGGCACGCGCGGAGGTCGGCGTGGCTCCAGGCCAGGAGAGACGCGAAGAGCGGGAGGAGGTACCAGTCCAGGAAGACATCGGGGAGATGGATTCGACGGGCGTACTGGGCCAGGGTCTCGGGTTCGGTCTCGGTCTCGGTCTTGGTCTGGTTGTTGTTGACGCCGCGCGCACGGGGAGGAATCAAAAAGACACAGAGAGTGAACCAGATGTACCACACAAAGACGAGAACATTGAGGATAAGCTTATTCAACAGCAGGCAGGGGAGGATTCGATGGAAATTGGAGAAGAACGAAAAGTACCGCTTGGGCTCGAAGTTGGTGTTGTGAGTGGTCCAGAAGGTGTAGAGGAAGCGGTGGATCTGGGTCTTGACCTTGAGATGGTTAAGAAGCTGCAAGAGATTCGCGTCGTAACCTGTGGAGAATGGGCGCATGGGGATGTCAAAGGTAGAGGTATGGCTGTCCTGAGTAAGGGTGGCATGGCGGGCTAGAGTGAGCTGGTCATGCTGGTAAAGGATTTAGTATTGGGCTTATTCCACCAGCAAGTACGAGACTTACCTTCTCGAAAACGGTCACATCGTAGCCATCGTTCACCAGTGCCCAGGCTGCAATAAGGCCAGCAGGACCACCACCGACTATGGCAACAGTGCCTTTGATCGTTTTGCTCGGGAGAGACATCCTGGCCGTGCAATGGATTCGGTAGTAGCTGGCGTTAGGAATGCTTGTTGGAATTGGTTTGCACCTCCAATTCAGGAGATATCAGGATGGAGAAACCCGTTGAATCCAGGAAGAATGAGGACAACCCAATATCGAACAACGTTAAATTGGAAAGGTAACGCTGGAGAAGAAGAATACAAGAGGGGAAAGCGCACGAGGAGAAGTGCTGGGATACAGGGGCAATAAATAGAGGAAGTTGAGAAGATTGGGAGACATCAAGGCCTGCAGTGAATGGGAAGATTTTCACCAAACATGGTAATCCCCATCCCAGCTGCACGGCTCTATTGGCATGGTCAAATGAATTCACCATTCTCACCCCTCTGTCAGAAATGATCAGGGCTCCAGACTTATAAAAATGACAAACAACATGCACCAGGTCATCCATGGAGCAGGCTCAGGTGGATATGTGGCTGGCATGCAGATCATTTCAGAGTGAATGCACCCAGACAGAGCTTTCTAGTGACACCATGGCTAGTTCCAGAGTGCCTCGTTTGGTCTCCAAAGCCCCAATCACCCGACGCTCGACATTTCGCAGGATTGCCTGCCTCATGCACCAATACGCCAATGGAACCTGCCGCAATGGCAGTATATAAGGCCAGTCTACCTTTACCAGTTGTCCACTCAAGAGTATCGCTCTTGCATGGCTTGCGTTTCATTTCCTGGGGTGATGCTTGGATGCCAGCTAGCACGGAAAGTTGTCCACAGTGAAGGGCACTTCAAAACCCTCCACCTGTTCTACTAAGACCAGCTCGAGAATGGTTGCCAGTGCAAAGGCTCCTCGTGGCCAGTCCTCTACTACTTTAAGGAGCCTTACTGCTCAAGCCAGTGAATGAAAACCACCGAGTTCGCTGTCGCCAATATAGCTCTCGTTGTATGTTTGAGCGTACGTGTACCTACGCGTCTTGGAGACTCAATGCCTCGGTCTTTTCCCTCTATGCGATTATCTCTCGTTGCCGCTTGTCTGCGCCACTAGGTAAACGCTAGACAATTATATCATCCACTCAAGACTGCTGTAAATGGTCAAGACCTGGAGTCGAGGTAGGGCTCGTTCCTTCTCGGCACCTCGTCCAGATAGAATATCCGATCACTGATCAAAAGATCGCCAGTTTATCTGCGGCACATGCAGATCGATTAAACTCGACTCCATCCGATCAGCAGCGATCAGCGCAGGCACTAGAACTGATACGGAGCGCGAACAAAGAACCCCCTGCTGCCTGCTCTTAGTGCTTATCCCTGAACCCTAGGGTTGCATCATATCGAAAAGCCAAGGAGGGTCTGTCGGCTGTGAGCCTGTGAGTCAATCAAATTCCACGGAGACGCCGTCGTTAAGAGTGAAGAGTTAGATAAGTACCCAGTCGCCCCCCAGTCCTCCCAGCCTGCATAATCCTCAACCCGTTCCAACCCCTCCTGGACTTAACCTCAAGACCAGAAAGAAAAGCCACCATGCCCCTAACCTACGACGCCGAATTCCGCACCGCCGCAGCACCCCTGCTCTCCGCCCGCGCATCAGCCCCAAGACCAGCAGCGCACGACATCCCCGCCCTGCGCACCATCCTCTCCGCCTCCCTCGAGGTCCCGGCGTCCGCAGCCCCGTCCCACCCAGCCATCGAAGAGACGCATTTCACCGTCCCCAGCTACGACGGCCACATGGTCTCCATCTACCCGGTTGCACTCAAGTCCTCCCCCAACACGCAAACCACACCAGGCCCGGCGATCATCCACGCCCACGGCGGCGGGCTGGTCTTCGGCTCCGCAGCGCAACTAACGCGCCTGCACCAGCACCCCATCGTCGCGGAGACCGGCGTACCCATGTACACGGTCGAGTACAGACTCGCGCCTGGACATCCCTACCTCGCAGCCGTGGAGGATGTGTATGCCGCGCTGAAATGGGTGCACGAGCAGGGGGAGAAGATTGGTGTTGATCGGGGCAGAACCGGGGTGATGGGCGAGAGCGCCGGCGGGAATCTGGCGGCTGCTGTGGCGCTCATGGCGCGGGACCGGGGTCTTTCTCCGCCGCTTAGGAAGCAGATTCTCATTTACCCGATGCTGGATGATAAAACCACGCTGGAGGATGATGTGCATGATTCGCATGGAGATATGCGGATCTGGAGCTTCTCGAATAACCTTACAGCGTGGAGTGCTTATCTTGGGAAAGAGTAGTAGTAGTAGTAGTAGTAATATTTAACGCCCCGGGGATTGCTAGGCGTACGCCTAATGTTCTAGACCTTTCTTGTGGTATAGGGGCGTGCTATTATTAAGTAAGTAGCTTATTTAAATATTTATATATAAAAAGGCTTTTTATTTTAAAGGGTAACTTTTACTAAAGCTTATAAGCTAGGTACCTATTTTTTACTTATTATTTTAATATATAGCTATTAATAGGTATTATTTATTATATATTTAAAAATTTAACTATAATAGTTTATAGGGTCTAGCCCTTATATAAAAAAACTATATTAAATAAACTAGTTATATTAAAAAAAGGTATTTAGGGTAAAAAAAAATATAATATAATAAAAAAAAATTATTTAATACTAGGTTAAATAATTTTAATATAAAAATTACTAGGGCGCGGGAAGCCCTAGCATGGGTAAATAAACTTATAAAAGTTTATAATTTTTAGTAAAAATATAAAAGTTTTAGGCTTTAGTTTATAAAGGTATTTTAAGGTCTTAGCCTTAATTATTAATAGTATTATAAGGCGCTAGGGCTATTATAAAAAATATTACTTAAAATAATAATAAAAAACTAAGTATTTAGGGTTTTTATTTTTTTTATAAAAATAAGTAAGCCTAGTATTTTTATACTAAAAGTATTTATAATATTACTTAAAATTTTTATATAAAAACCTAAGTACTAGCTATTAATATAAAATAAGACACTTTAATATTAGTTTTAATTATATTTTAACCTAGTAAGGCTTTAATTTTATAATAAATTATTATTTATACTAGGTAAATAATTTTATAAAAGGGTTTTTTTATTACTTAGCCTAGGTAATATAGTATATTTATTTATATAAGCTATATATTTTACTTATAGTGGGTTACACCTTTAAAAAGCTAATATTTAAGGGGTATATTTTTATTAAGGTAGCTATATTAGCTAGCTTATTAGCTAGTTTATTTTTTTTAATATTTATATAGCTAGGGAATTATTATAAGTAAATTATATATTAATTTATAAGCTAGTATAATACCTAAAAAGCTTAATTAAAAAATAATAAAAACTACCCGCGTGTATATTAAATTATTAAAATATTATTTATATAAAGCTAATAAATAAGAGCCTTAAAAAGCTTTTTAATTATTATTTTTAGTTTTTAAAGCATGTTAATAACCTTAATATTATATATATAAAACTAGGCGCTAATTACTAATAATTTTTATATTTAAAAATATTATTTATAGTATATTATATAGCTATAACCTATATAATATATACCTTAATATATTTATTTAAAGTTATTACTAAAAATTACTATTTTTATTATTAATAATACTTATTATTATTACTTAAACTTCTTCGCGGCTAGCTTTTTAGCCTTATTATTAATAAAAATTTTTAAGTATTTTTAGAAGTAGTAAGGGTGCGCTAAAACTAGCCTAAAAATTTTTAAAAAAGTACTTTTATTATTTATATTTTTATTTTAAGTTTTTAATATAAACTAGCGCCTTAACCATGTAAGATTTTTAATAATATTACTTATATTATTAGTAGGTTTTAGCTATTTATTAACTAAAGTTTTAAGGTAAATTATAGTCACGCTTTTTTTAATATTATAATAATAAAAAAAAAGCCTAGTATTCTTAAAAAGGGTTATTATAAGTATTATTTAAAAAATTAAAAGTACACCGTAAGTGGCTAGGATAAGGGTTTTTTTAATTATTTTAATATATTAACCTAGTTAAGTATTAATTTTTAGGTTTTATATATATTTTTTAGGCTTAATTTTATTATTATACCATGCCTTTATATTATATAAAAAGCTAAAAATAATATAAATAATAATTATTTTATAAAAAAAGTTTGCGGGTAAACCATGCACTATATATATTAAATTATAAATATATTAAGTTATTATATAGGCTTTAGTTACTTACTTAATAATATACTAGTATTAAAAAAGCTATTTATTAAAAAAAATACCTAGCTAGTATAACACGGGCTATTTTTAGCTTAGTATTATAATAATAAAAGTAATTATTAACTAGTTATTAACTATTAGTAAGGGTAATTTATTATACCACTTTTAAATAATATATAATATTTTTAATTTTTTAAATATAAAAGTTATTTTATTTTATTTTTCCTAGGCTAGTATACTATAAATATTTTTTATTAAAAATTTATAGTTTATATATAGGAAGTTACTCGCGTGATTAAGGTAAAAGTTATTTATATAATTAAAGTATAAAATTAGGTTTGCTAGTAATAGCTTAGTAATATATAATAAAAATAATATTAAAAAAGAGGTAATTCCTGTGGTATATTATAGTATATTAAGTATATTATTATTATAATAAATTTTAGGCATACTTTTATACTTTATTTATTAAAAAAGCTAGTTATTAAGGCTAAAAGCACGCAAGGCTAGCCTTACTTTATTATTTACTAAAATAAATATTATAATAAAATAATATTAAAAATACCTAAAATATTTATAATAATTATAATAACTTTTTAGTTTTATAAAAGCACTATTTTTATATTATAAGTAAAAAAAACTATTAAGTTTATAGCTAAGCACTTAAATAAAATACTATATTATTATAAGTTTAGTACCCCTTGTACTAATATAGTAAAAATAATATAATATATTATAATTTATTTAAGTTTTTTTTTTAGACCAAGAGTAATGCTATAGGGCACTAAAATTAAGGTAAAAACTTATTTTTTTTACCATTCTTTAAAAGTATTATCACCTTTATAAGCTTTTATAATAAGAAAAAGTATTTTAGCTATAAGTATTAATTATATAATTTATATATAGCCTGCCTAACATGCTCCTAGTAAGCCTTTAAAATATAAATTATTACTTAGTTTATACTTAAAAAAATATTACTTATATTAATAATATTTTTTTAACCTTTTTTAATAAAATTTTTTTTAATTAATAAAAGTACTTAAAAAAAGTTAATAAATTTTTTTTTAATTAATAAAAGTACTTATTACCTTGCTAGTGCTTTAGTACTAGGGAATTAAAGTTTAAATTATTATTTATATTAAAATACTTTAGTATTACCTTTTATAAAATATTAGCTTTTTCCCGCGTGTTTTTAATTACTTTATTATTTATTAATAATAAAAAAGCCTTAAGCCTAGGCTCTAGCTTATACCATATTATTATTTAATATAATTTTTAGTTATTTTTAATATTATTAATTATTTTAGTTTAATATAAATATTTAGTTTTATAAACCATGGCTAAAAACTATTTTTTTTATTTTAGGGTAGGATTTATTACCTAGGCTTAATAATTTTTTATATATTTAATAAATTACTAGGGGGCGCTATAGCTCCCTAGGTTAGGGTATTTATTAATTACTTATATAACTTTTATAATAGTATTACTAAAAAATTTAATATATTAATTTAGTATTTTTATATTTCTAAGTTCCTTAAGCTAAAAAAAAATATTATTTTATTTTTTATAAGCCTAGCCAGGCGCTTAAGCTTATAATTTAATATATTATAATAATATTATTTTAGTATTTCCTTCCCGCGCCCTGGTATTATAATAACTAAAGTTTAATAATTAAAATTATTATATAATTTAAATATTACTAGCATGTGGGTAAATAAAATATTTAAAAAAATTAAGTTAAAAATATAGCTAGCTTTATATATAGCCATGCCTAGCTTATTAATATAATTAATATTATTATTACTAGCCTACCTAGTAATTTTACTACTATAATAAAGGTTATTTACTCTAGGCTTAAAAATATTATAAATAATATTTAAATCCCTGCTTATCACGTAGTTTAGGGTAGGAATTAATATAATTAAGTAATTAATTATTTTATAAGTAATTAATTTTTAATATATATTTAAAACTTTAATATTATTTATTATAAGCTATAATATATTCTAGCTTTATACTAGGTAGTATTATTTAATATATAATACTTTTTTTTTATAAATATAAGTAAGTATTTTAGGGCGCTTTTTTAGCTAGTTTTTATAATTATTTTAAGTATTTACTAGTATATAATACTTATATATTAAGTAATTTTAAGTTTTTATACCCGTGACGGTCTAGGGCTTTTAAATATAGGTAATATTATAATTTTATTTATAAGCTAGTTATAAAATTATAATATAGCTAGGTATAAATTTACTTATATTTACTTAATAAATAGTAAAATCCCGTTATTACTAGGTATTATTTTAATAATAATTATTATAGTTTTTTTTAGTGCTTTATTATTAAAGCTTAAAGGGGGATTTAATATTAACCTTTATTACCTAGGGTAAAAAAGGCGTGCCCGTGTTAATTAAGGTAAGTTAAATTAATTTAATAAAAAGTTACCTAAAATTTTAATTTTTAGTAAAAGTATTAAACTATAGGGTATAATAATTAATAATTATTATAAAGCCTTATTTATTTACCTTAAGTTTTTTTATAGCATGCTTTTATAAATTTTTTTAAAATAAAAATTATTAAGTTTTAACTTAAAGCTAGGTATTAATATTAGCTTAGGTATATATATTTTAGTATTAGTAAGTACTATAATAACATATACTATTAAGTTTTTTTTAAATAAATAAATTAAAGTTTTATTTTTATACCTAGGGGCTATTAGGTAATTATTATACCTTATTAATTATAAATTTAAGTGGTTTATATAGCATGTAAGGTTTTTATAATTAAGGCTAATAAAACCTAAGTAATTTATAATTATTATATTATATTATATATAGCATACTACGTGGTTATATTATACTAGGTAATAATATTTTTAATAACTAGGGTTATATTAAAAAACTAGCTAGTATTTTTTAATAAGCTAGTAATACTTACTTTAATTAAATAAAATAAAGGCCTTAGGCTATTTTAAAAAAAATACTACCTAGGTAATTTACCTAATACTAAAATTAGGCCTATATTTTAAAAAAGTAAGCCTAACTAGCTTTAGTCCTATTTAAGCTATAACCTTATTTTAAATTAACTTAATAATATTTATTTTATTATTATTATATATTTTAATAATACTAGGCACCCCTTGCACCGCGTAGTTATACTACTTTTAAAAAATATATATATTAATAATACTTAAAATATAGTATATTATATTAACTACTTTATTAATTATTAAAAGGTTTTTAATAAAAAAATTATTAAAAATAATAGCCTAGCCTATATAAGTAATATTAATTTTAAAAATAATTATAATTATAATTAATTTTAGTATATATTTAATAAGGGCTTATTAAATAATATATACCTTTAAATATACTATTAACTTATTATTAAAAAAGATAATTAGCACCCTATAATTATTATATATAATTAAGGCTATAATAAAGCCACTGCGTATTAATTAAGTTATTAAAGTACTTAACTTAATAATTAAGGTTATTTTACCTAAGGTGGTGTTAATTAGGGCGGAAAAACTTACTTTAAAAAGGGTAGGCTAAGCCCTTAAATTTTTAAGGGTTAAACTTATTTTTTTTAGGTAATAATCTTACTAAAAGTTATTATAATAATAGGCTAATTATATATATATAAAAAAATATAATTAATATTATTAATATTAATATAGCCCTTTAAAAAAATAAAATAAATAAATTTATTATAAATATTATAAGTAAAGGCTTTTTAATTTTAAGTTTTTTATTTAGTTATAAAGTTATTAATAATAATTATAAAGTTTATAAAAACTTTATACTTAATTTATATTTAGTACTTTTATTTATTAAGTTAATTATAAAAGGCCTTTATAACTAGGCTAGGCTAAAAAATTAGCATGCTATTATTTTTAATAATAAAAAAAAATAGGCTTACTAGGGCCCTTTTTTTTACCTTTTTATAATATAAAAGTTAAAAAAAATAGGGAATTTTATAACTATGTAAAGTTAGCTAAGTTAATACCTATAGGCTAGTTAAAAATATACACCTTAATTTTAGCTATTACACCGTGGGAAGTAATAAAAAAAAAGGTTAAAAATAAAATTAAAATAGTAAAAATATATATTTATAATAGTTTTAAAGCATCTAGAGCCCTTATTTAAAGGTACCCCTAGATTACTAAGAGTTATAAAGGTGTATATCTTGGGAAAGAGAATGTGGGATTGGATAATATGTCCAAGTATGCGGTTCCGGCGCGGGAGACGGATTTTAGGGGATTGCCGTCGGCATATATTGATGTTGGCGGTCTTGATATCTTCCGGGATGAGTGTGAAGTATGCGGCTGGTTTGGCGGCTGCGGATGTCGATGTCGAGTTCCATTTGTACGCTCTGGTGCCGCATCTCTGGGACGGGATTGCGCCGGGCATTGATGTTTCCAAGAGGGCGTTTGCGAATCGGAGGGCGGCGATTTTGAGATTTTAGAGTGGGCATGATAAAAGAAATCACTGGTTCACTAGACACAAGAGTCTATAAAGACCGAGCTAGGTCGGGCGTGCATGATCCATGACCAAGGTTCGAGAACAGCTCAGCGCTTCGAGAGAGTTCCTATTGTATCCAATAATCCAAGCAAGGCAATATCAACATCAACATCAAGCTTGAGCCCTGCCTAGCTAGAAACTGCCGACCCTTCAAACCCGACAAAGCAGCCCATCCCTTAACCCATACTCCCAACTGTCACTCCCAACACCGCCCCATACAAACAAGCTCCCTAACGGATCAACCTCCCCCTTAACCCCTAAAAGCCTCTCATAATTCTGTGCAGGCCCATAAAAGTCCCTCTTCCACGTCCCACTAAACACATTCCCCTCATTCGCATAGCTCCCGCCGTCCGCACCCGTCCACTCCCTCCAAACACTCTCAATGTGTTCCTCATACCAATCCGCTCCCGTCCTCAAAGCGCTCTCCGCATCAGCGGTGGCATTCACGGGAGCCCCGTAGGTCATCAAGTGCGCGTATGCGCGGCGCCAGGCGGGGTGGGTGCTTCCGCGTCTTTCTTCGGGTGTCGATGCGGTGCCCCGTCCGCCCTGCAGGCCGAAGAGGGCCATTGAGCTGCTGCCTTGCGTAGCCGGTGTGAGGATTCGCTCCAGGTACGATGTGAGTTTGGGGGGCGGGATGTCGAGCAGTTCGCGGCGGCCGAGGAGACGGCTGGAGATCATGCTGCCTGCGCCGCAGGATCTACTGGCGAGGGGGGCTGGTTTTGTGGAGGCCCAGTATGGTTTCGAGGAGGGGGATTGGAGGGCGATGGTGAGATCGCCATGAGCGCCAGAGGCAGTCCGGAGGCGCGTTGAGAGCTCGGCGACCGTGGCGTTCATCGACGCAATGGTCATGTTGAAGCCCGTCAGGTTGATGATCCCGCTTACGCCGTCCGACGGGCCTGACTCCGTCGTTGCCATGATTGTCCCCGTGAGCCCGGCATCCATGATGTCCGGGATTAGACGAGCGGTCTCGACGAGCGCGGCCCAGGAGGCGTTTACATTTGCATTTGAGCTGGTTCCTGCAGCGGCGGCGGAGAATGTAAGACCACCCGTCACAACGCTTTCAGGGACGGGGTGTGTCGCGATAACAAACTCCGTAACCACGCCGAATTGTCCACCCCCTGCACCACGGACCGCCCAGAAGAGGTCTGTATTCTGCACATCGTTCGCGACCAGTCGACGCCCGTCAGGCGTGATGATGGTGACTTGGTACAGACTATCCGAAGCAAGACCATGCGTACTCGAAAGCAGCCCGTGTCCACCATTCTGGATAAGACCACCCAGTCCAACGGTCGCGTCTTCGCCGCCGACAAGAGTCCTGTTGATGGCATGGACAGCGGTATACGCAGAGCCCCAGGTATTTCCGGCGCCGAGAATCGCAACGTCGATTGTTTTATTCGTCCCAGGAACGGGCCAGCGGGCATCGTGAGCGAAGTGGTTTAGGTTATGTGTCCAGATGGAGAGGGCGTATGCACCGGTTGACCTACGCACGACTGCATCAGCAACGTCTGCAAATGAGGATAGAGAAAATGGGATAGGGAGACAAACCGTCCACTCATATCATGGCCCGTCCCCTTAATGACAATTCGAACATCCCGCTCATTCGCCCAGTGCATCGCGGTACTAATCTGCTTTTCGCTGGTCGCGTTGACGATGTACACCGGGTGCGCACCAATACTGCACCCACGCTCCTTGGTATACCCGTCCACGCCAGGCGGGAGACACGAATGGTTCGTAAAGATGGAGTAGTCGATGCTCTCGGGCCAGGACGCGTGGTAGGCAGCGTAGGACCAGTGGTCCGTTACATCGGTGCAATTTGTAGATGCACCAAATGGGTTCCCGGTGTAGCAGGAGGAAGCAGCGGGGGTCGTTTGCAGCAGGGTGCCGCCAATTGTGGCGTTGAGGCCGTTCCATTCGGACACAGACGGCCAGGATGCATCGTGAGGGGTTAGTTTGCAGGTGCGGTTGGAGGGGGCTGCCAGGACGGTCGTTGCAGTGGCGAGAAGCGCAGCAGGGTAGAGCTGGAGCCTCATGGTTGCGAAATGGATTCTGAACAGCTTATGGGACTTTTATTGCGGAGATTGGTGGCCATTTTATACACCTGAAGCCGATGTACGAGTACGACGGGGTGCCTTCAACGGTCGCAGATCGTCATCGCGGATTCCAAGGCGAAACTCGAAACATGCGTGCCTGTTCCTGGATGTTAGATTACATCAGGTACCAAACTGAGCAGGCAGAGCAGATATATGACCTCAACTGCCAATACAGTGGGTCCAGGACCTCAAGTGCTCTGGAAGACCTTCCCAAGGCGGATAACCCATCGTATTCGGTCTTGTTGGCGCCCTGGGACCGTTCCTAACATCAGCATAGCAGACCTTCTTGGTACATCCCACCCATCATATACAGCAACCACTGCTCTACGTCCTCGAACGCACCACAGTAGAAAGGGAACGGGGCGAATTCACGACTTGACATCCTTTCATTCCGAGATACAATGAGACACATGGAAAATTCCGCTTACAAGAAATGTTCCGCGACTCGGCGAACACATCGCAATCCATTGGAATAGCTAGTAATTAATCACAAGCCAAGCATACTCACACGTCTTTTCAAACGTCATGGTAAGCTGCCATTCACTCTCCAGCGCTGGCGGCGAGTCAAATGAATAGCTCGAGTAAGCCCCAACTGTCCCGGTGCTACTCGCCGGCGACCCAGCCAGCGTAGGTGGGTTCGATGGGGGCTCAGTGAGAAGGACAGCGCCCTTGGCCGTTTTAGAGGTGTCAGTGCGTGCCCAGAAGGGGAGTCGGTCCAGGGGATGCTTAAGGTTGATTGTAATCGGATCGTTCGATTTATCTGCAGGCCAGTCACGCTCCGTCTTCAGGTCAATCGCAACCGCCCTCTTGAGTGCGGTCGGGGCTGCATTCGCGAGATCTTGGGTCGTCCATTCCGTCGCTGCCTTCGTGGCATTTTGCTCTAGGGCGCCGCCGCCACCAAAGCCCGTGTACTTGAGATGGAGCACGACGTCGCTGATGGTCCTGTAGTCGAATTGGCGGAGCTCCTTTGGTAGGGAAATCCGCCAGGTGGAGATGGCTCCCGCGCCCTCGAAGGGGCCGTAGCGGTCGCTTCCGGTTCCCTGGAAGTCGAAGAGGCCTGTGTCCTGGCTGCCCTTGCTGATGGCCACGGACGTTATCGGGATACGGTCTGTCTTGAAGGCGTTCTCTTTCTGCTTCGCATAGTCGGTCCCGTCGGTGGAGATGCGGTATTTATGTTTCATAAGGCTCAGCGTGCAAGTGACCGAGTTCAGGGGCCCGGTAGCACAGGTTATTGACACTGCGACAGAGGCGATGCGCCGGCAATAGTGACCGGGGAAATCCATGTCGAAGAGGACCTCGGGGACCTCAAAGTCCACTTCGCCGGTTCCGTGGAGGGTCAAGAGCTGCAGCGGGTTGATGTCGCGCAGAGACACGTCCTTGGTAATCTCGAAATCGTGGGTCTGGACGTCCAGATAGGATGACTGCATCCGCTTAAGATCAAGGTACAGCGCCTCCCCCGACAGCTGACCGTCGCGTGAAATCTCCCAGTAGGAGGATGAAGGGGTGCTCGAGTCGGAAAGGACATTGCCACTGGTTGTCTCGGAGCGCAATGCCAGCTCAAACGACATGGCCCGCCGAGCGCTCTTTGACATCTCCGTTGCCATCGTATAGGTGCGATGAAACAGAGTGCCCATGGTATTATCCAAGAGAGCGTAGAGCTCCTCTCCAGTGTACTTGGATTGCAGCCACTCGTATTGTGCGACCGCATTCTCATATTCCTGTTGCTGCGCCTTGATTTCAGCATCACAGGTTATGACTTGCGCGTCCAGCTGTTTCATCTCTTTGTCCAGTCGAACCAACTCTCGCCCGCACGTATTCGCTTCCAACCGACGCTCCTGCAGGTTGCGGGTGGCCGCCCCGATCCTGGCTGCTTGTGCACTTTCAGCTGTCAGGCGCTCGATTGCGCTTTCGGCCAACTGGACTGTGGCAAGCATCACATGCGACACCTGTGCCCCTCCAAAAGATATGTCCACGCCAACTCCGAACGGCTGGGCCTTGGTGCTGACGTCTGGTACTGCTTGTACAATCTCGGCTCCTTGTTTAGTGTTGCTCACTCGCTGGATGCTGTCCGTAGCTTGCTCTGCTAGGTCAATTTCCAATTTCTCGTGAGGAGACATCGGGATCTTATCGTTGCTAGCACCGCCGCTGACGGGCTTGTCGATTGTCTGCGGAATATCCTGCCACGTCCCACCTGGCTGGGGGGCCTCCTTCTTGTCGCCTGTCAGGGCCAAGTAATATCGAAGACGCATCTCCACCTCGCCTCGCTCTTCTTGTTGCACCTCTCTTGCTCTCTGGAGTTCCCCCCTGCGAAGTTGCGCGGTTCGCACGGTCAGCTCAAGGACGATGTTTTGGTGCCGTAGCTGGAGGCTTGAAAGCGCCTCGGCATCCCTTTTCTCCTTGAATTGCAGCAGTTTCTCTCCAGTGTCCTTCAATTCACTCACCAGCTCAAGCGCCAGTTGAATAAGATAGCTGAACCTGTACCGCGGCATCGGGCTACCTAAGTCACTTAGGAGACCGGCGATTCCTTCTGCACCTCCCCTCAGAGCACGCTGCAGGGCACCGTAGTCGATAGGGGGCTCCCAGATGGCAAGGCTGCGCTTTCTGCCGTCAATATCCATTCCGTTTCGAATTTTGTACAAGCGGTCCTGAATCCTGTTGTAGAGCGCAGCCACATTTGGATTCCCAGGCACACAGAAGTACGTCGTCCTGATATAACTGGTGGCCTGACTGTCCTTCTGAATACCCGCCGTCCCGCGACTCCCTGGTTCGACGTAGAACGGAAATTCAAGCTCCATATCGACAGTTGCGTTGCCCTGGGCGTCAAGTGGGCTGAGCTGTTCAAAGGTCTTTGCTGCTCGCTTCCCCAACTGCGGAACTTCTACCGGCTGCGGCCCAAATACATGAGATGCTTCGACATACATCTGCGTAGCCAGTGGAATACTCTCGAGGGTATCCTGTCGAAAGTATTGATCACCCATGGCGACTAGCAACTCGATGTATTTCGTCGCAAACCGTTTCATGTAGACAACGGGGTTTGCTCGGGCGGCGGCATGGACACTCCGTCCGCTCTCTAGCCAGGCATTAACAGACTGTTGTTGATTCACACGAACACAGTCTTCTCGGAACGGAGGGAATGACCAGCAGCGCCCAATGTCATCGCCGCCGATACTGGGGTCGAAGACCAATCGGGCTATCTTGAGCGCCAAATCAAACTGCTGGGCAGCCATCAGGCGCTCAATGATAAGAGACGGCAAATGGTATCCCAGCTCCCAGCTGTAGATGGCAAACGGAGTGGCGGTTTCGTTGTAGTGAGTTGCGCTGCTTTCTGTCCATTTCCCAAAGACATCCTCATGCGGATCATCATTCTGGGCATGCTTGACGTTATCAAGGACATGGAAAATGCCTTCCAAGTCATCCTCCTCCTTGGCGGCAGCAGTCAGCTGCGGAGTGATGACATTGTAAAACTTCAAGACTTGGGCGGGGCGCACTCCATCGTAAGTGTCAGGAAATTCCAGGGTCTTCCTGATGTACTGCCTGTTGCACTCGGGCGAAGACACTTCGACTGTCAGGACTGGCGCTGCACGAGTATATTTATCATCGAATGGCGCCATGTAAGGGTGGAATGACAATGGCCACTCCACAATGCAACCCGGTCCGGCACCAGTTGCAACGCCGAATACCCAAAAAGCGACCTTGCATCCCCCCTCAGTCCACATGGCATGCGTGTCAAAAGTGCCCTCTGGACTAGAATACTCCGCCTGGTAACGGTGAAAAACTGTTTTGTCTGTCACAAAGGGATCAAACGCTTTTCCAGGCCCTTCGTCGACCGTTAGAGGCGGCCCACACAAGAAAGGTTTGGCCAACGTGTTCTGACTATTCTCGACCAGGACCAATTGTTGGTCCCTGATCTTGAACGCGCCCAAGATATCATATGTCAGAATTCTGCCGTCGAACTTCACCCGCTCTACCCTAACTGTCAAGGGTTGATCTGGGTCAGTCCAAAACTTGAAGTTAGTGACATCCGAACGGTAGCGGGGATCCTCGGCTGTGTCTATTGCGGCGTAAATGACCTGGGGAGCCACTGCGCGCGGAGACCATTTGCCATTCTTTAGTTTGATGTAACTCATCCGTATCTCCCAGTGGCGAATGGGTCGTACCTCGGAAAGATGCTTTGTTCGGTAGTCTTCGAATGTGGTTTTGTCGTCTTCGGACTTCGGTTCCGGGGATGTTTGTGAGGAAGTGATCTCAGGCAAAAACACGTACAGTTCGCCGGAGTACGTCGTGGGGACCAGGTATGAGCCGGAGGTTGGCAGCCGGTTACCATCCGCATCGACATCGCAACTGGGAATATCCGCACCGACCTTACTCCACGCAGTCCAAACGCATTGTTTGGTACTTTCCGGTGGCCTCGTTACCGTTCTATAGTAGAAGCTCGGAGGTAAGGTACGGGTGCGTGCGAATATATGTGCTGTCCGGGGTGATGTGCCTGCGTCATCCCTCCAAACGTTCCAGGGAAGGTGGTATGTCTCAACACGGAGATTCGAGATGTCATCAATGCTATGAACGTATTCCTTGATCATGTCGTTGATCGTCTTTTCATCTAGCTTGCTCTGCATGATCTTCGATTCCAATGCTTGGAATTGCTCGGTCTTGTCGTCTCGCAGCGTGGGGTCGACCCAGTTTTCGGGGTACCAGAATGCCGTCCGATCTGCCTCCCAGAGTCGATAACGGTAGATGTAGTCCAACATGGACCGATCTAGACTCTCTGGCTTCTCCGGGCGGACACTGTCAAGTCCGAGAGTGCACCGCTGTACAAACAGCTGTACAGACGTGATTGCCTGCTTGAGCCGTGTGGTCTCCAGCTCCGGCCCCATCTGCACGTCGATCAGAAAGTGGCCATAGAGTTCATCAGGCACAGTGACATTGTTCTTTTTTGCGTAGTCAGTTCCGAGCAGACAGTGAGTGAGCGCCGTTCGCTGGCCGGTCCGGATCCGATCATTCGCTTCTCTAAGCGCACTCTTGCCTTGATCATCGCTTGATCTTCTGCGCGTGCGTTTGTTTTGGATAGCCAAGCGGAGAGTAGCCGCGTTTTTAAAGTCATTCTCGACGATGGAAGTCCAGGCGGGCCGTGCCATGGTGAAAAGATCCTTCTGAGTAAGGCTGGGTAGGCCCAGTTCTCTGCTGAACAGCATTGCCGCTCGCATCTCGCCCAGCACGCTGACTTCTTGAAACAACTCCACAATCTCGGATGGCTCGTTTTCGGGATACTTTGCTTCCAGGTAGTCTCTGCAACTCTCAATGGTCCATCCGGTGGCCTGTGAGATGTTGTCTGCAAGCAGATTGCCGAGGACAGCCTGCTCTTCTTCGGAGTTTGGGGCCTTTTGGGAGCAAAGCCATTCAAAGAGGCCGACAAGAGACAGAGTCGCACCATTGTTCAGAAAGTCCTCTCGGAGAACAAGCCAAGTATCCAAATCCCAGATGTCCTTCAGGCCGAGGTCGTTGAAGTCCAGTCTCTGCTCGCCGCGGCTGGCCATCAGCTCCTGGAAGACGGCTGCAAACTCGACTTCAGACGCGTGCAGTCGGAAGCTGTCGACCACAATCGAGGCCCGCATCAGCTCAACAATGACCTGACCAGATTGGAGGACCAGAAGCTCCTCGATGAGGAGACTCCGATCGAACGCCGCAGGCTTGCTAGCCCCTGTCTCTGCAGCTTGCCATTTCAAATCTTCCTTGCTCCCAGGGTAGCTCAGCCTGTACCATCGATCTCCAACGAGCGGATTAGTTTGAGCAAACCAGCGTGGCCCCTGTTGGCCCTGGTCCGTTGCCCACTCTTTAAATTCGAGCGTGGCCTCGTCCAGAGTGCACCCTTGCGGTTGATTGGCAACGGCGGATAAGATGAAGTACCTTCCAGTTGCCGGGGCGCGGATATAAGCAGAGAATTCTCCGGTTGACGATTTGTTTCCGGGAATCGCTGCTTTGGGCGGTCGGCCACGAGAAGTGACTGCAGGGTTGAGGTCGCTCGGTTGGGCCAGCTGAAGAAGGACGTCCATTCCCGAAAGGGTTTCCGAGGAACCAGGCTCATCAGCCAACAAAAGCGTCTCCTTTGGTATCCGGATCAGCTGGGTAAGCGCGAATTTGAGTAATGCCAGGCTGAGATTGGGCAAGAACGGCTGCAAAGATTTCAGCACTGCCTGGCACTGCTTCTCTCTATACTGCGCGGGGAGGAATGCGTTCAGAAAGACCCGAGTCCTTGCCTCGGACGAGTCTGCAGCACATATCTTATTGCAGAGGTCCGTGGCGGTGCCGCTACCTAGGATCGCAGACAGCTGGTTCACGAACTCCATTGCTTCGCCGCCGTCCATGTCGTGTAGTTCTGAATTTTGGATAAATTCGAGAACCACGCTTCTGCCTTCACGGTCGTCTATCAAAGAATCAAGGAGGTCAGGCAAAGCATTCTCATCGGACAGCTTGCGTTCTCCATCATGCAAGGCCTGGTCATCTAGGCTAGCGCGGACCGCTTGTGCTATCCGTAGGTTGTTTGGGACGCTAGGTTGACATTTCGAATCAGTCGCGCTGGGGATACGGTTAATCAAGAATAAAAGACGATCAAGCGTCCAGGACTGAGCTGCTCCTTGCATGGGCGGATATCTTTGCACTATCTTCAACGTGGTCTGGGGATCGTTGAATATGCTTTGTCCGTCGGGGAATAGATTTAGGAAAGAGGCGTAAAGCTGGGGCAAGATCTTTAGCTGCCTGCACAAGGTTGAAATCCGATATAGGGCGGAGATGTTGGCTAAGGAAAGATCCACAGGTATGGGTAAACCCAGAAATTCGGTAATTGCCTTGAATTCATCGCCGGATATCTCCAGCGCCATCAAAACTGCTGAAAGACGATCGTCACCGAGACTAGAACGGGACCTCCGGAATATGGCCTCACGCTCCTCATCAGTAAGTGTCCCCTTGGGAAATAACTGGGCGAAGAGCGAGTTCGGACCATGCGTATTTATGTCCCCCCAGAAAGGCTGAAGGTCAGTCGCAGAGAGCTTAAGAAGACCTGTCAGCTCCTTCACCGCAGCCAAATTGTCCAGAAGTCGCAGTCCGATTGTCTTCCCAGTGACATTGAACGGCTTTCCGTCTAGGGTCGCCAGGGTAAATATGACGGCGTCTAACTCCTCAATCGGCCACTGCAATTTGTACCAAATGCGTATGAACTCCTGCAGCCTAGCACAATCGCACAATTCGAGGGGCTTAGCGTCCCCCACGTGGAGGCGCATAGACCCCAGCAGCTTGCTAGCTGGAGGGGCTAACCCCCCGTCGTCTGTTTGAATTGCGATGGTCAATCGATTATCGAAGTAACGAGTTCGAAGCACCGCCAGGAGATCTTGCAGCGACAGACCGCTGAGCGGGAGGAGCACGTCTTTAATCTTCTGGAGTGCCTCCAGCATAGCATCATTAGTGTCGAACCCCCACCAACTGCTGTCGGGCGTTTTTCGCCCAATGACCTTATAATACTCGCTGTCGCTCAGGCTCTTCCCCATGAGGTCCTCGGTAAGTTCCTTGGAGTAGAAGCTTTCCCGGGCAGCTGCCACAACGTCCTCATGCTGCAAGTTCAGCACCTCTGCAGACCGAGCATGCACCAGCGCCTCTTGTACTAGGGGAACCAATTTTGCGTCCTTCGTAATGGGAAAAGGCGACTGGAAGACAGACAGCAGTTTCAATCGCGATGTGCCTAGAGCTGTGAGGTATGACCGGATGCTATGAATAGCCTGGTTGTATGGAAAGACATGCACTGGAACAATGCAATCTTGCACAATGTCGCTGTAGACCGAGAAATTGGTATTGTGCGGCTGAAGTAGGTAGTCTTCGTCCTTGTCGTCTTCCTCTGCATCAATTGGTGGAACTTGCGGCTGATGATCTGTGCCTTTCTCGATGTTCCATACTGCCGATTCCAGCACCTCATTGACCAAGTCAACGTACGGCACCAGTACGTTTGTGTTGGCGCACGAGAGCTGGAGTTGCGATAGATCGGCTCGGCGCTTGAGGAGCTCATCCAGCAATGACGAGTCACTCGCCTTCCCGTCAACGATAGCATTGTTGAGTTTCAAAGTTTGCAGCAAGTCGGCAAAAAAGGCCGCAGGGGACATTATAGACGCGCAGTCTTCACACCCCATGGCGTCAACGCCAAACAAGGTACTGAGGTTTATCTCCGTGCCTCCAGTGAGTGGTTCGGTTTGCAGTGGTGCCACAGAAGCAACTCTGACATCCCTGTTGCTACCGGTACCACGCAGCGCAAGCGCCTTGGTCCAAAGATCGTCGCTCCTCGAGACAATGTAGCGCGAGTGATTGTAGATACGTTCCGCTCGCTCCAGCGGCACGCCCTTGTTGACTATCAAGGCGGTTGCATCGTCCCTCTTACTGGCGATGTCTTCAGCCGAGCCAAATCCGCATCGAAGCAGCGCACCAATGTCCTCCGGCTCGTTAACCAACGCTTGCAACCGCTGCAACTTGAACAAAAAGCGGGTGGCGTCCTGTCGCAGCGCTGATGGCGCATCGGCTACCGGGGGTTTATCGGTGATCGCATCAGCGCCATCCTCGCCAGTAGCCAGAAGCGCGCGAAGGGAGCCCGTGCGAAAGTCGAACCCGAAAGAATCTGCGGCAATTTGTAGGATTGAGAGCACAAGATCTTTGCATCCCTCAGGTACTGGTATTTTCCCAGCCGAAATCAATCCACGGATGACGGACATGGGCTCTTGGGCAAACAGCTGCTCGCGCAGGCGAAGCCAAGGTGATTCTCCACCACGGGGGGCGTTGTAACTTGCCGCCGGGATACGGATGGTATACTCTGCTAGGACTTGGCGTGTCGGGCTGGGCTCTGCGAGCAGCGCCTCGGTGACGGTCGGATGGCACAGGACGAATTTTGTGATCACAGCCGACGAGTCGCTGAGACAGTAGACCCATCCGAGTAGGTCAACTTTAGCGAGATCCTGACTGACGACATCGGGATCAGCCTTGAGTGTTGCAAGAGTCGGCTCGACAGAGCGGTCGCTGGCGAGTTTGTCCTTCAAGCGAGCGGCCAGGTCGCTTTCCTCGCCCAGCAACTTCGGTAATATCTCATTGGAAAGGAGATTAAGATCCGAATTGGACAGCAAGTTTCCGGGTGGCTGGAATATCGATGAATAAGCGATCGTAGGAGTGAGATCTGATGACTGAGAATGGTTGCGAAAGGGAAAGGAGCGTCGCTCGAAGCAGGAGGGACGGAGCACGCACCATGTTTGCAACTGCTGCAAACCAGATCTATGGCTTGTATAGTCCCAATTGGCAAAGACAATTAGGTATGCTGCACATAAAAAAGCCAAAGAGCGTTCACCTTGTAGCAGTTTCAAATACCTGGCTTTTAGGATCAAGACTTCTCTCATGGGGCCCTAGACGTCAGCGAGTCCTGATGCTCCGTCATACCCCCATAACCAGGCCATATAACCTTAAAGCACACCCGCCGCCATCCGAAAAGTGTCTTCGAGTTATGGCTCCATCAGTTAGGCTCAAGCTCCCTGTGGAAAATGCCGACGCGTGTTCTGCCCACCACATACGTTCCAAGGTAGCGTAGCAGGACCCTCGGCCGACCTAATCGCTCAACGTGAAGAGAAAATGTAGCCAATGCTGGGATCCAAAGGCATGATTGTACTGATTGATATAGAGTTACTCTGTGATATCCATGTTATCGAGCAGCTCTTGTATCTCCTGTGCATCCAAAGTACTCCTCAACCATCGGCAGATACCTCCCACACGACAGTCCCCAATTACCACCCGGCATATAGATAAGACCAACATGATGAATGTAAACAGACCTGTAGTGGCACCTTTCCTATCTCGTACCAGAAACACATTCTTTCACAGAAGGGAATTGGATACAAAGTGGTGTCCTACATCATAACAGGTCAAATTCCATTCACTTGGGTACTTGTAGGAATCTCAAAGACTAGGTGGACACTCGTCGAAGCTCCCATAACATCAAGAGCCTATGGTAGCCTAGTCCGCAATGGCAAATCCACACGCATACCCCTCCCCCGTAACCTCGAAAGCGACTCCCTCAGCCAGTTTGGCGGATACGGCCCATACGGCGGCCCCTTCTTTTCACCAGGCATATAAGCAGGCCCGACGCGCCCCTCACTGAACACCTCCTCACTAAACACCTCCCAGACATGATACCGGTACCCTTTCTTCCCGGAAGAATTCAAGCCCGAGCGAAGCTCCATCGTCGAGTTCAAGCGGTGCTCCCGCACAATGTCTCCGTGCTCATCGAGCAACAGCAGCGAGATATACCCCGTCTCAAGCGCTTCGCGATCCGCAACAAACACGTGCGTCACGATACAAGAGTCGTGGTAGCCGCGGTACCAGGTAGCGACGGCTTTCGGCAGGAATTCTTCTTCGGAGTCGTTGGGGTACTTGGCTCGGAGCTCGTGCAGTGCGTCCAAGTCCCTGTTCTCGTTCCCGTAAGGGTATCCGTGGTAGTTTCCATCCCCGTAGTAAATTTCAGGCGCGAGCTTTTCAGACTCAGCAAAAAGCAGATCGCTGAACTCCATAATCCAAGTCATGGCCATCAACTGAAAAAGGGAGCTCTTACAATCCGTGCGGTTTGTAACTTGCTCCGGGTACAGCATTAGCACTGTGTCGAGGTCTGCATTTTCGAGGAGGCTCGCATCATCAAGGACAAGGGCTTCGTGGCCTAGCGCGCCCTTTTCCGTAACCTTGGCGAACAGAGCGCGGTGTTTGTCTTCCAGTGCGGGATCGTAGCATGTCCGAACCCACATGCCCGCATCGTTGTCCAGTGGTAACTGATGTCTGAACCACTCTGGGCGCAGGGGGCGGAGGATTTCGTCAATCTGCGCCGGGGTGGGGGTTCCTGGGTGCGGGATGTAATCTGGGGTTTTTCCGCGGTAGTATGGCTGGGATGGTAGGTGTTTGTTAGCCTGACTGATACGTAGTGTTGGTCGCCAAAATGCAGTTGGTAAAAGGAAACGCTTACCTCTCTGCCATTTCCACTTAGGCTTAGGAACTGGCGGACGAGCCGATGCCGGCGATGGGAGGGTGATTCGTTGGTGGATTCAGCAAGGGGAATATCCCAGTTTGCCTTCATGAGCCTTGAGTCAGCTGGAATGTGTGGACATGAAAAGATCAAGCGGACGCGAAACTCACGAGCATGTAGATATCCAGCGGAGCTTTACCCCATTCTGCGATAGGACGCACGGGGTGCTGATAGTAAACAGAGAGAGGCATGGTACAACTGGATAGAGGAATCGATACTGATCTTAGGTGATGCGGAGGGAAAGGAGGCTGGGGTAGCTAGAGAGAAAAGAATCGAAAGGTTCAAGATGGTGAGAGAAGGAATAAGTGGAAGATATTTTCCAGGCAGGCACGGGGAGCAAACGGACTTCCAATGGGTGGTCAGGGGAGAACACGGCCGTTTATTTGATCGATTAGGTGAAAGGCTAAGCAACATCATGAAAGACACTCCACAACCTATTTCCCAGCCTCAAAAATAATCTTCTGCGACTTCATCTGGTTGAAGTCATCATACGCCTGCAAAGCCTGCGAAAGAGGGCGGATATCGCTCGTCATGAAGCTATCACATAGTTAATACCATCCACCTGACCAGATCGCACAACTACATGATAGGGGAACTTACTCGAGCGCATCCTGCTTCTTCTCCAACAGCTTCAATGCATCCTCAAAGATACTTCTGACAGGACACCTGCCCATCTGAATCTGCAGATTCTTGCCATACGCCTCGTTTCCGGTCCACGGAATCTCACCATTATGCACGCCGACGCTAGAGATCTTACCCCAGGGACGCAGCATATCGAACGCCATCCTGAGAGCATCACTATGCCCGACGACTTCAATGGCGACATCTGCACCGCGTCCGTCTGTGAGTTCCTTGATGCGGCTCTTCAGGCCGTCCGCATCGGTCGCGAAATTCCAGGGCTCAGCTCCCAGACTCTTCGCGAGCTCAAGTCGCGAGGGGACACTGTCAATCGCAATAAGGTGCTTCGGTTTATGCTCCAGCGCAGCGATAAGCGCAAAGATGCCGACCGGCCCGCATCCGAACAGAATGACCGTACTTTCCTTAATCGTAGTCTCGTCAAGCCCACTAAACGCATTCTTCGCCGCAAAGAACCCCGTCGGCAGGATATCCGCCATAAGAACGAGCTTCTTCTCGTCGATGTTCTCCGGCGCAACGACAAGCGTGCTATCCGCCAGCGGGACACGCACGTAATCTGCCTGGGCGCCGTCGAGGATCACCGTCCCGTATAGCTGGCACTTGGCGCATCGGGACGAGGTGTTGTGTCGACAGTAGAAGCAGTCCCCGCAGGAGACTGTAAACGGAGAGACGATCTTGTCGCCTTGCTTGAACTTGGAGACTGCGGACCCGACCGAGGCGATCTCACCGGTGAATTCGTGGCCCATGATGAATTCAGTGCCGGAGGGTTGATGGCCGCGGAAGACGTGGAGCTCACTATGGATATCCGATCAGTCCTCTGCGACCGTGATGAGTTCATGCAATGGGCGGAGCATACCTCCCGCATAATGCCGTGTACCGGACCTTCACGATGACATCGGTCGGATCCTGGATTGCTGGGATGGGACGCTCCTCCAGAGCGACCTTAAGCGGGCCCTTGAAGACGACTGCTTGCATTGTGATGCTTGTTCCTGATGAATTCGACTCCTTGAAGATGATATGGTGATGAAGCTGGAGAGTGGCACGATGAGGGGTCGAGTTTATAGGGACGGCGGCAACTGGACCTCGGTTGGCTGTCCCCAGATTCGTGGATGCGGAGAGGGAAGGTGCGGGGGCTTAAGGTTTGGATTGGCCGATGATCATGGTCGCCGATTTGTGTTCATAGAGGCTGTTTGGCTGAATATCGGTGGTGGTTTGTTGGACATGATGATGGAGGGACATTGCTGCTGTCCACTTGGTGGCTGCAGGGGTGGTTTTGAGATGCAAAGAGTGAAGTCAGGCGCTTCACTATGCATAATATAGGGAATAAAATACGCTTGAATCTCTCAGAACCATGGCGACGACATACGATTTCAAATATCTCAAGGGCAATGGCACTGGATGGGGCAAAGCACGAAGACGGCAAATATATATTTTTTCGTCGAGGAACTTGATAGCACCTCCGCCTAGAGACTGTTCAACGTGATGGAGCCGGACCTGAGAGACGATAAAATGCGGTCTGTGCCTTGGCCTCAGCTCTAAAGCCATAAATCGCGCACTTGGGGTCCCTAACCAGGAGAATCGGGCCTTAATGTAGCTGCTTGTGGTCTAGGCTCTGACTGTACTCCGTATGCGATGTCGGATAGGGCCATTGGTTGGAGCAGCGAACAGGCTTCGTGATGGGGCTGAATTGCTGGCAAGCAACGAGCTGAACCTGGTAGACTGTTCCCTTCAGCTCCTATAAAGACCGACACCTGTTGTCTAACATTCACTTGTACCTGTTATTCCATATACCGGTTGACAAAATGGCGCCAAGCATTGAGGTTTCGTACCCCGCAGCAGCAGCCTCCGACCTTCTCTCCTCCACAAACCTCCCAAAATCCACAATCAACCTCGAGATCCTCGAGATTCCTCCAGAAACCGACCATGACGACTCCTCATCCTCCTCTGACTTGACTCTCGATCATGATCCCCTAGCCACCGAACGCTCCCGCCTCCGCCAGCACCTCGGCCTCGATTCCGCACACTCCCCACAGACACAACCCCTCTTCTTCGTCGAGCGAGTCCCAGACACAAACACAGCGTCGGTATCATGTAACCTCCCAGGATGCACAGCGGGAATCAATCCCGGCGCGCTAAGGTTGGCCCTGAACCCGGGAATGGGCGGAGAGGCCTGGTTTCGGTCGTCTTCCGGTGAGTCCACTACTTCCCATTGCCCCTACACCGGAGACGATGGATCGATGCTAATACGCTCTACGCTGCCGCAGACTACTACCACATCTCCTGCTTCGAGCGCCTCGCCGACTTCACGCAATCCGCATACCTGAACCGCCTTGTCCCGCTGACGCGAAACACATTCAAGCTCCGCGGCTTGAAAGCATCCTCAGTCTCCGACGGCTCATACCTACTACCCGGCGGAGTGGAGCGGCTTATACTCGAATGGAAAGTTCGACGAGGCATGGAGATCGATAAACGCGATGGGGTGTTCAATCCGTCCTACTACGAGCTGGACCCCAGTGTGCGGGCACTGCTGTACGAAGCGGGGTCTCGGGGATATTGGCCAACCGGACGTCCGGCTGGATTGGATATGTTCGAGTACTATACGTTGGCTAGGACGGTTGCCGTGAATGAGGTCGGAAAGGGGAATGAGGAGTGGAATCTGTTCGATGCGTTTCTCGACGATAAAGACGAATGCGGAGGGAGGCACGACTTGAGTGAGATGTTGGGGAGATGGGATAGGGGGATGGTGAGTATCTGCCGCTGCTATTTGGTGTTCTGGGTCAGTGCTAAGGTAACGGGTATAGGTACTCGCGTCCGCTGCGGAGAAGAAAGACCTCGAAGCGCAAGATGTCCTCAGTACGATTGCGATCAGAGCGATCAAGCGACTTTCAACAGTTCCTGTGCCGCAGGTCGGGTATAACAGGATTTGGTCGTAGCATCCGAGATGCCTTGTTTCGTAGGTGAGCTCTCTTCGCGCACTGAGAATAGCGTCGGCGTACGAAGTATCTGCTTTTGGGAAAATAGAACATTAGGAACAGAATATAGATTGTTCGATTGTCTCTGCTCTTATCCCATGATGGTCCGTGGCCCGATGACATGCCCAATCCAAGAATGGGCCAGGTGGATATTCCGCACGAGGGTTCCTCGGCTGTATCCGTGATGGCTTCATATTCGGCGGGAGTCAAGACGCATTGCATTTCTGATTGGATACCCATTGACATATCCATTATCAGGGGAACAGCCGATCGTCCCAATTGTTTCGATCCCCTGATTATTGGCCAAGTGGAGGCACTCCCAAATTACTTCCGAAACAAGATGAATGTCTCTCGACCTTTCTCCTCGGCTTTTCGCACTCTAGAGAGGCCACTGCCTACTCCAAATCCCTCGCGCGACCTGTTGCTTGAATCTCAACAGGTTTATCCTGTGACATTGCCTGTGAATCATTTGCTTAGTTGGGGTTTTATCCCCAGGCGATCGTCCGGGCCGAGACAAACTATCGAACACTACCCCAGAAATTGGTCTTCTGAAACCAATTCACAGGGTCTTAAATCCCCTGTTCGACACAAGTCATCATGATCATGGACTGGCGTCATGGCATTCTTTTCAAGCTTTGGACTAACACAATGTTCAACAAACAGGCCCAGATTGGACTGATTGTCTGTTTCACGTTAACACTAATTCCGTCAGACTGTCATGGAGCGCCGAGGTTTTAGACGCATGTTGACGCCCCCCGATGGACTGAAAATTCGCAGTTCGCCGCTTTTATGAGACCCGTTTCACGGACCCTGAACCCGTATACGCACGCTTCACCATGAGTTCATGGCCGAGGAGGACCATGTGCTCACCCCTTGTGGCTATATAACGCGGACCCTGACCCTGGACAGTCCTCACCCACAACATCAACTCCAGTACTCAAAGCAGAACATCCTACTCCTTATTCCCAGCACCTTTTGAGTTTAACTCATCTGAGCCCACTGCCAAAATGAAGCTCTCCGCCGCCGTCGCCATCTTCCCCCTCCTGGCTCCCGCCCTCGCGGCCCCCAGCGCCAACCTCAGCGAGCGTGACATCGCAACAATCAAGAACGTCCTCGGCGACATCGACACCCAAGTCAACAACCTCGGCAGCGCCATCACCGCCAAGCCCCTCCAAGCCGACTCCATCGTGTCGCAGGCCGACAAGCTCTCCACCACAATCACCTCGGGCACCTCCACCGTAAACGGCCAAGACAAGCTCTCTCAGCTCGACGCCCTGGGTCTCGTCTCACCCACCCAGAAGCTCGCCGACGACACCGACAAGACCATCAAGTCCCTCATCGGCATCAAGTCCAACGTCAACAGCCTCGGCAAGGGCTGTGTGACCCTCCAGTCTCTCCAGAAGCTTGACGATGGCGCCAAGTCCTTGTCGAGCGCGATCGTGAGCAAGGTCCCCAGCGCTCTGGGCGACATCGCGGGCAACCTGGCCGACAGCATTGCCGAGCACATCCAGAAGGGCATCGATGCGTACCAGGGGGCTTGTGACAAGAAGGCTGAGGCTCCCGAACAGCCTGCGGAGACAAAGCCCGCCCCCGCTGCCACCCAGGCTCCTGCTCCCGCTCCCGCTTCCGCTTCCACTGAGAGTGCACAGTCCACCAAGGCTCCTGTCTCCAAGCCCAAGGGCTCGTGCGCTGCTCGCAACTAGACGAAGTTCCCTGAAGGAGGTCCGTCATAGATGAACGGACACTGTTGCACGGAGGGCCCTGGCGGCTGGCTCCGTTGATTCATGATCCTCTAGTGCTTCTACTGAATAGTTAATGTATTACTTGTCTTCGAATTCAATCGGCGTTGTATACATATAAAGAGCATGTGGCAATCGGAAGAACGCCACGCGGGCACCAAATGCGCCGCCAGCTGATTCGCTCTCTCTTAGTTCCACACCCCATCACAAGCTCCACGCCATCCCCCCCTTCACCCCAGGACCGCTCCCATGGATCTTTCAGCCCTACATCAGCCTCCGAAGTACAGAGGGGCCGTTTCTCAACGCAATTCTCACTGCCCTGTATCAAATCCGCCGATCTCCGCGCGAACCTCCGAGGAGACGGCGAGCACGATATGCACAACACGAACGATCAGCAGACTTCAGGGTTATACCATGACGTGGGTGGTCATACCCGCCTATCACGGTGAGCAATGCGGTCGGAAATCTGCACCGCGAGGCTTCACCATCCCATAACCCGTCAAGGAGACCGGCATACAGCTAGCCAAAGAGGGTTCATGGTGTAAAGCGGAGGTCAAATTATGGCTCTGCCAAGTGACACAGCGAGGCCTGTTATTCGCCGACATCACAGCCCCTCGTGTATCTGACAGCACCAGTAGAAGAGCGTGGAAGATGATGGCGACCCCTCCCCTACCCCCTGGCTAAAGAATCCTGTAAAAGCAGGGCTCGAGCCAGCGGAGTGGGATCGGCGCAGTTCCTGCGATCATCCTACCTTGCCACGCCCACATGCACGGGCCCGGAAATATCATCACTATTACTATCAGTTTCCCTTCAATCGATCGACAAGAACTATATCCGTGATGAGCTCCACCCACCAACCCCTCGCGCCGCTGGGAGGCATCCTCCCCGTAAGCCTTGGACGCGGCAACGGCAACGGGCATGAGATCCCTCGCAAGATCACGAAGTCCGGTCGAGCCTGCGACAAGTGCCGCTCCCTGCGGAAACGAGTACGCATGTCCACTCTTATCAATTCCACCCTGACCCTGATTCACGGGGAAGAGTTAACCTGACGAATACAGTGCGACGGCGCGAAACCCTGCACCCGCTGCCGGGGCCTCAAGGTGCCATGCGAGTACTCCGGCCCCGACGGCCGCAAGAACGAAGACTGGAAGGCGCGCGTGGAGGCCCTCGAGCGCCGGAACCGCTTCCTCGAGGAGCAGGTCGCGCAGATGAGCGCGCACCTCGCGCAACGTCAATCCCAACCGCAGTCTCTGGCAGCAGTGCAGGTGCGGGTGCAAGAACTGCGCGACGACGACAACGACGAAATGCTGCACATGTTCTACGCCGCCACAGCCGACCACCCGCTGCTCGGGCAGATGAGGGCCCAGTACGGGGTCCGCCGGGAAAACAGACGCGACAAGCTGCCGGACGAGCAGCTGACGCGGTACTCGATTTCCGCGTTCTTCCAGTGTGCCTCGACGCTGTTCTACGTGACGACGGAGGAGCAGTCGACGCAGCTGGTGGAGCGCGTGTACCACAGCGACGACGCGAGTGTCGAGGACTTCTGTGAGCTCTCTGCGCTTGCGGCTGTTGGGAGTCTGTATAGGATCGATGAGGTTCCCGAGGAGACGCGCGCAGAGTATTTCTTTTTGGCGTCGACGAGTCTGAGCGAGGCGATGCGGGGGGATCATGTGCAGGGGATGCGCATCTTTATTTGTCTTTGCCTGAGCTGTGTCTTGGATAAGAGCTCGAATGCGAAGTTGTTGACTAGTATGGCCCCTGCTCTTGCTTCCTGGTCTGTGTCTGGCTAACGGGGGTGTGCAGTGTCCGCGCTGGATCTCGCCCGGTCGAAATTGCAGGGTCAGTTGCAGCAGTCGTATCCTAACGACATTGATTCGGAGGAGTATAGGAGGACGGTGCAGACGTTGGTCTTTCTGGAAGGGTATGTTCCTTCCTACACCTTCTCTCCATTCCTGCTGATAAGCTATAGATGGCTCTCCTTCTCGCTCGGCTACAAGAACTGCCTCAAGGAAAGCGAAAGAAACCTCGTGCGTACCCATCACTCCATTCTCCTTGCCATCACACTAACAAAGCCCAACCTCAGGTCCACGGCCTCTGGCCCCCAGCCCCCCAGTCCTTCTCCGTAACACCCGAAGCATACACGACCCGCCTGATCCAATCCCAAATGGCAAACCTCGCCCTGCTGGCCTCGGGCATCCAAAACGAAATGGTCCTCTTCCAAGCCGACTACTGGGCCCATGCCGACCGCCTCTCCCTCCAGCTCGACCTCTGGCACCAAAGCCTCCCGCCGCAACTGCACCTCGCCGCACTCAACAAGCCGGAGAAGGGCGTGACAATGCTGCAAGAGCGCGCGATCTACCTGATGCACATGCTCTACATCGACTCGCGGCTGCAGCTGTACTGCCAGCTATTCAAGGCGAGTCAGAACGGCACAAACGGCACCGGCACCGGGATCGGGATCGGCCTGCACCAGATCGGCCCGGAGTCAAGATTCAGCCTCGAGACGCTGTTCAAGCAGGTCCCGGCACATATCTGCGATGTGAACACGGATTTCTCGATCCAGCTGGCGAGGATCATCACGCTTATGTTTTCGCGTGAGGCCATTTTCGCGCGGTGCTGGCTTGTCATGTACGCTCCCCCCATTCGCCTATCATATCCCATGATACGCGAGCTAACTGGTTGTCGTAGACGCTGCGCCTTCGACGCCTGCATCGTGCTCCTCCTCGGCGTGTGCCAGAAGTACTTCACGGGCGCCGAAGCCTCAACAATGGAGCTGGACATCACCGAGATCTTCGCGCACATCGAGTCCTGCCGCAAGGTCCTGCGGTGGTGCGGGAAGAGAGACGTCGCCGCGAACCGGCTGGGGGACCTTCTCGATCCGGTTCTGCGTCAGCTCAGCCATATGAGCATGGGCTCGGGCTCTAGTCCGCGTCCCGGTCTAGCAGGCGCCGGGGGCGGGGGCTCCAGCTCGTCGGGCACGGGCTCATCGGGACAGACACCTGGCACCAGCGCCACCGAGGGCTTCAGCCCAAGTCTAGCGGGTAGCGGCGGCGGAGGCTCGTCGGGTACGGGCTCATCGGGACAGACGCCCAGGACCAGCACCACCGAGGGCTCTACGCCGGCCTCCGGCTCCGGCTCTGGGTCTGGATCTGGATCTGGATCTGGATCTGGATCTAGCTTGCTCGCGCCACCTGGGAGCGTGGACACGCCCGGTTCAACTTCTGCTTCTGATGTAGCTACGGCTGCCAGTCGCCCCTTGGACGTGGAGAGTTTCAGCACGGATACGCGCGAGATGAACATCCAGTTCATCCTCGACAAGAAGGCGAGCGACCTGCTTATGCTTGTGCGGATGACGCATCAGATCTTCAACCTCATGCCGCCGGATGGGTGTTATGTTTGGGTGTAGGGATGAGTTTACGCAGAGAAAACTTGGCATGTTGGGTTTTTCGGGTTATCTTTCAAGGATCTTCGGCCGCCGGTGCGATTAATAACAGCCCACATGCTACCATACAGATACACCGCAGGTGGCTTGTCCGTGTAACGCATGGAGGGAATCGATTCCGCGCGCTGGCGTTGGGCTGGAGGGATATATCCACGCCAATCGGCGGTGCGAGACCGGCTAATACTACGGGCTTTCTTTCAAACCAATGGCGTTGCTATGGTAGTCTCTTCTATGCGAATGTTCTCTGACCTATATCCAAGGTACCAGGGCTTTCCAAAAAGAGCAGGCTGCAACAACTGATCGCATTTTCTTACTGAGTTTTTTTAAGCTCCATACTCACAGAATGTTATCTTTGCGGAACGATAGGTACGTGGAGCATGCAAATGCGCTTTTTTCGGATTCAACGGTCTCCTATGTAGAGTTTGTATGTAGGTAGGTAGTTCAACGAAGCTACCATATTTGTTCAGGATCTTCCCAGGAGATCAAACTATTATTTGCAACGCCGATAATGACCACTCGCGGGAGTACATGGATCCAATGGGTCCGATAAGGTTGTAATGTCTACCATACCTAGGCTTTCACCCTGCATTCACGACCCCTTGACTGTACCCTCCACTTCAAGCCCGAGGTACGGAACGTTGAGATGAGAAGGCCGTCTCTCGACGAGTAAAACTCTACCTTCTCTGATTCTCGGTGCATCAGTACCCGAGGTCGCTGTCGATGCATGTCGTGGACGTGTAGACCAAGGTTACCGGGACATACACAAGTCTAGTAGCATCAGGAGCCAACGCGCTCATGCACAAACAGATTAATTCAGAACTTCTGTCCCCGAAAGGCGGAGTTGATACATGCCTTGCCTGGCAATGACTCCGAAGTGCCCTGCCTTGATAAACCCCACGGGCGAAGGGCGCGCTTTCTACGAATCCGGCTAGAGTTGCGAAGAAAGGTACAGTTGAGCCTCATACAGAAGGTGTTGATAAGAAAAAGAAAAGAGCGGGGATCTGCTGAGACATGCAGGGACCAATGTGACCTGCAGAAGGGGCTGCAGCCTGCATGCGATTACACTGCGTCAGCTAATAGGCCGGTCATGCCAACTGTTGGTGACTACACGCGCGTGATTAGCCTTTCAGCGCTGGAGACAATGCAATAGTTGGCCCCTCGTATCCCTTGATCGAGTAGATACGAATGCAGTATGTTGGCGTTGGGACTACGCTCTCCCCCGGTCCGAGCCGCACGCCCGGGCGCCCGGGCAAAGCTGAGCCCCAACTCACCTCACCAAGTAAGGTGCTATATGCCATACCATCCCTCTCTAGGCTAGCGCAGCGCACCTTGTGTACTATCCAGGCCCTAGATCATTTGCCCGCCCGTGCCTGGCGGTCCTGTCGGCTGATCAGGCACCAGGGACCAGGATGCGGCCAAACCAATGAGATTGGGTTCCTGGCCAACGCGGACAATTTACAGAGAATGTCTACACGAGACCATGACTCGAGGACTATAGATTGGATGTAACCCTAGGAGGTGTCAGGCTCGGTCCACTAAGTACGCTACCTAGATACTGCGTGCGAGTTGGAGGACCACACTTGTCCTGCAGTTCTGAAGTTGCTGTGCGGTTGTTGTTTGATGAAGCCATAGTGGTTATGGTGCACTTTATGATATACAGTTCAGAATGACTCATTTTATCCGGCTCACATCTTGGGTTCTGAGGTGTACCGCGCATGGACTGGATTGGGCTGAGGCATATCTACCTAGGTAGACACCCGTCACAGCGAACGTATTTCTCGCATGACTCGATTATTGACAGGCATCTTGTAGATACAGAATGCAAGGGTCCAGGGCACGGGTTGTTGTTAGCCCCAGTCCTCAAGCTGGGGGCTGTGCTTGTGATATCCAGAGCAAACCCTATGACTCGAGGACGAGAGCACGCAGAACCCCGATTGCGCAGCCATCCGACCAACATCCCTGTCCTGCTTTGGCCATGAGCAGTTTCGGTCTCCAGTAGTCAGGTCTTACTCCAACTTCCATCTAGCGTCGGGCAGACGGCCGTCCTTTTCGAAGTTGGTAGACCTTGCGAGCCCGAAGCCTGGAGCTGTATCCTGAAGCCTCTCGCTCACATCCATGCTCGACTTGCCAGATTGAGTCACGGACCTTGGCCGTCTGTCTTTGCCCAGTAACATCGTCCCTTAATCCAACAGAGGGTGTAGGGTAGTACTCGCAAGTATCGACGCACTGATGCTGCAGGTACATCACATCTCTAGCGTTGACATTGCTGTCGGGGGTATATCCATACAAGGGAAGTACATCTCAGACATGTTGGTGATAGCCTCGCAGTAGCCTGCCCCTATAGTAGAGATGCCCGCTTCGGGACGGTGTGACAATCACATGGAACAACCTACACTGACCAGCTATCCCTGTCTAGACCCGGAAGCAGACTGTGACCGGACAAGTGGCAGTTTCGAGCATGCCCCTCGAGGACTCTGCTCTGCCATACTTACATCCCTCAGGGGTATAAAGGGGAAGCCATCCAGGTACCCAGCTCTCTGTATCATTATCATCCCTCAAGCTCCGACAAGGTCGTACAACCAACCCGTCAAGATGTTTCCCATATGGTGTGTTTATATACCCGTGCTCATCACCTTTCTCTCTCAATCTGTATCCGCTCGAGCCGTCCCCCATGAACATGACCTGCAACTCCGCCAATCCCCCACCGTCCCCCTCCGCATCCTCCCCCTCGGCGCCTCAATAACCTGGGGCATGGGGTCCACAACCGGAAACGGATACAGAGGCCCCCTGCGCTCGCAACTGCGGTTCTCCGGCTGGGAAGTCAACATGGTCGGGAGCAAGAGCAACGGCGAGATGGAAGATAACGTACGCCCCCCATCCAAATGCACACCCAGCCCAATCCCCGTTGCCCCAGTTCATATGTACCATATCTAAACGAGCCCTAGGACGTGGAAGCCCACTCGGGCGACCTAATAAGCGAAGTCCACGCCGCCTCGCAGCACTCCTACATCTACAAGCCCAACATCGTGCTCATCAACGCCGGCACAAACGACTGCAACCGAGCAATCGACATCCCCGGCGCCGGACAACGAATGAGATCGCTAATTACCGATCTCCTCTCCGCGCCGGATATGGCAAAGACGCTGATCATCCTCTCGACGCTCCTCCCCTCCGGCAACGCGAACATCGCGGCTAACACGCCGGCCGTGAACGCGCAGTACCGCGATCTCGTCACCGCCATGCGCAGCGAAGGGAGATTCATCGTGCTGGCGGAGATGAACGCTGATCCTTCCTTTCTCGACTACCCGAGTGATTTCTCCGACGACACGCATCCGAATGACGCGGGGTACGCGAAGATGGCGCGGGTGTGGTACGAGGCGATTCGGGGCGCTGCGGGGGAGAATCTCATTCCTGCACCTGCTGCCCTCGGTGACGGGGATACCGGGGTTTGCGAGAAGGTTTACGGCGATGGGATCTATGCTGGTGGGTTGACGCAGCGGGGGAGCGGCGAGGAGGATGGGATTTACTACCATGATAGTGAGGCGAGGGGGGTTGTGTTTAGTGTTTCGGTGGCGGATTCTGGGCGTGTGGATCTTGATGATTACGATCGGTTTTTCTTTGGACGGATGTTTTCGCCTGATTGGGATGATCTGCTGGTTTGGGCTCTTCTTGATGGGGCGGTGCGGTATGAAGTCTATCGGAACAATGGGCAAGGGGCGTTTGAGTCCGCTGGGTCGATGTCTGTTGCGGACAATTGTAATCCGGCTGGTGTGCATTTTGTTGATATTAATGGTGAGAAGGCCTTCTCTCATCTGGCTTCGCTAACATTCACCTTTGCAGGCGACGGCTATGACGACTTCATCTGCATCGCGAAGGACGGCACTGCGTATGCGAGTATCAACAATCACGATGGCTCCGATAGCAATCCTCCGTCCTTCACCTATAAAGGGAAATGGAAGGACAGGGAAGGATACGATCAGGCGAATGTGCGACTTGCGGATGTTGACGGCGACGGCAGGGCCGACTACTGCGTTGTTGCCGGCAGCGGAGATATAAGCTGCTGGCGGAATGGCTGGATTGGTGAGGCCTGCTCTGGCTTCCTTTCAGGCTAATTATCAATCTAACGTGCTCAGATGATATGCCGGCATACTGGCAGGCCCTCGGGGTTCGGTTCACGGGCAAGGGCATGGGCGATATCGCAGGCGTGCGGTTCGAGGATATAAACGGTGATGTAAATCAATCACCACCTATTCCTTCAATGATCTGGCTAATGGTTGTTCAGGGCCGAGACGACTGGCTGTGGGTAGACGACGTCGGACAAACCACAACCTACACCAACGCGCGCAGCTGCCAGAAAGGCGAAGAAGGTGACGGCCTGAACATTGTCTGGAGACAAGGATACCGCAAGGGCGCCAGCTCCGGGCCAACGCATTCTGGCATGGGTGGATTTGGGAGCTCAGGGCTTCGACACCGCGTCCACTTCGCACGAGTGTACGGCGAGCCGCAGGACTTCGGGCTCCTTGGTCGGCTCGACTATATCTTTATCGAAAAGGCCGGATCCTCATTCAACATGCACGTGTGGAAGAACATCGGCGCAGGGGGGACAAAGATCAAAGGTACGCACACAGCCCCTTCTCAATCATCCCAACTAACCCAACCCCAGCCGACGGCAACCGCTACTGCAACATGATGGGCCACTCGGACGGGCGCATGGACTACATCTGGATCCTCTCAAAAGGCGACATGCGCATCTACCCAAACAAGGGCCTAGTCAACATCACCAACGACGAAAGCTACTGGGACGCCAACTACGTGATCTTCGACCCGTCCTCCCTCCCCATAGGCAGGGACCTGGACAGACGCGACCTGCACCTCGCCGACTGGGACGGCGACGGCGCGTGCGACATCATCTGGACGGACCCGGACAGCGGCAACAAGCCGCACCTCTTCCGCAACCGTATTAAGGAGACCGGCGCCTTTGACTGGGAGTACGACGCCACTCCCGCGCCCGCTCTCTCATGCCCCGAGACACGCGGGGTGGGCTTCTTCGACCGCCCCGTGCACATCGCCGATATCACGGGGAACGGACGCGCGGATTACCTGTGCGTTGAACGCGATGGACGGACATGGGGGTACACGCAGGACGGCGCCAACACCTTCACTCAGCACACGCAAATTAAATTCGCGGAAGGCAAAGACCGCGCGAACCTGGTGTGGGCGGACGTCAACGGCGACGGGCGTGCGGACCTCATCCACACGAACAAGTTCAACGGCGACGGGACGGTGTGGTATAACCGGGGGCTGAGGGAGGTGGGCGGGTCGAGTTTCTGGTGGGAGAATGCGGGGTTGGCGTTTGAGGGGAAGGTCGCGGGGAGCTGTGTGTATTATCCGGATCTGAATGGCGATGGGTATGCGGATATCCATGCGGTGACGCACTCGATGGAGAATACGGCGGAGACGTGGTATAGTGGGTGTGGCGAGGGGGTGCTGAAGGATCATGAAGGGGATGATGGGGCGCTGGTTGATCCGGGGTTGCCGGAGTTGCCTTAGATGGATATTGGGTACTGGTGGGAGTTTACCATACTTGAACGAGGTTGAGTGTTGGGAGAATATGTTGTGGTTCACGTTGGTTTGTGTGTTGAGGTCTTTGGGCTTGCAGGAGAGTTGGTTAGGGCTAAGTGCTCCAGTTCGCCCAATGCTCCTGTTTGCCTGGTAGCTGTCAAAACAATCTTATTTCTTCAACCAGCTAGTTATCTATGGCTCTTTTCATACAAATGCTATTGACAGCCAAAAGAACTGCATAGGATTACCATCATTGCATATCCTGGCCTCGATCTTGCAGTTGGATTGAGTGTTGTGTGGGATGCTATCCAGAGAAGACCCCCTGCCCTGAATCAATCCGATTAAGGTCGCGGCAAGTCATGGGAAGATCTGGTCGCTGCTCGGCTCCTTAAAACGAAGGAGCTGATTTAACATTCTGTGTTGTCGGTCTTTGATATCTCCAGAGGTGTGGATCACCCCCCTGGTCCCCTGTTACATCACACCAATTCTCGAGAATAACAACAAAATCATGGTAGACAACCGCTCGTCGTGCTTTAATATCCAAAAAAGTCCAGAGATAGATTGTTTAAGTTTGCATAAGGCCCTGCTGCTTCCGCTGCGATATCTTCCCCCAGATCCACCTTGTCGTGATGACCAGGAGCGCGGTAAGATTCACAAGGTGACAAAAGTACCTGAGATACTTTGCGCAGTCTGGTGCGCCATATCTCTTGCAAGCTTCCTCTGCGAAGGAGGCGCCTTGGTTGAAGATTGCGAAGCTAGCAGCAATGTTAGTTGCCGATATGCATGGGAAAATGGCATACCTACAACATGGAGCTTGAGCCGATTGTCCGTATGTATCTGACGACCTTTCCACTGGTCACAGGGGTGCTCTTTGCTAGTGGGTGGTCTGCCATGTCTGTGGGCTTATCCATGGCGTGTTTCGGTGGAAGCTGTTGGTACGTTGGCTTCTCCTGGGCGTTATCCATGACGGGATGCTCCTTGATATTGGTCTAGCTGCCAGGGTCCTATGGGTTCTTGTACTGTCGGCCTGTGCGATGACTAACTTATTGATAGCGGGCCCCTCGTAGCGAGGAGGCTGAGCCCCTGAGCCTGATCGTCTCCACTTAGACCCGAGCCAGCCAGGGAATGATCGGGCAACTCCGCGGCTTTTTTGCCCGTTTGATTGACTGCTGCCTGTCACGCCCTCGCGGAGATTCTTCCGAGATATGGGATCTGTCTGAGCAAGTGCCTTCTGCGTAAAGCCACCGTGTCCAGAGATCTGGCCTTGTTGCAGTATAGGTATCACTGCCACGGGTTCCTTCAGCCCTACCTACGGGACCGAGATCGATTGTCGATCCGCGGCCGCGACCGTGCCTTTAGGCTTTGAAGTTTGAACAAGACTTGGGATGAACCCTCGTGAGCCGGGAGTACGGTTACGTACCTAGCCTGCCCTGGATAGGAGACGCTCCTGCGCCACATACTTTGTCCAAGCGCTCCGTGCTTGCACCATTATTGGTTTGAGAACTCGAGTAGCACTCAGCACAGCCACCGGGATAAGTACATTTAGGACCCGGGGTGATCCACTTCAAAAGACTCAAATCTCGGTCCCCAGACTCATTGCGGTTTTGATCTTTTGTGCATCATCCCCCGTCATTTTTCTATTCCAACCTATCTAATCAGAAACTCGTTTTTCAAGGCTACCATACATTACCTGCCTATATTGCTCACTAGATCACTTTTGCTGCCAAAACACATTTGACCTCAAGCTTCTATCATGTCGAAAGCACCCTCCACCAAAGCCAAAGATCCAGAAAACGTCCCTTTCGCTGAATCCACCACCGCTCCCAAACCCCAAGTCACGATCTTCGACCTCCACCCCAATAACTTTTACATCCAACGAATCTACCGCCCGATACACCACCATCTTTGGCAGTACGCGTCCAGCCCCATATTTCAAGTTAGTAGTTTGTCCTGACGGCGCAACAGATGCGTGCTCGGCGTCTTCGCCTTCTGGTTCCTCTACTACCAAGCATGCACCCGGTACTTTGGATGCCCCAAGGAAACGTGTGATTTTCAGGTACATACTGTCATGTTTGCCTCCCAACTGGCTTTTTTTGTCGGTTGGTGTTATGTCATGTGGTTGCAGCAGAGGTGAGCTGCGCTGCATGTGTGCTGTGCGCCTTCACAGCTTCTCGGCTCATTTAATCTGGGCCTGTAAAATTGTGAATATATTGGGGCTTGATCCGGAATCTCAGTGCCGTGTGACTGGGATGATGCGGGACCTACTTTGCTAGAAACATATTGCATCAAGAGCGGCGGGATGAGACTTCAGGTTGTACCCAAGGAACTAGGTAGATTATACTTAAACGCCTACGACAGTCAATCTGAATATTAATCACGAGTGTGACTATCGCTCTGGTCTCGATTACGCTCATTTTTGAATATATCACTCACGTATCATAATCCTTGCCGGAATTATAGTAAAGGAGAAATATATGTTCTTGCAACAGGCCACATTTGTCTGCCTATACAACAGCTTCCGACATCCTAGACTCAGTTCATCCCAGAATCAGAATATAATTGTTCGATTATACCAGAATGTGGGATCCAACGCGTTAAAACAATACTGAGACCGAGACCCAAGGCCCTTGAAGGCGCCGAAGCCGAGAATCCGAGGGACGGCCCGGCTTAAGCATCGGAGTCTCATGTGCTCGACGGGTTGGAATTCAAGTGACAATGCCTGGTAGTCTGAGTTGATTAGATTCACAAACATGCCTTAGTAGCATACAAGTCAACTGCACTTCGAGTTTGAATCTATATAGTGAAAACGCGGATTACATATAAAGACAGCAAAGTATGCATCGGTCGGCGCCATAGCCCCTAAAAGGGTATAGTGTCCCATGATTAATTCCCAACAGGGAAGGTGATGGCCAGAATTAGTCATCCCCGCCTCTTGCCTCGGACCGCCAGCCTCGGCCCATGGGGATGCGGGGATCTGGACCTCATTCTCTCCATATATCAACACCAATTACACACTTCACTCCATCACACTCTCCCCACCACACCCATCCATCTCCATTCAGACAACAGCATGGCCGACATATCCCCCATCCCCTTCGCCGAACCCCCCTACCTCCGGGGCCTCCCATCCCCCTACTACACCCCCTCGCACCGCTCATTCCAAAAAGCCTGCCGGTCCTTCCTACACGAACACCTGCACCAGCACGCAATGGAGTGGGAAAAAGCCGGCACCGTCCCCTCGCACGTCTTCGCCACCTTCAACGCCCACAACATGCTCCTCCCCAACCTCCCCGCCCCCCTGCCCGTATCCTGGCTGAAGCGGCTAAACATCCACGAGATCCTCGGCGTGAAAGTCGAAGAATGGGACTACCTGCACACGGGCATCTACTGCGACGAGATGGCGCGGTCTGGGCTGAGCGGGCCGAGCGGGTCGCTGACGGCGGGGTTTGCGTTCGGCACGCCGCCGATCATCAAGTATGGCAGCGAGAAACTGCAGGAGAAGTTCCTGCCAGATCTTCTGACGGGACGGAAGCGGAATTGCATTGCGATCACGGAGCCGGATGCGGGCAGTGACGTTGCGGGGATTACGACGACGGCGACGAAGAGCGCGGATGGGAGGTTTTATATCGTGAATGGGAATAAGAAGTGGTGCGTCTACTTACCTACTCACCACAACGCAATGGCAATGGCAATGCTGATGTACGCTGCAGGATCACCAACGGCATCTGGTCGGACTATAGCACGATGGCCGTGCGGACGGGCGGCCCCGGCGCAGGGGGTCTGTCCCTCCTCGTCGTGCCATTGAAGGGGTATCCCGGCGTGACAATGCAGCGCCTCAAAGTCGCCGGCCAGATCACCGGCGGAACAACATACATCGAGCTGGACGACGTCAAAGTGCCCGTTGAGAACCTGATCGGCGCCGAAGGCGACGGCATGAAAATGATCATGAACAACTTCAACCACGAGCGCCTTACCATCGCCGTCGGCGTAACGCGGCAAGCGCGCGTCGCGCTCTCCACCGCATTCGCCTACTGCATGAAACGCGAGGCGTTTGGGAAAACGCTCATGGACCAGCCTGTTGTCCGCCACCGGCTCGCGAAGGCAGGGGCCGAGCTCGAGACGATGTGGGCGTTTGTCGAGCAGCTGCTGTACCAGATGGTGCATCTGCGGAAGGAGGAGACGGATCGGCAGCTCGGGGGGATTACGGCGCTGGCGAAGGCGAAGGGCGCGATGGTGTTGAATGAGTGTGCGCAGACGGCGGTGCTGCTGTTTGGGGGTGCTGGGTTCACGAGGCAGGGGCAAGGCGAGCTGGTCGAGGCGATACTGCGGGATGTGCCTGGTGCGAGGATCCCCGGGGGCTCGGAGGATGTGCTGTTGGATTTGTCGATTCGGCAGCTGGTGAAGCTGTTTAAGGCGGAGGAGGGGAAGTTGGGGAGGGCGAAGATGTAGCCTTGCACCTTTTCGTTTGATGTACTTTATCGCGTTGGTTGGATATCTTCATTCGAACAGCTCCATAGAGTCTTGTCGGGTCTTTTCCGGCCACCCCGGAAAACGTGGTCGCCACGTTTATACAGTTCTATCTTATCATTAAGGAGTCTCAGTTGATTAACCCTATCTAGTAAAGCGTGTGCGTATCAGCGAGTTATCATCCATCCTGCTATCTCGCCGTCACTAGCCCCATACAGTATCAGTCCATCTCCAACAGATAAAGATAAGTCGGCCGCCACTTATCAATGACACGCCAGATGATAACGGAATGGTTTTAGTTTTACCTCCTCGAGCCCTCATCCATCATGCATTGCATCAATCTATCCATTTGCACGACCCATCAAGACAAGCTTGCAACGCACCGCAGCCATGGGCCTCCGCGAACGCCTGCAGGTGAAACAAGGCGACGCCAACCTCGCCGTCGAAGGCGTCGCCTCGAACAAAGACCTCGACCCGATTCCACTCGACAGCCCGAAGCGGACGTGGCGGTGGCCGTCGCTGCTGGGGTTCTGGGTTGCCGAGGCGTTCAGCATTAGCATGTACCAGGGTGCGCAACCATCAACCTTAACTAACTTGTTCGCTGAGGGGATTAGCTAACGGGAGCAGTAACCTCTAGTTCGGTCAGTAAAGGGCTCAGTGCGCCGATGGCCATTGCGGCGGTCGTGGTTGGGCATGTCCTTGTTTGTATTCCGGCCATGCTGGATGGGTATGTCTAACCTCCACCTCCAAATCAAATGGGAGAGACCGTACGAACGACGGCGGCTAATGCAGGTTGACAACAGCTACGTCGGCGCCATCTTCGGCATCAACTTCCCCATCTACACGCGCGCCAGCTTCGGCATGAAGGGGAGCTACTTCGCTGTCTTCGGTGCGCCCCAGCCCCCCACCCACCAAACCACATCCCAAGCCCTCCAGTGATGTGCTAACCCATAGATACTGATAGTCCGCGGCATCGTCGCCATAATCTGGTTCGGCACGCAGACCTACCAAACCGGCCAATGCGTGTCCACAATGATCTCCGCAATCTGGCCGTCCTTCAAGCACATGCCCAACAAACTGCCCGCCAACGGGCCCATCACCTCCTCCGAGCTGCTGTGCTTCTTCCTCGCGATCCTACTACAGGCACCACTCCTCTGGCTGAAAGTCTCCAAACTCAGATACCTCTTTATAGTCAAGACAGCCATCATGCCCATCTTCGGCATCGTCCTCTTCGCCTGGGCCGTGAAGGCAGCCAACGGCTTCGGGCCTGTCTTCTCGAAACCCTCACACATCGCCGACGGGACACCGGTGGCCGTCGTCTTCCTGCAGTGCGTTACGTCGGCAATCGGACCGAAGGCAACACTCGCGCTCAACATGCCCGATTTCACGCGTTACGCGAAAAAGCCACGCGAGGTATTCTGGACACAGGCCGTAGGCCTCGTAATTCTCGTGTCGCTATGCGGCGTCCTCGGGGCCACAGTCTCCTCCGCCAGCGAAGTCATCTACGGCGTGCAGACGTGGAACCCGCTCGAAGTCGCCGTGTTGTGGGAGAACCGGGCGGCTCAATTCTTCGCGGCGTTCTGCTGGTCCCTCGCGGCAATCGGGACGAATATCAGTGCGAACAGCGTGAGTTTCAGCAATGATTTGGCCCTTTGGTTCCCGCGGTACATTGACACGCGGCGGGGCGCGTATATTTGTGCGCTGCTGAGTATCCTCAGTATGCCGTGGTATATCCAGAACAGCGCGGCGAGTTTTTCGGCGTTTTTGGGTGGGTATAGTTTGTTTCTTGGGGCGATTGCGGGGGTTATTGTGGTGGATTATTGGGTTTGTAGGGGGAGACGGATGAGGTTGAGGAGTTTGTATGAGGCGAAGGGAACGCATTATTTCTGGCACGGGGTGAATGTTCGGGCGATGGTTGCGTTTGTTTGTGGGATTGCGCCGAATATGCCGGGTCTTGCGGCGGTTACGGGGCAGAAGGGGGTGCCGAAGGGGGCGAGCTATTTGTATAGTTTGAGTTGGCTGGTGGCGATTGTTGTTTCGGGGGTTGTGTATTATGTTTTGTTTTTGGTTTGGCCGTTTGAGGTTGATGAGAAGGTGGTGAGTGTGCTGGAGGGCTTGGAGGATGGCGATGTTAGGGTTGAGGAGGGGGTTGAGCCGAAGAAGTAATCTGTTATCTTGCAATTATGTAGGGAGGGTTAGTTGATTTATTATACTTATACTTTCATCATCAAAGCTCATCGATGCTAGTCGGTCATTCAGTGTTTAGAAAGTTACTGGTATTTAGATATTAGGGCTAAGACGTTGGTAGGCCCGAGGTCAAGATGCATGCAGTCCTGTGGATGCATACTCTGGAGATAAAGAGTCCCAGAAAAATAGTATTTACAAGAAGTTTAACTCTATAAACTACAGGTAAGTCTGCCCCCTCCCCTCCCTCGTCACCCTCGAACTGGCATAAACGCCCCTCTTCGCCGTCCGTCCCCCCATCCTCAACAACCCAACAAGATGATGCACGCCCGCAACAACCCCATCAACAACCTGGACATCCGGCCCAACCTCCCCCTCAACCGCCTCCTTCAGCTTCGTCATCCCCGCGCACCCCAGCGTAATCACATCCGCCCCCCGCCCAACAAGCCTCCTCGCCGCACCACACATCGCATCCAGCACCTCCCTCTCCCCCTTCCGTTCCAGCCCAAGCACACCAAGCCCGCAACTCTCAACGCCAACGCTAAACCCATCCAGCCCGTAGTTCCGGATACTATCGGTATGCAAGACAGCCGAGCGCGACGAGGTCACGACGATGCCGAAGCGCCCGCCTAGTGTTCTTGCCGCGAAGAGGGATGCCTCCATGATGCCTACCACCGGGGCGGAGAGTTCTTCGCGCAGGGCCTTGATGAGCGGGTGCTCGCTGTAGCAGGCGACCAGGAAGGCGTCGTAGGTCTCGGCGATGGGGATGAGGGCGCGGACGGCGGCGGCGGTGGAGAGGACGGCGTCAAGACTGCCTTCGATTGCGGTTGGGGCTGGGTGCGGCGCTGTGAAGCCGTCGACTTGGATGTCGGGTGGTAAGGTTGGCGCAACCATCTCGAGACACTTGGATGTCATGGACGCTGTGGCGTTGGGGTTGATGAGGAGGATGCGGTGTTTCTTGCCTGGTCCAGCATCCCCTTTGATGATGTTGGCCGTTGCCTCTACCTTCTCCTTTTCAACAGGGAGAACAGGAACGGTCTCCTTCAGCCCACCTGTCTTTTCACCAGAAGTGAGAAGAGGCGGCTCAACAACCCCCGCCCTCTCAACCAGCAACCCATAATGCTCGACCCGTCGATGCCGCCCAAAATCAAACGTGCGTTTCCGCCCAGGCAGACAAAGATCCAGATCGCAGTCGGCAATAACAACCTCATCCTCCACCGTCCGTCCCTCCGCCAGAATCCGTCCTTCCGGATCAACAATCATACTCCCCCCAATAAGCGGGTACATCCCATCATCATTGCCGCAGCGCGCAGAAGCCACAGAAAAGACCGCATTCGTGTACGAATGAGCCTGCATAACCAGCTTATGGTGGAACAGCGAGAACGCCTCCGCCTCCTCGCGCGTCATATCGCCCTTCTGGCCCCAGAACTGCGGCGCGAACCCGTTCGTGTTGTACCCACAGAGAATTATCTCTGCGCCCTGCAGCCCGTAACACCGCCAGCTCTCGGCCCAGCGGCGGTCATTGCAGATCATCAGGCCCACGATCGGGTCCCCGCGGACCCGTCCCTCTGCATCCGGCGTATTCGGGTCCGAAATAAGTCCCGGTACCCGGAACGCCTTGTACCCCAAGTCCCCGGGGAGAAAGTACCTCTTCTCCAGCTGATTCACGGCCTCCGGGTCAGGGAGCGGCTCAAAGTCCCCGGGGAGGTGGATCTTGCGGTACCGCGCGAGGATATCGCCGCTTTGGGCGTGGTAGTACACGCAGCTGTTATAGTGGTCTCCGGTTACCGTGGCCTCTGCGAAGCCGACTACAATGTCGACGGCCAGTTCTGACGCAGCGTCGAAGAGCGCCTTTGTGTTGGGCGCGCTGCGGATGTCGCCGTGTTCGAACCACGACGCTAGCTCGGTCTCGTCGGTGATCAGGTACCGCGGGAAGAAGGTGGTGAAGGCGATTTCGGGGAAGAGGACGATTTGCGCGCCGCGGCTTGCGGCGTCGTGGAGGAGCGTTATCATGCGCTGCAGAGTGTCGGCGCGCGAGTCCCATTTGTTGGTCGTGCCCATTTGGGCGGCGGCGAGGCGGACGGTTCGGGCCATGCTGAGGGGTCTGATGATACTCGGTCAGTGATGGGAATACGGCATTAGTGTTAATGCTCTTGATAAGTATTTAACTGGGATGCGCGGAGAAATATCCGGTCGGGGAGAGGGGCCTATCGGTCTATCTTATCATCGCCGTTGGAGTAGAGACGGTGGGGATGGAGGCAGATGGGTTGGAGATAGGCATAATGCGAGATCGGCCTGTAAGTATTTAGATAATACAGTGAACTTGATCCCATTCCCGCATCCTGTTCCCACGGCAAGCATCCAAAATGGCCGACATCGAGCTCATCATCACAAACGCGACCATCGTACATCTCCCCCCCACCCACCATAAGAGCTGCAGCAACTTCTAACAAAGACACAGGCAACAGCCTCAGACACCCTCCCAAACACCGACATCGCCATCTCGCACGGCAAGATCTTCCTGCTGGGCCAAAACCTCCCCGCCCTCTTCCCAACCGCACCCACCCTCTCCGCCGACGGCGCCTACGTCCTCCCCGGCGGCGTCGACAGCCACGTCCACCTGCAACAAGACAACAGCCCAACAGGCGATACGTGGGAAACCGGCACGCGCTCCGCAATCGCCGGCGGAACAACAACAGTCCTCGCCTTCGCGTCGCAAAAACGCACAGACGAGTCCCTCTTCCCTGTGGTAGAAGAATACCACCGGCGCGCGCGCGGAAACGCCCACTGCGACTACGGGTTCCATCTCATCCTCTCCAATCCAACGCCGCACATCCTGGAAAATGAACTGCCTATCCTCGTCAAAGAAGAGGGGATCTCGAGTGTGAAGCTATACATGACATACCAGCCCATGCGCCTCCGGGACTCCGAACTCCTAGACGTCATGGGCACCACGCGGTCTCTAGGAATGACAACGATGATCCACGCCGAAAACGCCGACATGATCGACTGGATGACTCGACGCCTGGAAGCGCGCGGGCATGTCCAGCCATACGCGCACGCATTAGCCCGCCCCAACATCGCCGAGGACGAGGCGACGTACCGCGCGCTCAGTCTAGCGCAACTCGCCGACGTCCCGATATTGATCGTGCACATGAGCTCCGCCGTTGCAGCGGGACATGTCCGGCGCGCGCAGACGAAGCTGCTCCCCGTGCATGCGGAGACGTGTCCGCACTACCTGTTCTTCACGGCGGAGAAGTTGCGCGGCGAGGGGTTCAGCGGTGCGATGTGTGTTTGCTCTCCGGCGTTGCGGGAGAGTGCCATGGATCTCGATGCCATGTGGGATGGGCTGGTGAATGGGACGTTTACGACGTTTAGTAGTGACCATGCGCCGGCGAAGTACGTCCCCTACCTACCAACTTTCAGAATCGATTGCCTACAGAATACAGGATGGAATACTAATGGTGTTTATCAGATACGACCACCCGCTCGGCAAGAAAAAGGGCACGGAGACATTCACACAGATCCCGAACGGATTGCCCGGTCTCGAAACGCGCATGCCCTCGCTTTTCTGCGCGGGCGTGTTGACGGGGCGACTGAGCGTGCAGAAATTCGTCGAGCTGACGGCGTCAAACCCCGCGAAGCTGTACGGGCTCTCTGATACCAAGGGGACGATTGCGCCGGGGTACGACGCGGACTTGGTGATCTGGTATCCGACGCCCGAGCAGGCGGAGGCATTCGCTGAGAAGACCGGCAAGACGACCGGGAGCAAAGGCATGACGCCGTTCAAGCTGAGCAACGCCATGCTGCACCACGACATCGACTACACGCCGTTCGAGGGCATGGAGTTCACCAACTGGCCGCGGTATACGATATTGCGCGGCAAGGTCGTGTATGATCGCGATGGGGCGGGCGTTGTGGGCGTCAGGGGGGACGGCGGGTATTTGAAGCGCGGGCGGAGCACGTTGAGTCGGCCGAGGGGTGTGTTTGTGAATGAGTTTGATCCGTATGCGACTTAACCAGGTTATAATGAAGCTGAAATGGATTGGAACTGGAACTGAATGATGGTATGCATTGAACGGTAGAACATGGTATGGTATATGGTATATGTAGACGTAAACAGGAGGTATGGAATCAGCACCCGCAACAAAGACACTCGGCGCACTCGATGCAGCACTCGCAGGCTTCTTCGCAGAGGAAGCAGCAGCAGAGAGTCATGAGACTGTCCAGGAAACAACATCAACAACCGTATCTTTCATACAAGGTTATAGGGAGACGGGTACGCACCACGCAGTCAAACACCCACGATCCTTCTTCTCCTCGGGCGGCGGCGCCTGCTGGTATTGCATCTGGGGAGGAGGGTAGGCCTGCGGCGGGGGGCCGTAGCCGGGCTGGGGAGGGGGGTAGCTGCACGACAATCCCATTAGCTTTCTCATCTTCACCCGCTGTAGGTATCCTGTGGTAGGGTATGTGGAGGACGTACTAATTCCCAGGGGGAGGGGGACCTTGTGGCGGGTACGACATGTTGTGAGAGCGTTAAAGAGTGGATGACAGGAGTCTGGGGAAGAACTGGAAACAGGAGAGGGAGAGCAAATGTTTTATTTTGGGAGCCAGGCAGAAGGATAATGGGAATCGTCAGCCCTGCAATGCGGTTCCACTGGCGTCTGTCCCACTTTGCGTTCGATAGTTTGTGGGTTGGATTGGCATGTGCCGTATCCTTAATTGAAGCTTTCACGGTATAGTCAGGGGAGAATTGCTGTTGAGTACTATGAGTAGCTGCAATTCTCTCTCTCCTATAGCTATAGCTACAGAGCGAGGCGTCTTGAAAGCAGTCTGCATGTGTTGACCGCATCCCAGTGCAGTATAAAAAGCACAGAATGCCAAGAGATGCCAACAGCCCCTTAAGGCTGGCTCCACTTGTGCTTTACTGAGTGTCATTGGCTGAGAATGGTGCTGCCTAGCCGGCTCAAAGAAAGGAGAAGCGGCCCACTCGGTCTGCAATGACAATCATGATTGGGCAGATTATCTATCTAAGCACTGGAGTTATGCACTCTTATACTCTGGACTTATGACTGTTGTCCGCGGAGTGCGAGGTCTAGCCTGCTATGGACGATACCGAGGCTAATTGGAAGCTTCTTAGAGGCGTAGATACAGAACTCACACTTCCCTCTGCAGGATTGCCTAGGTAAAATGCATCGTTTTCCGCTTCCGCGGACTCCTCTGCATCAGTCAACTACTTGTCACTTTGCTGAGCCCGACCGCCTAGGTGGCGGTCGGTTAGCCCCACCCATATAAAAATATTATCTTAATAAAAATTGTAAATTTTGGTTTAACCTATTAACTTTAAATTACCATAACTCCACTAATTTTTAAGATAAAGCTTTATTTTAAAAATAAATTTATTATTAAAAACGCCCTTGCTAAATATATATAAAAAAAAGTAAATAATTTAAATATTTTACTGTTTAAAATCGCGAAAATATAAAATATTAATTACTAATATTTATAAAAACATGTTTTTAATATAGGGCCTTAATCCCAATACCAGGGTGCCAGGAAATAAATAAATAATATATAAAAAAAGGTTTTATTAAATTTTATTAAAAAATAAAATAACCTAGGCGCTTTAATAACCTTTTAAATAATTAAAGGTATTATAAATAAAATTCTCTAGATTGGCTTTAACCCTAGTAATTTAAATAACTTTTAATTATTTATAATTAGCAAGAATTAGGCCGGGCGCTTTATAAAAAAGTATTTAAAGTTTTTTAAAAAAAAGCGGGTGTTAAAAAAATAAAAAAGGGTAAAAAAAAATATTAAAATTATTTTATACTAGTTTAATAAGTTTTATAATATTATTAAAGCCCATGGGATTTAAAATAAAAATATTTAAAATATAAATAAAATAGGCTTTAAAATAGGCTAGGGAAGAACTTTAAATACTATATTTATATATTATTTTAATTATATTTTTTTTATAAATTTAAGATCTTAGCAAAAGCTTATTATATTAGTTAAGTATATATTTATAGCTAGTTAACTTCTTTTTTTACTCCTAATCTTACCTAAGCAGGTGTTTTTAAAAAACTAAATTTTTTTAATTAATTTCCCTAATAACTACATAATTAAAAAAAGTAAAACTAGCTATATAAGCCATGAGCTTAACTATAAATAATTTAGGTATTTTTATAAAAAAACTAAAAAACACTAAAAAAAGTATATTAGCTTTTTATTTTTAATTAATATATAAGCTATATTTTTTATAAATTAGCTGCGCTGGTAGCTAAAAAAAAAGTTTTACTACTTTTTTTACTATTTTACTTAACTTATCTTTTTTAACTGCTTAACTTAGTCCCTTTTTAGTAGCTTAAAAAGGTTTATAAAAAGCATGTTAATAAGCTAAGCTATTTTAGCAGCTAGAACTATAATAAGGTTTATTTTCTTAATAATATTAAGTTAATTTAAATAAAGGCATTAACTATAAGAGTTATAAAAAAGGGCTAGAGTAAAATTAGCCTTTAACTATTTAATTTTAATATAATTTTAAAAAAAATAGGCACTTTAAAAACTTTAAAAAGGCCTTTATAAATATTAAATAATAAGCATGTTATTAAAAGCATAGCTAATTTTAAGGCTTTAAGGTCTCCTATAGCCTAGTAAATTATACCTTTTTTTATAATATTAAAAATTATTTAATTAACACGCCGCGATATTAAATTAATTAAGCAAAAGTATTTTAAACTTTTAAAGTTTTTTATACTCCAGCGCCTTATCCAAGGGGTTATTTATTAATTTAAAAGCCTAACTATAATAAAAAGAAAACTAAACTAAAAACTTATTAAAAGGTTAAAAAAGCGCTATAATCCTAGATTTAAAAAGTAATTTAATAAAATAACAAACTTTTTATATATTAAAGATATAAAGAAGCATGTTAAGAAAAAAAAAAAAAAATAAATTAATAAGCTATTTAAAGCGCATGCTGCTAAGTAAATAAAACTAGCTAAAAATATTAAGAAGATAATAAAAAAAAAGGCTAATAATATACTAAATAAAGCGCTATTTATTAGGAATTAAAATAAGCCTATTAAAAACTTTATATAGCTTTATTTTATTAAGATATTATTATTTAAAGGTTTTACTATTATAATACTAATTATTAAGGCAGCCTGTTTAACACGTGTTTTCTCGCGTAGTTTTTATATTATTAATTTAATATTAATATAGCTAATCCGCGAATACCTAAAAATTAGCCTTATTTATTTTATTTTATAATATTTATTATTTTAGCTAAGAAAATAAGTTCTAAATAGCTTCATGTTTAATTAATTTTTATTAAGATAATATTTTTATATGGGTGGGGCTGACCGACCGCCACCTAGGCGGTCGGGCTCAGCGAAGTGACGAGTATTAGCCAATTTGACGCCAGGGTGATACGTGGATCAGACTACCTGCTAATGGGTTCTTGGCTTGGGGGGAGCGAAGGCGCCTTAATGTTCAAGATGGGTGGTTGATCGTCGTGATGGCGTCTACTCTGGCACCACTTCACATACGTATTTTGACCGCTTGTATAACAAACTCAAACCTAACTTTAGCTGAGTATAGCTGCAGCAGTACATCCAATCTACTGACACGCGGTGCTTAAAAAATAATCTAGTCTTCTAGCCATTGCAATCTTCACCGCTACCCAGGGACCCTATAAGCTGACGGCTTAGACAAAAGCTTGGCTCCCTCGGCCGAGCCTCTCAGAAGCCCTAAGTCCGACATACGGAGTAGATCCTTCGCGGGGCTGTGCAGGAGATGTATTTCTCTTTGTGTCCAATCAAGAAGCAGTTCACCATATGATCCCGCAAGAACATAACCAGTGAAGGGTAACGGTTGCTGACACCTACCTCTTTCCTGTTGTACCAGTTACTTCTAGGCCATGAGCCAAAGTATGGTGTGGGAAAAAGATCCATAAAGACCTTGAAAGTTTACCTTCGGACTACACACAACTTTGGTAGTTGTAGTTGTAGTTAATGCCCCAAGGCTAAGTAGACAAAAATATAAAGTTAGCGGTATCTAGACAATTCCATCAGTCAGGCAGTTAATCCGCTGCCGTGTTGTCCATAGCAGCACAAACGATCAGTTCAATCACTACCTAGAGAAATGAGCTGCGGGCTGGACCTTAGGGTCTGGATCCCCCAGCCCTAACGGGATACGGTGCAAAATGGGAGGGAGTATAATTGCCGGAGCTGGGCAAGGGCGCCCACTGCTACCGGAGCTGTGTAGCTACCATATGGAGCTCGACTAGCCACCTGCAGTTCGCCGTTTAGCTATGGCCTCGTTGACAGCTAGAATGTGGGACGACAGGATGAGGGTCTATGCTCCAGCTGAGGAAACATTATCAAAGCCAATGGCTATATAGACGCAATCCGCTGGCAAGTTCTTGGTATATCATTGAATCTGCAGTTATCCCCTAACACGCTCATTGACATACATTCCCAGCGCCTGGTCAACATGATCTGACTTAAGATGGCAAGCCGTTACGAGAAATCAAATCTGCACCTAAGCTAAACAGCCTTCAGGGTCATCGGGAACCCTAATAAAAATCATCCGGCCATTGAAATAATAGAGAACAAACGAATTTCCGTGGCAGACGCTCTTAAACTCGCGATAGTCAGGAGGAATCCACAGGACTCTATTTCGGCCTTGCATGACCCAATCCTCGGTCAATGAGGCATATCCAAGATCTTTATGGGGTTCCGAACCATCAATACTAACGCGTCCGTAATCAGTTTGCAAGAACTGGGCGTCTGGCGAAAAGGAAATGGTGGAGGAATGCAAGAGCAGCGGGGTCTTTACCGTAACCATTCGGCTACGGAGCCCGTCCCACGAGTAGATCTTATGAAGCTTCCGTTTTCTATCTCGACATGCGACTGTCTTGCCGTCCGACGAGAGCGCGACATCACGGAACGAGCCGGGCTCGCTTTGAAAATATAGTTGCGCGTCATTCAGATTATTGTTCTCGATCGTCCAGACTGAGACAATATATCTTTCAGATGCATCCGGATATCTAGATATTGCTGCGAATGCTTTGCCGTCCGCTGAGAATGCGATTTCCTCGACGTCGCCTTGCATGTCTTTTGTGGTGCACTTGGTCCGGCCCTCCGTGCATGATACGTCTTCCCACATGTAGATTGTGTTGGAAGCTAGAGTTACAAGGGTGTGGGCGGCAATCGGTGGGAATACTGCCCGCACAACCTCATGTGTGTGGCTGAACTCATGTATCTTCTGACTGCTGGCCATGTCCCAAAGGTGAACAATATTTCTGGATACAGAGGCCAGAAAACCACCGCACAGGGATAAGGCAATGCGGCTGACCCAACGCTCCCCGTCATGCTCAAACTTGCGTGGTTCCTGGGCTGATCCGGGATTAGAGGCCAAGACAGTTCGATCGAACGACGCGGCAAATGACTTTCCGTTGGCTGCAAACACAAGGTTTGTGAACAGGGATTTATCTGGGTTACTAAATGTATATATCCTGGTACCTGTCCTTGCGTCCCAAAGACAATGCTGGTGATCAAGGGAGGCCGAAGCTATGTATCTTCCATCTGGAGAGAAGATTACTGTTGTGAAAAAGTTCGTGTGGGCACGCTCCTGGTAAGTAGCAGCATCGGCAATGATGTCCTGTGGGTCTGCTCTGACCAACATACTGGAACCGATTCCATGACTTTGGCCGGCTTGTTGTTTCTCCAAGTCCCAGATCTGAATCTCATTGCGATAGCCCAGTGCAAGAGTTCCGCTGTTTGACGAAAGAGCAACGCATTGAACTCTCTCAAAGCCCAGCCCATCAAGGTCTTGTACCTTTTGACCTGTTGTTGCGTCCCAGATGGAGACAAAATTGACATCGATAGAGGCAAACAGCTTTCCGTCAGGCGAAAAGATCAACTTATAGGCCGACGGACGCGAATCGCGGAGTCTTTGCTGTTTCTTATCGGGAACTATGTGTCGGAGAAAGATTTCCTCATCCGGGCCAACCCAAGCAACAGCTGTTCCGCTCGTGGAGAGCGTAAGCATGGGGCGGGGATGTTTTCTAGAATCATCGATTTTAACTTGTCCAAGCTCCAGCCGCTCCTCCTGACCAGAATTGATGTCTAAAATTGACACGGTTGGTCCCGTAATGGATGGTTCCTTTTCAACAACCCATGCTACCAGCAGTTTCTTTCCATCCGGGAGGAATGCCACATCTACCGGAGTGAGGCCGAGCCCACTCTTCAATAACTCTTCCTGCCCTGTTAAGGGATTCCTAAGGCAGAGCCTGTTACGCGAGGCGCAGACAACCCTCTGCGAGTCTGGTGAGAAGGCAACAACTGCAGACGGGTGCTCCCACCTTTGAAGCTCTTTGCCCGTCGCCGCGTCCAAGCAGGTGACTATCCCCTGTGCAGAGGTTGCCACGATCATTATATTGTCTGGTGAGAAAGCGAGATCTCTGATTGGACCGTCAACCTTGCTCCTGAGCTTCTCCTCGCCGGTTGTAGTGTCCCATAGTTGAATCATATCAACACTCACAGAAGCGAACATCTTGTCATCAGGCGAGAGCACGAGCGCCGTGACTACCACCCCAGTAGCCTCCAACGTTTGACGGAGAGCCGTCCACTCCAGTACTTCGTTTCCAGGAGCGACTGTAATCCAATTAAGCATGCAAGGCTTGAATGTCTGCGCCACCAGACTTCTCCTCGGTGCAAAAGCGAGGGCAGATACGTAAACTTGCAGTGGAGACAATGCGATGATTGACCGGAAACTCAAAATGAACCGTTTTGCGTCGTGAAGGAAGGCAGCTATCTTAGCACTTTCCCTGGGCTGAATAAAATGGATTAGTATTGGTTGCAACAGCGTCTGGTGATGCTTGGACTCACTGCGACGAGATTTTGGAGACTCCGGATCATAGCAATGCTGTCCGAGACACACCCTAGGAGGCTCAGAGCTTCTAACCAGTGGAGGAGGTGTTGCGTCAGAAAGGCAAGCGTTCTGTGCTGGTCGTTTAACTGTATATCACTTCGCTCGAGATGATGAACCCAGTAGAGGCACGCGTAACGGGCGTGCGGAGGTAGGCAGGTAGTGATGACGGCGTCTGGGATGTCTGTACGGGCCATTCCGGGGACGGTGAGACCGCAAATGTTCTTCTTTAAGTTATTGCCAGGAAAAAGTAAGTCGAAGCACGCATTTGCGAGGTTGCGATGTGCTGCTTTCTCATCTATCCAGAGCGGATTCGTTTCACGCTTATCTGAATCCACAAGAAAGTCGCGAAAAGATAAATGGAGCATCTTGATGGGAAGGGTAGGAGAGTCGGGCACTCCTAGAACAGAGTGAAGGGACATCAATCTTCGATTAATGACTGCTGGGTCTACGGCAAGGATACTGGCGAGCGAGTTCGCCGAAAGAGGCTCGGCTAGCATCACAATCGAGCCTACAATGAGGCGGAACTCGACATTCAGGGATTGCTGGGCTGCCTTGTTTGTCGAGTTCAGTTGGCTGAGGATCGGAAGGTATGTAGCGTCGAGCTTGTCCAGTTCACGCAGCTGAGCAGCTGCCCGGTATTGCAGGATCTTCTCGAGTTGCGCCTTGGGGTCAGCCCATGCCCGGTCTCCTATAAACCGACAGACTGTGGCTGCAAAGATGAAAAGAGGAATTGCCGTTTGGACCAGTCCCCGGATCACCGACTCGCCGGGCCAGTCAGGGGGTAATCGGGAATCGCCAGGACAGAGACAATTGTAGTCGTCGCTGATTTTTCGCAACTCGGTAATGAAGAATGCCGTCAGATCGTGGATGATGACGTCCTCCGGTATCAGGTGCAAGGCTCTTTCCTCGAATTCGCCGCGAATGGCATCGAACCCGATCCTGACACCCTGCTCAGGTCGGCCTGTCAGAAAAGCCCTCCAGCGTACCGAGTCTAACCCAGCACCGCGAGACATATGATAGACAAGTCGCCTAATATCCTCTTCCCGTCCACACTCGTCAAGAGCGTCGACGACAAGCAGGACCGTGGTTGATTTGCCTGGTCGAGATTTCAGAAGACTTAGGGGTTTCAGGATAAGCTGATCAAATTGATCTCCCATGGGCTTCCGAGTGATCGCCGGATCTGCGTCGATCGCAGCCTTGACGCTCACTGCGAGGGCCGGGGATATTGCAATGAGTTGAGAAGTGATGGTCGTGACGAACCTGGCCGCGCTGGCCCGCTCCCCTTCGCCACGCTTGAAGAAGAAAGTGCCAACGAGCGCCTTCCTGTCCGCAAAGTGCTGCGCAACAGTCCTGGACACGGTCGACTTGCCCGTGCCTGCCATTCCTTGCAGCCAGAAAATGCTCTTTCCCGATGGATCATCGACCCAGTTATAGATTTCTTGGAGGAGGTCGATTCGCGTTTCCGAATGGCATCGCGGGTCATGTTCGTTCGTTTGAGAATCGAAGATGGCGTCCTCGACTACAGGGAGTTTCGAAAGTACAAGAGTCTGACTAACATCGAGAACCTGTTCACTGCAATCTTCAGCACCCGCCTTCTGTCTATAAGCAGGAAACATACACTTGGTCAATGGTAAGCGCCGCCAACAACGTGTCGCGCCGGCGTTCGAAGCCCGCGATAAGCCGATCAACCTCTCGACTCTCGAACGGCCATTTCAAAGCCCGGATACCAAACTTCCGCATAGTACGCGAGGACGTTGAGCCGAGCTTCTCCTCCAACCTGTCTCCCAGGCTCGCCAATTCCGAACGGCATTCATCGAGGCTCAGGCTCACAGCTTGGGAAGTCTTGAGATGGGCGCCACGTGGACTGTTCAGCAGCCGCTGCGCACCTTGGAGCGTCGTCCCGAGTCTGTGCAGCTCGCCTCGAAGGCGCTCAATCTCGGGCTTGGCATTTTTGACGGCGGTGGAATACTGGAACAGGATTGTAGTGACTTTGGCTGATAGTTCTATCACGGCGATAATGCTCGCAGCCGCTCCGACTGGTTCCATATTGGCTGGTCAGGGCGATGAAGGTAAGAAGGTCAAGGTGGGGTTCATCTGACGATGCTGACGAGGACGTCTCGCGAGGCTGGAGTCAGCATCATCCATGCAGCTTCCAAGTTGTTACACGATGACGTGGCGGATAGCGGTTGGCGCGGCTGAAGGCTCAATCCTCTGAAAGTAGCAGGTACATTGCCTAGCCGTCCTTCAACCGGGCTAACATAACTCAGAGGATGTGCTCCGTACGTGAGGGCATGATTCCGGAGTATACGGGTCGCTCGGGCGCTGTTTTGCCCGATTGGAAGGTCAAATATGTCCATGGGCGCGACTGACCAGTTTACGTGGGATTGGCAATGATGGAATGCACTAGCTTTACAGAGCTCACACGGTGAGATGTACCACTACCACTACCACGGAACCGGACCCCGGAGGCTCCGTCCCGCCCGCGTCCCGGTCCCGCGGCTCGCTTGGGCTTGGCGCGGGGCATCGCTCCACAACACAGCCAGCCACAAGGCGGAAAAGTAAAAAGCAAAAAGAAAAGAAGAGAGGGCCGACCGCGAATTGAACGCGGGACCTAGCGGAAACAGTGAACTGCAGCCGCTTGCTCTACCTCTGAGCTACCGACCCTTGATGGAATAACTTGAAAATAATTTTTTATATCAGCCGCCGCAATAGGAGCAAAATTTTGTAACCCTATTTGTTATTCACTACGTCCTACTCTCAGAACACCCAAATCAGGCGTGTTTGGTGGTTTATAAGTTCGTACTAGAGACCTAACTGCCGAGCCTTACTCATGTCTTGCTAAAGGTTATATAGAATATTTAACTCCGTCTTTACATTATGACCTTCCCATTAGGTTATCCAAAATGGCCACCATACCTAGCACTTGAGGTTAGCTATATTGGTAATCTACAGATTGGTGTTAAATTGAGCCCTTTGGCATAGCTTTCAGCAAGCTGGTTTGCTTTGAGCTTAGGGCAGGTTCCCGATATTCCCCGTAGTGCGGCGAAGGTCGGCCATGGTTGGAAGGCTCGTGAGCTATGATTTTGATGAACCCGACCCCAGCCTGCTATAGATTGGTGATAACTAAGCCTTGTCTAGGAGGATCATTTCAAGGGTGTATTACCTAACTTAAGCTCATTGATGTCGTCTTATCCGATGTGCCGCAAAGGTCAACAGGCATACCGTACGCCAAAATATATAAAAATTAAAAACAAATCCTCACAACAAGCTTTGACGTGGTAGCAGGTGCTATAAAAATCAAACAAGCGGTCGATCATCCCAGCGACAAGTAAATACGGTCCCCATCTACAATTTAACCAACTTCCCCCCTCGACTCCTCATCCTCTTCCTCATCAGCCTCATCGAGTACGCCTTCTGCCAATGCCGTATAAACCCCGGCGTAAGCGGATACGTCACAGCAACCGTACTCATAAAGAGACTTGTAACCGCCCTCGTAGTCCTGGTAGACTTGAGCCCAAACACCTCCCTCACATTCAGCGGCAACTGCTCAATTGTTACAGGCCGGACAATCGTCAACAACACCCAAGCAATCGGCCGCGCCCACAAAGGCAAGCCCCTCGGATGAAACAACTCATCCAACACACCCCTCGCATCAGCAGTAACATCCAGCTGGTTATTTACGACATCATCCCAATACACCTTAAACGCCTTGCGATCAACGGGCCACATGTCCCTCGGAACCTGCAAAGACGTCCCCATGCACGCGAACGCCTGGTACACAAGCTCGGCCCTGAGCGGCGGGAGCTCCCCATAAACCCTCTCATACATCCCGACCATACTCACATAAATCGTAGCCGCAACCCAAAGCTGCAACTCAGGATTCATCGCATCATACACCTCGCTCTTCCTAAGTCCACGCGCAACCTCCCCCTTGACCCGCGAGTGCGCCTTATCGACCCACTCCTTCATCGCGGCCTTCTCTTGGTTTGTCCCAAAGATCATGGCGAAGATGTACATCTGCGTATACTGCGTGCGGCTGATGGTGCGGGAGGCAAAGGTGCTATGGTCTGCGACGCCCTGGCCGACGAGTGGGTGTGCAATCTGCAGGAGGATTGCGGCGGCGCCGGCGCCAAGCGCGATGCCTTCTTTCGCGACCTTTTGGAGCTCCGAGATGGCGAGGTCGGTTTCGCCGAGGGGTGTGGCGTCGTTGTCGAGTTGGATTGTGATGGAGCGGGCTTGTTTGGGGGTTATGGTGCTGGTGGGCATTTTGGTGGTTGTATTTAGGACTTTGTGCTGAGGCGTAGGGGACATGCCCTGATCTACGATATCTAAATATATATATCTGCCCTTTCCCCCGTGCAGTCTTCCTGGATGATTTCTTCTAAGGTTGATAAGGTTACCCTGCCGTCGGGCCGCGAGCCGATGGGCGGGGTTCAGAGCGGGATAGTCCTAGTCATATGAATCTAGTTCTGATATACGGGGGTATGAGTAGACAAGGGCCTGGTAGATCTAGCGGGGGCTGCCCTAGGTAACCTGCAGACCTGGCGTTTGTTCCCTTATCAATTTTGGTCCACCGAAAACAAGCACATACGACCACAGGGTGTGGAGAACAGGGCTTCCCGTCCGCTCAGCCGTACTTAAACCACACGCCGGCTGGTTAGTAGTATGGTGGGTGACCACATGCGAATCCCAGCTGTTGTATGTTTTTGTTTTTTGCCTTGTTTTAGTGTTTTACTGGGTTAAAGACAGTTATGAAGGGGGGTATTGGAGGATTCCCCCAATTCGTACGCCACTGACCATGAACACGAGGCTGCTCCCTTCTTTAACGCCACTGGAGAGGTCCATACGTCCGAGGGAGGAATGTAGACACCGGGCTGCCTTGGATCCTACCTGGAGGCCGGGAGTTATGTAGCCCATACTCCATTCTCGATGCTCAGGCCTTTAGCTGGATTTTGGGACACGTTTTTGATCCGTCTCCTGACAGGTCTAATGACATGAGATCTAGTCTCTGTACTGATATTCAAAGAGCATAAATCAACCTCATCGGTCGGTTGGCGCCTCGTTATTGACACGATTTATGAATCCCATCGTAAGGACAACAGTCATGGTATATAATCGAAGCACGAGACAATGGTGTAGAATAAAACCTGACTCAGGGCCCCTGACATGATCCGCCGTGGTACTTACTCTCATATGAAGCAAGCAGATTACCATAGATATAAGCAACGAGCCGCGGGCCGAAGCTCGGCACGGCGAGGACGCTGATTGGTCACACTACATGCATGTTGCAATATGAACGATACTCTGCCCAAATATTCCGAGTCGAGAAGCACATCTGCTCGTGACGTCGACTTTGATTGATCTGGGTTAGCGCTGATGGCAATTTGAGCGCGGGGTTGGACCCTGACCGGGGGGCTGGGTATTGCTCAACAAGTACACCACCAAGAATCGGAGACACAGGTCATTTATCTGGAGTATCGGGGTAGGCCAAAGGAAGCAAGTGCGAGATAAAAACCTGTACGCGACCATACCATCCACACGCTAAAGTCATCCTGTGAAGTAAAGTCACACGCGTCCCTGCACGTACTCGACATGCTCGCCTGACTTCGGATCCTCGACCCCCGAAGCAGCAACCTGCTGAGCATCAAGACCATCCCCATCCGCGCTCTTCCCAACCGGCTCAGCAACAACATCCCCAAACCTCGCCGCAATCTCCTCCAGCGTCAACTGATTCGTCTCAGGCAACCAGACATAAAACGCAGCAAGGGCAAGAATATTCGTCGCAATGAAAACAAAATAGAACCGCCACTGGATCCTATCAAACGCAATGCTCGCCGCAAAACTGAGCCAAATGGCCGTGACGGACTGCGTAAACATGGCGAAGCCAACCCCCGTAGCTCGCAGATCAAGCGGGAAGATCTTGGACACAATCACCCAGATAGCGGAATTGAAGAAGAAGGCCCAGAAAAAGGCGTAGAGGAAGATGAAGGCCACGCCGGCGCGGCTGATGGCTGGGTCTTCGGTATCGGAGAACTCCTTGCATAGTGGTGTCAGCACAATCACGCACGAGGAACGCTTACGGAGCAGGTTTGTCCTGCTCTGAAGGGGGGCGTGGATTTGATCTCTGCTGGCTTGGTGGTGAGGTTTGTGAAGCAGTGGCGGCGGGACTGGGGGATGCTGCAGGATGTAGAGCCTGCTTAAGTATTAAAAGACATATGAAGGCTACTTCAGATCACAGCTCAATGCTGAGGAGATATAGTCCTGCTGGGCGAAGGCGGCAGACACGCAACCAAGGCATTCGGGGACGTACAGCACAGTCAAGAAGCAAGGGAGCTGGTGGAGAGTTACCTGGTTGGATATTGCTCCGAGGTAAATCCTGAAGCATTGACAGTTATTTGCTGACCGCTGATTATTGTATGATAGAGACCTTCTCTTGATCGAGAGACAAAATCAATGGCAAGACCGAGAAGTCAATATCCAAGCGGGATGCCCACGGACTATGGTAGTCCGCACTGAGCCTCCAGCTCTACACGACATTCCCATCCATTGACATATGTATCACGCTTCTTGTGTACCAAGGCAAAAGTCACCACCAACCCCCTTCTGTAATAGGCCTCAATATCTCCACAGCCTCAGATTTCCTTTCGTACACAGCCCAATCCAACGGCCTCCGATGCCACACTTTATCACGCAGCGCAACCTCAACCCCATAGCCCAGAAGAAGCTGCACCGTCTCAACATGCCCACGCTCGGCCGCAAAAGACAACGGGGTCCGCCCGCTGTGATCCAGGAAATCCGGATCACCACCCGCCTCAACCAGCGCCTCCACGATATCCGTCTTGCCTCCTACCGCAGCCAAAATAGTCGCATTCCACCCCATCGTATTCCCAAACATCACGCCGGGATTATTCTTCGCGGGAATGGCAGTATCGGGATCCGCGCCGTGCCGCAGCAGCAGCTTCACCAGCTCAAGGCTCGAAACATCAACGGCCCGCTGAAGGACGACGCCATATCCAAAGTCCAACGAGCCAACTTCGCCAATCAACATCTGCACCAGCGTTGTCTGCGTCCACCTCCTACTAATAGCACTTACCAGGGCGGATTGCACCATCTCGCAATACACCCGCTCGTCATCCCCCAGTCTCTTCTTGATGTCGCCAAGCAAAAGAGCCAAAGCATCTTAATTGCCCTCGCGTCCGTACGTAACCGCCATCTGGAGCGGCGAGTCAAGCGGGCTTGCATATAGCACATCGGCGCCACAGCTTATCAGCAGCTTCATCATCTCGACGTCGCCCAGCTTCGCGGCTACCCCGAGTCCGCTCCCAGGACCGCGGGTGCAGTTGTTGGGGTCCGGGCTAAAGAGTGCGTCACGAAGAAGAAACCGCACCACGTCTACGTGTCCATTCTCGATTGCCGCGTCCATGGGGTTGATCTTTAGCGTGTTTCCGTGCGGGATATGGCATTGCGGCATATACCGGTAGCAGATTAGCTCGCCTCGCCATATCATCTGTGTGTGGGTGTCCATTGTGGAGATGGACGCGAAGAGCGCACGCAGGGCGCGGAGGTAGCCATCCTTGCAGTGGTGATGCAGGGCCGCGAAGGAATGGGTGCGGATGTCGATGCGGTATAGCGGGGCCAGGAGGGTGTCGTAGAGATGGTGGTTTGTTTGAGTGATCGAATTCAGATCAGGCTGGCTGAGATGGTCTGCAATGCGGATGATGAGGGCTTTAGGCAGCCTAGTCAGAGACATTTTGTTTACTCATTTGCGAGAGGAGGACGGAGGACGCAGGGGTAGCTGGGCCGGGGGCCTGGGCACCAACGCTAAAATACCTTTCATTTCTCATGCTTCCAGCCTTTTGTTCCCTCCTCCTCTTTAACCCCCCTCCTCCTCCCTTGGCGCACTAGTGCCCAGCCAATGGCAGCATTGCCTAGCAATTAAGAAGCCTTGGGATAAGGCCAACCATCATACCGCCATAACCCTAAGGACCACACGTGACGGCCTCGGTCAGCTGACCGCCAAGAGGCTTACATAATCGCAGGCCAGATCTCCAAAGGAGAGCGAGAAGCAATCCATTCCATCCATCTTCATCCAAATCCCAGCCCTCATGCTGAATAACAGCCATGTACAGACTCCGAAACGGAGTTTCCAGAAAGGAAATACTAGCTCCGAAACCCATGTCCAGAGCCATCTCTTTGACTAGCCGTGGTATGCCCCTCGACTCACAATTGACTTCTCCGTCTTATATCCGCCCCTAGGAGAGCCTATCCAGCGTGAGCAGCTGTTCGAATACACCAACGGCCGATTTCTGGTCAATGAGAAGCACGAGGTCTCAAAACGCTATGTCAAGTTTGACCTCGAGGCTCTCTGTACGGTAGTTTCGTCGTTGCCCTCCGTGGGTTCGCCGATATCCACTATCGATAAACTGGAGGGCGGCTTCAGCAAAGCATTGCTGATGACAGCTGAAAATGGAAAAGAAGTTATTACGAAGATACCGTGTCCTAGTATTGTGCCCGCTGAGTACAGTACTGCATCCGAAGCAGCCTCCTTGGAATACGGTAAGGTCTGTGAGCCGGCTCCCGGGTCTCCATGCTAATCCAGATCGTTTCTCGATAGTAAGGTCTCAGACCTCTGTTCCAGTTTCCAAAGTCCTTGCCTGGAGCTCTGACTCTTCGAATCCTGTTGGGGCAGAGTACACTGTGATGGAGAAAATCAACGGGAGGCAATTGGTTGATGTGTGGGGTGAGATGGGCCAGCTGCAGCAGTTCAAGCTGATTCAAAACCTGGTTCAGCTGGAAAGCCAGTTGGCTTCGCTGGAGTTTCCTGGTTATGGAAATCTGTATTTCCGACACTTCGCTAAGCACGGAAGTCAACAGATCCCTATAGATGACGATTATTGCATTGGCCCCGCCTATCATGCCTCGTGGTTTCCACAGTCTGGCACCCACAATCATGCTGGCCCATGTTTGTCATATCTGCGTCCTCCATATTACTATGCCCTGACTAACATGTGGATAGGGGCAAATCTCTCAGACCTCTGTCTTGCGTTGGCTAATCGAGGCCTTGCGCATGTGCAGCATTCGACGCTCGTTCCCCGAGGACCCCATTTCGGCACTAGACTCGAACACATTCACATTTTGGAAACCGCTATGGAAGTCATACCGAAGCTAGTTGGTTATGTTCAACGTTTCTCCAGACCAACGCTGTGGCATGGGGACCTCCATCTAGGTAACATATTTGTCTGCAACAAGGACCCTACGAGAATCGTCGGCATAATAGACTGGCAGTTTGTGTCAATAATGCCTGCATTCATGCAAGTTCAGTGGCCGTCCTTCATCAGGCCTCCTGAAAACTACGAAACTGGGATTGTCAAGCCAGGCCTACCGCCAAACTTTGACGAGATGGACGCGGACGAGAAAGGGTTTGCGGTGACAGAGAGAGATCGAGCTTTACTATCGAAATGCTACGAGGCGGCTCTTGCTAAGAACCACCTGCAATCTTACTTGGCTCTGACTCGAGTCAACACTCTCGCACGGGACTTACTCTCCTTGGCCGAAAACACATGGAAGCACGGCATAATCCCGCTCCGTGAGTCTCTGGTCCAGATATCCGAAAACTGGCGCCGAATAGGTCTTGCTGGACCTTGTCCGTATCAACTCACAGATGACGATTTATCAAGACACAGGGTTGAGCTTTCTCGGTACAGGGATTGGCACAAACTAAAAGAGTATACACAGGAGTTGTTACATTCAGATGATGACGGCTGGGTACCGCCCCATCTTGACTTTGACAAAGTGCAAGCACGACACGCCGAACTATTTAAACTTTATATGCGGAAAGAGTCCGAAGAGGTACCAGAAGAGGAAGCAAGGAGGCTTTGGTTTTATATTGACAGGGAGTGACGAGGCTAACTCTCATAAGTGGAATGCGTGGAACTGGGCGGCCGCATTATTGACTTGGCTGCTGGTAGAAGGGCATGTGAACGAAGCTCGAAGTGACCTTGTGCCGCGGATTCCTATAGGCACGTTAATTCCAAGAGCATAAGCCGCTAATTGTGGCGAGGCGACCTCCAACTGCTAAGCAGCTACGGGGCTGCTGCGGGCAGAAGTCTAAGTTGAGCCGAAAGCAGAGGTATTTCGATGGCAAGCTCTGATTTCCTTCATGGAGCGCTAAGATGAAACTTGATAGACAAGTACTAGGGCAAATCCTATGGCTGTATGGGTTTTGACTTACCAGGTTTGTTTGGCCCAGAACCCCGAAGCACCACACTTCTTCCAACGGCCTCGCTTCTAGCGAATCGACTTCCTGCTCTGCAATTGCTTTGGCTGTTTCGGGGTCATCCTGGCCTTTCCCGTTTGCGGCCAGTACGCAGGAGAAGGCCGCGATGAAGGTGGTGGGGATGTACAAGAAGGCATGGTGAGCTGTCGCTGTCAGGCACTTGCATGCATGGAGATATCTCTACAGTCTCCCATACAGTTTCCTATACAGGCCATTCAAGGTCTTTGGGATCACGTTGTGAATAACCAACTTCCGAACAAACTTGGGTAGCTGATATATGGCCGTTAGTACTTTCGTGAAACTATTCTCAGATTTCGATCTCTGAACTAGATTGTATGTCCATATTAAGTCACCACATGCGTTTCCAACAGGGCGGGGGCACCCAAGATCATAAGATTCTCCGCTAGCCGAGAAAAGCTCGCCTCTGTCAAACAAGAACCTATCCAGTCTCCATTCAACAATTCCCATATGAGGAAAGAGTAAACCCAAGTATCTAGTCCCGAGGTCTTGACTCCAAGGCACTGAAAGCAAAAATACCCCTCAAAGCCCTCGCAATCCTGTCCCCCCTGGCAGCCCCAACTTCCTCAACCATCATGCTCGGCCTGACCGCAGAATTCCTGATCAGAGCTACTAGCTCACCTCGTTCTGGCGCTCTCCTACCCAAGTTTCCTGTACGATGGCTTCTGGGCCGAGTAGATCTGCGTCGTAGGGTGCGCTTCGCATCCTCGCGGTACTTGCAAACGTCGATGATCTGTATTAGAACCGTTTGTATACAGTCTACGGCCTTTATATCAACCAACATGGGGTCCCTTGGTTCTGCTAGGATCTTGTAACCTCCGTCTATGGGGAAGATCTACCTACATACAGCCCAAACATGAGCTAAGGCAATCCTAATGATTTAATGTTCCTTATTCGTGTCGTGCAGAAACAGTATACACTGTATCTTAGTCCAAGCCACTTAAGCGCGGCATCTCGGTCCCCCGCTCGGCATCAGCATGGCCATTGCCGACGAGACAGGGTTGAAGTAGCACATGAAAACAATCGCCACTAGCTTATCAAACTAATATTGATACCTGAAATACCCCTTGGCCCTCGGGCTCAGACCTAATAAAACACTCACGATGCCAGAAAACACCGAACAAGAGCCATCCACCGTGACCACAACAGGCCAACCGCCGGCCCCAGCAAACGAACCCAAACCCGATCCCATCCCCGTCCTAATCGACGCAGTCTACACAAAAGACGACCTCCTCCAGCACAACAAAGACGACGACCTGTGGCTTGCCATCGACGGGACCGTCTACGATCTAACCGAGTTCTCGGAGGAGCATCCGGGTGGAAAGAAGAGTACGCCCCCAGATTTACCCGTCATGTCTTTAGAAGGGTATACATGGGCTGACCAAATATGCATGCAGTCCTACTCAGTGTCGCCGGCACAGACGCAAGCAAGAAGTACCGCAAGTACCACGGGGATAATATCCTGCAGCGGTATGCGAAGGAGTATAAGATTGGGACGTTGAGGGTTGAAGTCAAAAAAAAAGGGTCGGGCAGGTTCTTTTCGGGTTTTAAACGGAGAAGATGAGTGTATTTGTTGTTTTGTAGTAGCATTCCTAGTCTTGTCTTTGTCCTGTTCCTGGTTCGGGGGTTCGGGTCATCTTCATGTTGTCGGTAGGTAGATAAGGGTTCCGGGTCTGGATAGGGTTACCTATTATTGGTCTCTATGGATAGGTGTATCTTGAGCTGTCTATACCACTTATAATAGCTCGAAGAGAATCAGATGCTGTTGAGAATCACCTGGGCTTCCCATCACCCCAGCCTAAAGTACCCATCCTTCTCAGATAACCTCGCCTGTACTCCCTCCATCTCCATACCACAAGAACCCGCCGCCCCTTTCTCCAGTATCTCCCTCTCCAGCCTCTCCCCATCACGGTCTGCATCGACGTCATAAACAAAAAGCAACGGCAGCGGATCATTCCTCCACCTGGGCACCCCCTTACCCGTCCTCCAAACCACCCCAAGCAGAACCCCAATCCCCAACGCCCAAACCAACACCGGCAGACAAATCCACTGCCAATGCACAACCACAAATGTCACACCAACCAATACCCTCCCCCTCGCCATCCCCGCCTTCTCAAAGTCCCCGACCTCCCTCGACGTCTCAATATACACACTATCCCTCCAACTCTTTGAAATCGCGCCGGCAACATTCCGCATGGCACAAGCCAGTCTGCCCGCAAGCTCAACGCCACACCCCGCAATATCACCCAGCGCAACAGCCTGCAGCACATCCGCAGCAGCATACATCGTGCTCTGCGGGTTCGTCGCCGTAAACGCCTGATGTAGCGGGTCGCGCCAGAACTGGCCGGAAAACAGGATCTCGAGGAATTTCTCGAGAGTGTACATCGCCTGAGCGCCGAAGATATATGTATCGTGTTCAATGCCCAGCTCCGTTTTCCACGATGATGGCGGGCTGAAGTGCCAGCCCGGCGCACCCTGCTTCTCCCAGGCGCCGCTGGTATTTGTGTAGGTGTACTCGGGCACCCAGGTGCGCGCGTACGCGATATCCAGCGTCTCATCGGAGAAAACGTTATGTGTGACACTTGGGCGTGACGCACGCACAACGGGCTCAATGGCGCACTCTGTTGCATCCCACATGCGCAGATCGTTTGCGCCGTCCCAAAGAGAAAAGTCCGTTGATGGGGCCGTCTCGAGCAGAGAGTTATTCGGCAGGCGCGGCGTGATGAATTGGATGGGGCTCATGCTTGCGTTTGTGTACACGGATGCGAGGTCTGCTTTTACTGCGGATAAAGTCACGCCGTTGATCATGGGGATTTGATACTTATTTGCACCGTTGGTTTGGGCCGGTGATTCGAGGAACCATGATGTCAGGTTTGATTTTGGGAGGGAGACGGTGCAGTTCGTCATTCCGGCGTAGCTGGTATTCTCGGGGATTGCGATGCAGGACATCGAGAGTCTGGTTGTGATGTTCGAGCATAGAGCGACAGCTTCGAGGGACGCGATTGGGGCCCAGGTGCAGTTTGCGCTGGGGCAGATGTACTGTGGGATGGACCATGGTTTTGCGCGGTCGCTGTTGAAGACGGAGTTGTACACGTTGGATTTGAGGATCGGGTCGACGCCGAATGCTGTACTCCATCTGTTAGCATTGCCTTTTACCTCCTGCCATACCTATCAAGGTGATAGGTGGGGGTAGGGCAACGCACTATTACTCGCATACCGAAACCCAACCGCATCGTACATCGAGACATTCGCCACAAGCGCCTGCGCACTCTGCCCCGACCCATCACCATCCTGCTGCACCATCCGCTGCTGATAAGCAATCAGATTCTGCGCGAAGGGATCAAACCCCAGCGCCAGGATCACGGCGCCACAACCCAAGGCCGCCATATAACACCCCTTTACACGCCAAATCATCCTAAGCGCCCCATACGGCCCCCGACTCGCAAAGTCAAATGCCCTCAGATCGAGGAGTGGACGTGGCCCGCGCGCAAACCACACCCATTTCAACTGCCCTAGCCCCTCGGACACTGAATACAGGATGAGTCCCCTTGACGCCGTGCTCAGCCACGAGATCAGCGCGTTCAGCGACATGTAGGACCAGTTTGGCTGTGGGGTGCCGTTGTAGGTCGCGAGGACGGCGACGATGGCGATGAGGAGGGCGGCGGAAATAAGGAGGGCGAGGGATTCGAGGGCGAAGCGGCCGTTTAGGAGTGAGTGGGTTCGTGTTCGTTGGGCCTTTGATTGCTGGGGATCGCTGGCGCTCGTGCTGGTCCTGGTCCTGATCGTGGACTCGGCTTCGATGTCGATGTCGTCGCTGGTGATCGCAACCCCGACTTCCTTTGGCGATTGCATATTGATCTAGCATTGGGCTGAAAGGATTGTGACGAGGACATTCTCCTGGGTGTCTAGCGCATATTAAGAAGCCCGTCCGTAGCCGCCGGCAAGATAGCCTGGCCTATGACTGGCAAAGCTCTAGCCAACCAGCATAGCCGCCAGGATTCGGTTCTTGGCAAGGTAAATATAGATTGTCTGTAGATCATTTTATTAAGTCGTATTGGCGATGCTCGGGGTGGACTTGACTCACAGTAAATGCAAAGGACAGCCCGATATACCACAATCACACTCCAAGGACAATCACTTGCCTGCTTGCTGTGTCGCAGTCTCGGGTTTTCGTGTATAATACGTGAGATTCAAGATTCGCTCTACCTTTCGGCCATTCGGCGATCTCTGTCTTGATCCTCCCGAGGCATGGTCCCAGTAACACCCCCTCGGGTCGATGTCCTCTCCTATCAATGCGCATGCCATCTCATGAACCCAAGCCCAACATTCTACGTTGCGGACCCGAGAATCCACTGAGTCTGACAAGCCCGACAACGCGGATCGTCCAGCCCATGCCAGCGGCTTCTCGTCAGATCCATGAGTGGCTGATCTCGACCAGGTGTGTCGCGGAGTAAGACAAAACCAATGATGTCCTTTCCGTCTACGACAAGGAAGCCTCCAAGCCGCCGGGCACCGCGAATTTGCCCCTGCGATCCGAGACAACATGACCGCCTCGTGGACTGCTAGGGCCACGCCGTCTGAATGAGCGGGAGATGGAAACAAGATGACCATTCCATGCAGTCCCAGGTCGGCTGGTTTCGTTTCCTCTGTGGGGGGGTTTAGTTCCGTCAGGCTTTGTCTTGAGCTTAGCTTGCAACGGTTCTCTTTCGTCAGAAGGCTCATTCTTCATGTCTAGTCTACCACCCGCAATTCTTCCACAGAAGCGAATCGGCACCGGAGAACTGTTCCAGAGGCGCGAAGGAGATTCGTGCATGCCCAAGATCTGCCATAGCTTTGCGGTCGCCATTCGGCTTGATTTTATCGCGATCTTGGGGGCATCCAGCGTGAGCTTTGCACGTGTGAAAGTCTTCCAGCACTCTTGGCGCAATGAATCCAGGGCACTAAAAAGCCTGAGGATCAATAGTCAGCCAATTTCAACCGAGCCGTGGCGTAGAAGTAATTCGGAGCAAATTCTTGTTGTTCCAGTCGTCACGAGATACGGTGAACAGGATGCTTCGCTGGACACCGTCTAGATACCATCTCAATGATAATCGTCCCTAGTTTAGTCTTCAGCATGTTGATAACCTGCAGAATCGCATCGCTGCGAAGTCATACGAGACTTGCTCGCTGTTTCCCGCCAGCAGAAAACGAGGCCGTTTCCAGTATCCGTACGGCGCGAATACAATTGCATCTGCCTCTCTTCGATATACGCGAATAAGCCGACCGTGCTCTCTGCTGCATGAAAACCTTCGTCTCTTCCTCATTCACAATCGCTCAGCTTCCGAGAGTCCGCGCCGAGTTCGAGTGTGGCTGATGAGCTGGACTTTTCCGGTTCAGCTGATGGTTCGAGTCAACCAACCAAGTGACAAATCACCGCGGCGACAAGGATCGGCCGGCAGGAGTGAAGTTGAATTCAAGCAGAAGACGCGTGTTGTCGCTTCCCTTCTCCCGCCTGGACCCTGTACCCTCGCCGCACTTCCCCATCACGGTAACCACGCTTCTGGCCGGGAGGAAGATCCTGATGTCATGGTGCCAATCCCACATTCCTGGAAGAATTGAGGAATGTCACGGTGTCGGTCGGCAGGATTCCCCGCAGTGGGAGGCTGGAGCGCCGTCGCGCCGTTGCTTGGCCATGACGAATCCTCCGTTCGGTACCGCTACTAGCGATGTCCTTCCATCTGTTGTGCTTCTTGGCAGTCTCGATCGTATTCGAATTCCGAATCCTGCGGAGGGGCACTGCAAGTGGTCCGCAAGGGCCACGAGTCTTTCTCCACTGCTTTCCGACGCGTTTCAAACTGACCCCACCGATCGATCAGGAGTCCGGACTCCAGAGTCAGGGACTGATGCCGATGTAGTTGATGCAGTAATTGCTCCGTAGTCGTACTGTCGACATTGCCATGATGGCACACTGTCAAGTGTAACCACAGGGAAAAGGGAGTGCCTGGAAGTGCCAAGCGTGGACGGGAGGTGACGTAAGGCTTAAGCACTGGCAAAAAGCTTCTTACGAATCAGCTAAAAATGGCGGCCACTCACAGCCCGCATCCGGCGCTGACTCAGCCGACTAAGAAATGAGCGTCCCTTGGCGCCCGTCGCTCTTTCTCGGGAGCCTGCGACTTTCTGCCTCTCACTCATCTCACAACACCATGCGTCTCGCGGTCCTGGGGCTCCTCCTGGCCTCGCTCGGTCGCATTTCCGCGCTTCAGATTCAGCTGAACGATCCAGGTGCGTTGCCGACCTTGAATTCCCCGCGACGCCTCATTCTAACCCGCATTCCTCGCTAGATTCCATCAAGGAAGCCGCTTCCAAAACCGCTTACGGATCGCTGCTATGGTATTCCGGTAACGAGACCGGCGGGAATCCCGGTGCTTTCCCGGAGAAATGGTGGGAGGGAAGCGCTTTGTTTATGAGCCTGATGCTCTACTACTACTACACCGGCGACGACCAGTACAATAGCCTGATCACTCAGGGGATGCAACACCAGGCGGGCGACGGTGATTATCTGCCCGCCAATTACAGCAGTTACCTAGTACGTTCTCCCGTGCCACCCCCTTTACTCTCCTCAATTCAATGCTGACCGGTCAGGGATACGATGACCAGTTTTTCTGGGGCGCCGCCGCCATGCTCGCCGCCGAAATCGGTTTCCCCGAAGACGAAGACGGATACTCGTGGCTGTCGCTCGCACAGGGTGTGTACAATACGCAGATCAGGGCTTGGGATACGCAGAACTGCGGCGGTGGTTTGCGATGGCAGATGTTCCCGTACCAGGCTGGTTACGCCATGAAGAACTCGATCTCCAACGCCGGTCTCTTCCAACTCGCCGCCCGTCTCGCTCGCTATACTACCAACGATACCTACGCTGAGTCGGCTCAGATGGTCTGGGACTGGGCGGTTTCCTCGCCGCTAGTCAATAACAAGACATGGAACGTCGCCGATTCGACCGATATCAACAACGGGTGCACGACGCAGGGAAACAATCAGTGGTCTTACAACTATGGCGCGTTCCTCATGGGCGCGGCCTATATGTACAACTACGTTCGTCCTCCGTCTCCGATGTTATCCCCAAGCTAACTGTCCCAGACTGAGAAAGCCGAATGGAAAACGGTCGTCAACGGTCTCCTCGGCAAGCTCCTCGACGAGTTCTTCCCTGAGCAGTACGGCGGCGGTAAAATCTTCTCCGAATATCTGTGCGAACCGAGCGGACTTTGCAACTACAACGAAATCCTCTTCAAGGGCATTGTCTCGACATGGATCACATTCGTCGGTCTGATCGTCCCCGAAACGTATGACCGCATCTACACCAAACTTCAAACGTCCGCCCAAGCAGCGGCCCTCGCCTGCAGTGGAGCTGGCAACAACACCTGCGGCGTTATATGGTACAACTCCAGCTGGGATGGTTCTATCGGCATGGAACAGCAAATCATCGCGACCGACATCCTTTCGTCCGTACTCGTTTCCGAAAAGCCGACTCCCCCTCTGACATCAAAGACCGGCGGAAACAGTACGAGTAATGTGAATGCCGGTACTGGTGACAGCAGCGGTAACAGCGGCGAGACGAAGCCGGTTACTACTGGCGATCGAGCGGGCGCCGGCATTCTGACGGTCGCTTTTGTTGGCCTCTGGGGTGGTATGATTGCGTGGATGGTCCTCGGCGAGGGACTCTAATAGCTTTTTTTACTTTCGCTTCTTGCTTCTCAGCCTTCTTGTATATTCAGTAAACCGTTCGGGCGGAGTATTTCGGACCTTGTGAATACCATTCTTCTGGATAATTGTTAGGGTTAGCTAGTCAATCATATTTTCGGCGCTGCTATTCTCGGCTCCCTTTTGTCAACAAGTTGCTATCGGTCATGGTTATCCTATATCCTGGCTACTAATGCTACCACCACTGATCTCCAACCCAAGCTCCCAACCAGAGCTCTACATACCCCCTTCCGACCAACAGCTATACCAATTCCCACTAAGCATAACTAACACCCCCCTTCCCACCCCTCCTAAAGAACCCCCACCCAATAACCCCCAAACAAGCAACACAAGCAATAAACATAAACGCACTATCCGCCTTCGCAGAGATACACCTGCTCTTCAGCGCCCCCGCATTCTCCAACCCCGCATACCTACACACCATATCCTTGCCAGACCCCCTGCACCCCCCACTCAGCAGAACATTCGACTGCGTCGCTGGGCTTCTCGACGCATTCTCGCAGTCTACGTGTCGGAGGAGGACGGCGTACGCCTGCGCGCATTAACAACCAACCATTAACAAATCAAAGATAGAGGGGGGAAGAGGTGAAAGGGAAGGATGAACATACAATCCCACCCGCCAACATCGTCACAGCAGACAACGCATCCAGCGCGGTCGTGATTATTCCTTCAAGCGCCGAGACGAATAGCGATGCCACGCCCACTAGGGACGCCAGGAGCCCGAAGGCCCCGCAGAACGCGGCGTAGCCTGTTGCCGCGGGCACGGATTGCGAGTTTGGTGCTTGCCCGCGCGCGAGGGAGATGGAGATTGCGAGGACGATTAGGGCGGGGATGGCCTGGATGTTGATTAGAGTGGAATGAGGGTGGGAGATTGAGTTGGTGAGGTGAGATGGTGGATTGAGTTGGGGGGTATGGCTGGGGTAGGACGGACCTGGACGGCGCGGAGGATGGCTGGGACGAGTTGCATTGTGTCTGGGTTTTCGAGGTTACAAGGGGTCAGGATGTGGCGGTTTTGGCGTAATTGTAGAGTCTGGGTCTCGTCGCAGTGCAGTCTTGGGTACTGACTGTAGTTGCCTTTGGATTAGGGCTCAAGGGAGTCTCAGACTCAACCGCGAAAGTGTAAGATATTTCCTGATCTGAACTCTCGAAACAATAGTATGAGATGCAAAGCGCACAGCAAAAGGATAAGATATTCCTGAACGACTGCTCATAAATCCGCCAGCGCAAACCCTTATTAAATACCTCCCCGGCCTCATACAAGAAAACCACAGACGCCCCATCCATCCCGGTGGCAGCACAACACAGCGCAGCGCAGCCCGGGCGGCTAGTAAAACACCCTTCCCCTAACCGCCCAGGGCCATGGCTATGGTCGGGTCTATGTTTAGGAAAGAACCATTGGGAGGGAACCCGGAACCAACAAGTTCCCCCATCCTAGCTAAGGGTGGTGGCAGTGGCAGTGTGCATATCATCCGTTTCATACGGACACACTGCGTAGCACATGGTTTCGTGTGACGCGGGGGCCTGCGCGATGGCTGGACAGGAGTGTCTTGCATTTCAATGCTAACCGCAGGCCCTGGTTCCGAGCCTCTAGGCAGAGTGTGCGGCGCAGCGATGCTAGGTAGGGTAGGGTAGGTAGGTAGGGCGCCAAGGACCGCGGCGGTTAGGCCGGGGGTCGCGGTGGCGGAGTCCCAGCTGTCAGTGGTGGATGGGCGGCGGCTAGGGCGTTGGTAGGAGAGGCTCGTTGATTCTTTTAGAAAGGTTTTTACACTGTTGGTGCCGGTACATACGGATAGGGTACCGGGCTCCTGTTGCTTGAAGCTGAAAGTGCTTTGATCGTGGCTCATGGATCGGGCGTCAATGTTGGAATTTGGGGCGCAGGGGATACCCGTTGTGAGGGCCATGGCGGTTACCGTCCGGGAATTGATCTGTCTGAGGTAGTATGACAACACTTACTATGTATGTACGTCCGACTATAGGTAGATGCCGGCGGGGAGAACTGAGTGTTGGGAGTGGGCAGTTGCTCGATTGCAAAAAAAAGATCAAAGGAATTGACAAGGACGAGATTCGAACTCGCGAGGTTTCCCACTGCGGAACGGCAGCACCCACTGACTGGTATCAGCCAACGAGCGTTACTGACCTAAACACAGCGCCTTAACCACTCGGCCACCTTGCCATGGAGACAAATTATGGTCAGCAAAGGTGAATCCTAGCCACCGGAAATAAAAGTTTGTTTGATTGTTGCACGATATGTCTGGGTCTGATCGACATGGCCCGCAAGCTGGATACATAAGCTGCTTCCCCAAGTTGAATTGATTGCATGCTTAATTGATCAGAAGTTGATAGAAAAGAAGAGAGAATCCAGTCCGGTTGTATATATGTATGATGGTGTTGTTGAATCACAGCAAGTAAGAGAGAGGGACTGTGAATAAGAAGCAAAAAAAGATGACAAGGGTGGGATTCGAACCCACGCCAAATTAATGACGCGGAAACTTGATGAGATCAAGAAGAGGTTCTGATAAGATACCTTAACCGCGCGCCTTAGACCGCTCGGCCACCTTGCCTGTTGATATATAATCGCGCCAAATAACGCCATTATCACCTTGAACATATTACCCAAAGTCAAAGCAACTTGCGAGGTTCTCATCACCCTGCCCAACGTCTTTCACGCGCCTGGAGTTAATCTTAGGTATATATGTGCGGATTATTGACTGCTTAATATAATCACTGTTCTTTGCATCCATAAATGTTGTTGGACGCTTTCTCATAACATACTCTGCTTGTTGCATTGCTGGTGCAGTTATATATTTTACTCGGCTGCGTCCCGAGGTCTTCTCGTGCATGCCCTAAGCACAGGGACATTTCCAGGGAAAATGCCAGGATAGACGTTACTCCAGCGCACAGAATGGACACAGCTCGATACTCGCCTGCCCGCGATAATATCCACCAACAACCGCCCAGGTTTAACAGGAATGACTATCGTAGTCCTGTAGCACAGCGGGGCGCCCCCTGCGAATGAGAACAGCGCCCCCGTAAACACCACGGACACCGCAGAATTGGTGCCCCCGCCTGCTTCGTTGGTACTAACCTAGCAGACCGCTGGATAGGAACAGTGAGCTCACATTTTGGCCACAGGCCACAGGGGAAATAAGATCCACGGGTCCCATAACATACGTAGACGATACAATCGATTGACGCGCAACCATGCTGCAATGGCCGAGACGAAGCACAGCGATGCTCAGGGAAACCTTTGGAACCCAGGGGCCCAGGTACAGACCGCGACAGAATCGCCCACAGAGACGCACTCGGAATCAAATATACCCCGAGGACCGGGTTAACCATCGCGACTCTCCCTCCCTGAAGCTGCATAGCACACTGACTGGACTCAACAAACATCCGTAAATGGTGCGCTCCAACGCTTACTTCCCTGAGAGGCTGAAATCGGGTAATTTAGCTAGACATACCATTATAAAACATTATCGCCATATACCGCCTGAAACCTCTGGAGGTCATCGTCACTCAATCGTTCCCAGTACAAGCTCCAACCGCCGGAGTGAGGAGTGGAGGCCAACAGAGTTAGGGCTGGCAAGGCAACCTGGGTTTGAGAATATAGTAGCTTTTTTGTTTTAAGGTTACAAGTTATTAAATCTGCGATATTTTCAACAAGAAGCATCATTGGTCTAGTGGTAGAATTCATCGTTGCCATCGATGAGGCCCGTGTTCGATTCACGGATGATGCATCCCATCTTCTTTTTGTTTTTTTATCCCTGCTGTAGGTATGTCTCCACGTCAGGCCTCGTCTTTACATCTTGCCAAGTGCCTGGGGCTCCTTTAAAACCATTCTCCCCCGACAAAAGGTCAAACCATACCTACTGTCCTGCTATCCGTGAAGGCCAAATAAAAGTCCCTGACTCCTGCACAAGCTCACTACATCCACTGCGTGCCGTCCGACGGTTATGTATGGAAAAGCAACACAGTCGGCCCTATATATTCTCATTGACCCGTGCACTTGGAGCCTGTACCCAGAGAACGATCGCAAGGAATGGGCGTATCATAAATGCAGTTAAACAAGGAGATGAAAACCCTTAAAACCCACCATTCCTTCCCACAGCAATCAACTAGAACATAGCAACAATGAACAAATCCCAGCACAGCCTAGGTCCTCCCGTCCTTCGCGCCGAGAACCTCGACATGCTCCAGCCCCTCCCCTTTGCCGTCATTCAGGTTTTCCATATCCTTCCCCAGCTTATCCACACCATCCTCATTCTCCTTAACAGCATACTCGCCAACACTGTATTTCCCCGCCTTGACATCTCGTCTCCAGAGGAACTGTCCGAGCATGAAGAGCGTGCACCAGCAGATCACAAACACCGTGTTGACGGTATACCCCTTCCGCCACTTGGGTGCCTCGACGACGGGGAACACCGTGATCGGGTAGAAGCTGAAGAAGACCCAGCCGAATGTCATCTACACGTTTACATTAGTGGTAAGCTGCCGTGAGGTAAGGAGAACGCACCATAGCACCAGATGTAAACGCCCTTGCCTCCGAGTCGTCGCGCATAACCATGTTCACCCACGGGAAGAGGATGGGCGTGACGCAGGATGTGAAGCCGAGGAGGTAGTATGCGGTGACTATCCAACAGTTAACATGGTACGCAACGAGGGAAGACTAAGGGGGACGCACATTTCAAACCAAGCGGGATATCCCAGACAAGCAAACAGACATTCGAGAAGAGCAGCACCGACGCAACGACGCCCATAACAGCCCACGGCGGATACACCATGACCAGCGATGTAGCAAGCACACCCGCAAAGACCGAGACCGCTTGAACGCCCGTCGGGATCATATTGATCTGCGAGACCGTCCAGGTCCCATACCGATCCGCCTGGTCCTTCAACCAGAGGATCATCTGGCCAGCAACGTAGGAGGTACACTGGAAGCTGCGCACAAACCAACCCCATTAGCCAATGCTGCCTCCAAAAAGGGTGGGGAGACACACAAAATATACGTAAAAACCGCGACATAGAAATGCCAGTGCGTAAAAACCCGCTTGAGCATGCGCTTCCCAATCTTCCGACTCTCGCGCACCCCCTCACTCCTCATCCTCCCCCGACAAAGCTCATGGTCCTTCTCCGTCAGCCACCAAACCTTCGGCCCCTGCGGCAACCCAGGAAAGAAAAAGAAACTCCCCAGAGCAATGGGCAAACTAATACACCCATCGATGATAAACAGCCACCGCCACCCCGCCATCCCATGCACGCCATCGAGCGTCTCATGCGCCGCAGCTTGGAGATACCCACCCGCGAAACTGCCAATGTTACTGCTGACGAACCAGACACCAGCGCGCTTGAAGAGCTCGTCGCCCCTGTACCAGGATGAGAGGATATACATTGTGCCGCTGGAGACGGGGGTTTCGAGGACACCGAGGAGGAAGCGCAGCCCGTAGATATCGTTGGCGTTGCGGAGGCGCGATTGCGCGAATGTTAGGATTGACCAGGCCACTTCCATTGTGGGCAGGAAGTAGCGCGCGAACTTTGGCCGCGACATGACCATCATGCTGGGGATCTCGAAGAGCATGTAGCCGATGTTGTAGAAGGTGCCGAAGAGGGAGTACTCGTTTCCGTAGAGCTGCAGGTCCTCTTTCATCCCCGAGGAGTACGCGTTGTTGATGTTTACTTGGTCGAGCCATTTTATGAAGTCTGCACATTGCGTTATTAGTGAGGGGTCTGCTGGGTATGGTAGGAGACGCACACGCAAGACAACAAAGCGGCAGCAGCACGCAGTCCAGCTTGAAGAGGAGCTTCCGCTCCTGGGCCGAGTAGTGGCTCGGATACCAGTCGAAGAGGTACAGCCAGGCGACCCAGAGCGAGCGGGGCTTGGGCTTGTTTGCGGAGCTGGGGGCGGCATCAGTGGTTGCCGTGGCCTGTTCGGTATCGGCGACTTTCGCATCCTCGAAGGCTGGGTTTGCGGATGCGTCGACGGCCATGGGCTGGTCGAGGCTGGTTTTGCCTTTGACGACTTGGTCGGTCATTGCGCCCGTTTCCTTGGGAAGTAGGGTAGGGGGCAGTGATGGAGGATGGAGTGGGATTGAGGCACATGTCCATTGACTCAGGTCTTATATAGACTCGTTTATAGACATGCCGTCAGGATATCATTGGATTAGAGCAACCCACCACCCCGGACCCTTGACGCGGAGTGCGGGGTATCTGGAAGCGCGAGGGATGCGCTCGGCCTCGGGGGATTGAGCGTGGGTTGCGGACGATCTTCCTCCGGGGGCTTGAGTGTCGGTTAAACGACGACCGGATGATCGGTGGCCGGGGATACGAGCTCTTGAATGAACTCGACCTTGAAGCAAAAGCATAGATTAAGGCCAGTGTAAGACATCCATGATCAGTGTGCTATAGCTCGTAAAGAGGTGAAAGTAAGGCAACGGCGGGCAATGATTAGGAAAGGTCTGAGAAAAGTAGATTCTGTGGATCGGCTTCAATTCTTTATGATACGCTTATACCCAATTCTCCATCCACTATTCTGATAGACAGCTTCGGCCGCTTCATCCACATGCCATACACAACCTCATGCCCTAACCCCGCAGACGCTGCAACAGCAAAGACACCAGAGACAATCATGATCTCTCCATCACCCCCCTCGTGATTCTCAATCGCAATCTCATGACGTACCGACGGTATAAAGGTCCTCGACGCGATAATGTTGGTGTTGGGGTCAGGCCTCAGACAGAACGCTCTGCATTTGGCCTTAACAGTTTCCTGCGTGTCCACCCTGCTGCTTGAGGCTAAGAGCTCGAGCTCAGTGTCCGCTGTTGAGTCGACGATTCCGCTTGCTCCAGCGCGAGAAGTTATCAGACAGCTAGAATCCACCGTGCAGTGTCCTTCAATACTGGCGGTGCCACGCCGAACTTTTGGGATAATCCTGCCAGAAGCCGTCTCAGCATCAATAGCGAAGCCCGAGTCAATTAATTGAATCCGTTCCCATGGCCCTTGCATTTTGTCTGCTCCTTTCACCCTATGCACCCTGACATGCCAGCCCGGATAAACCTCCCTCAACGGAATCAAGACGGTCTCAATGCTGAAATCCATAAAGCTCCAGGGCTTCCAAGCACTGTACAGTCCCGGAACAGTTCCAACATTGCGACCCAAAACCTCGATATCAAGGATCCTCTCCTCGACAGGCGCCTCCCTAACCCTCCAATTCTCACCGCCATCAAAACTCACAGCAAGCGTGCTATCGGGCGCAACCTGCTCAAGCAGAGTCCCACACGGCACACTAAACCCAAGCGCAGATGAGTACGCAAACTTCCCGTACTTCGCCTCGCGCGCTTTATGTCCCTTCTTCGTCATCTGGCCGGATGAGAGGAGGTAGGTGTGCTCCGGCGTATTGCAGAGTATATGACGGGGCGGCCAGACGACTTCCACTTCTCCGAGCGCAGTCGAGGTTCCAGTCACTGAGGCAGAAGGGTGAGGCAGTTCTGGAACACTCCAGAACTCATGGTTCTCAGGGAGCATAATCACAATGAAGCTCTTTAGACACCAGTAGACGGACTGCGGCGAGTTGTAGTTCTCAGCTAGGTACATGTTTGGATATGTGTAGCCGATGTTCAGGGTTCCGTCGGTGTTGAAGATGTGGTGCTGCTTTGACCACCATCGGAGATGTCGGAGGAGAAGGCCTTTTATTGTTCCCGGGCTGTTTAACGGTGGAGGAAAGGGGATATCCGCGCATGCTGCTGCAGACCAGAAGGCTGCGAAGGCGAAGCGGTAGGTTAGACTGCGGCCGAAGGGGATGGCGGAGCCTGATATCAATCGATCAGCGTATAAATTTGATGGTTTAATGGGAATGGAGCATACCGTCAGGATCGAAATACCGCCAGAACACACTCCCAAACTCTCTAGCCGACTGACGATACCGCTCTGCTCTCTGCGGATCCTCGTCGCTGGCAAACCGTACATAGAGCAACTGGGCGAACTGAATCGCAAAGCTGCCCGAGTAATAATCTGCCTGTTTCCGTTCGTCGCCCCATAGTCCGTCGCTTGACCATCCCTCGCCTATCTCGAATGTGTCGAGTGTTCTTAGATCGGCTTCTATCTGATCTTGGAGCGCATCGCGAGAGACGCCGAGGGATCTGATTAGAGCGAGATTCACAAATACGCGGAACCAGAGCCAGTTATTGCGGGGCATTTCATGGTCGTTGATCTTGCGCAGCCAAGCAGCCAGATTTCTCCTTTGATCAACGCCCATGCTATCGTGAAAGACACCAGGCTTTGCCAGGAGCGCAACGGCTATCGATTCCATCTCGACCATGCGTTGATCGAAGTCTCCCAAGTCGCCCCAGTATTCTGGACCAGCTGGGTCTATCCCGGACTTTAGACCTTCCATCCATGATTCCAAATTGAGATTCCCAGTTGATGGCTCGTCAAACAGGTATGGGACGACCCATAATGGCCGGGCGAATCCTTCTAGCTGCGCGGCGGTATCATCAAAGCCCGCCGCTGTGGCAACTGGCAGCTTTATTCGTGCACGCGAGGCGCTCTTGTACGGCTCAAGCGCAGAGAGAAGAGACCTTGCAGCAACGACTAGATCCGCTCGTGTTGCGAAGGGATTATCGCTGAAACCTGGCAGAGGGGGCATCGTGGCTGGTTGCCATCGACGTAGGTGTGGACAGTTGTTTCCGACCAGTGTCCAGCACCCCAAAGTCGATGATCGAAACAATCGATGATAGAAACGACCGTCGTCGGCTAACGGGATAACGATAGCCGACCCCACGCCAGCCTCCAACTGCCTTTCGTTGAGTGGTGGGATTTGTCGGAGCATCGGGGAAATCACGACGGACTGCGGAGGGTTGGCAGCGGCGGATTCTGTATACTCTGTTACTTGGGAATCCTGCCACTGAGGGGGAGATGTCACGATATAACGGTAGGAGGCCATGGCGCATGCACCGTATCCTTTTAGTCGGTTACATCCAGCGATATCAGCCACTTTTCCGCACATCCGGCGAAATAGCAATAGACCGCTGTTCTATACCATACCTCTGATACTGGAACCTATCTGATATTCTCACCATGAACGACCTTACATCATGTACACCGAGTACATCCTCCTCGTCTGATGCACTGTCACCGATGCCGAAGAAGAGGAAGACCGAGAGCATAACCTCCATCTCAGATTCTGAAGACACCCCAGCCTCATCTTTCAAATGTTCCGTTGCTCGATACCTCATACCCGAACTTTTCGAAGAGAATGTAATAGCGAAGATCTTCCGAACGGCATCTGCATCGCTTCACGACCCGAACGTCTTTACCACACCAGGTGGAGTACCGATTGCGTATCCGGAAACCGTGCCCCAGGATGGTCCAACCGCCGGTCGATACGAGTTTCGAGATCCGGAGTTTTGGACGTGCGGGTTCTTTCCTGGGAGTTTGTATGGCCTTCTGGAGCGGTGCATCAAGCACCCGCGACAGGTATCCTTTGGACCTGGTGTTGAGCTATCGAGAGTTCGAGGCGAACTTCGCTCCTTAAGTAAGGCGTGGTCAAAGTCGCTACATAGTATGGCCTTCCGGACTGACACCCATGACATCGGGTTCATCGTTATGCCTGCACTGAAGCGAGATTGGGAGCTTTTCGGAAATGAGCAGAGCATGCGGTCAATCACTCAGGCTGTTCGAAGTCTGGCGACAAGATATGTTTCGACAGCCGGAGCAATAAGAAGCTGGGACATTCTGGTAAAGAAAGAGATCACAGTGACAGACCAAACGCAAAATGTACTGGTGATTATTGATAGTCTCTGCAATCTGGACCTCCTGTTCTATGCTGCAGCCCATACAGGAGATGCTTCACTTGCAGCGATAGCAGAAACGCATGCCCGGACACTACTTCAAACGCATCTGCGAGAAGAGAATGGGATCACGGTGCCGAAAGGCGGATACAAAGGACAGCTCTACTCGACGTGTCATGTCGCAAATATCGATCCGGTAGATGGGAATTTGAAATGGCGCTGGACAGCGCAAGGATACAACAACGACTCAGCCTGGGCTCGCGGTCAGGCTTGGGCAATACTGGGCTATGCGCAGACATACATGTGGACGAAAGAGAATGTCTTCCTGGACGCTGCGTGCGGGACGGCAGAGTACTTCCTGCACCGGCTGGCGACGGCGCCTTCGTGCGTTGAGACGACGACCGACGATTTTTCTGGGCATCCAGTTAACGGCAGTCATGGAGATAGAAAGAGGACAATAGGCCGCCATGTCCCGCTCTGGGACTTCGACGCACCCGTTGATCCTTCTTCGCCGCTGCGAGATTCTTCAGCGGGCGTGATCGCAGCCAATGGGATGGTTGTGCTTTTCCAAGCGCTTATATCCATTGGCCAGGATGACCTTGCTCGGCGCTTTCTAGACGCCGCGGTGAAAATTGTCCGCGATACGATCGATCTGTGTTTGGCAACCGAGAAGGCTGAGTTCGTGGGGGAGGGTGCTAAGCTGCAGGTCGAGGACGGCATGCCTGGCAGCACATTCGAATCGATTTTGAAGAACGGGACTGCGAATAATAATCAGCATGCGAGACGGCGGTATAGTAACCATGGGCTTGTGTATGGGGATTACTATCTTATAGAGTTTGGGAATCGGTTGCTGGAGTTAGGGCTTGCATGATAAACTGCCTTAATGATATAGACAACAGCGTTCCGGTTGAGACAGATAATCCTAAAAGTGTTGCCAGGATGCCGTGAAGGTCGGAAGGAGGGCTCAGAAGAGGCGCCTGCATGCCCAAGACGTAGACAGCCCAATGGGCAGAGGGATAAAGGGAAGGCGCGACCGAGGAGGAGAGGGGGGTGTTTGCCATGTCTTTGCTTTTTCCTCTGCAGCGAAGTGGGATGAGTTGGCGTCAGCGAAAAATCTCTCAGACTCAGCCGAAAATCTCCACGATGGATCTCTCTTCCCGTCCATCTCATAATCCGCAACACTGTTGTTACGCAGCGCAATATGCTGAATCTCCTTCTCCCCGTCGTCATCAGTCTCCCGCTCGCGAGCGCGCAGGGCTGGGATGACTTCTCCAACAACTTGGCCACCGATCTCGCCCCGTTCCTCTCGCTCTTCGGAGAGCAAGTCACTAAGCAATATCTCAGCGAGAGCACGACTTATCTCGACTACTTTATCTTCGCGATGGCGCCCATGGGGATCCTGACTGCCCTGGTCTCGGCAATTCGAGTCTGCGGCAGCCCCGCGCTACGCGCCTTTATCGGTCGCGCCCAGGAAGGATCGGGGCATGCTGAGGCTGAGCTGTGCTCTTCGACAAGCAGAGATGTCTGCGAGCTATACCATAATGGCGGCATCACACGCGTTTTTGGTCGTCCTAAGATTCTCGAGGTGGTTTACGATCCAGCCCTCAAAAACTACGGCGCCGGGATATACACCTTCCATGACTACGTGGAAAAATCAGAGAACTGGCATTGCAAGAAGCGCCGCGAGCCAGACCACGATGTCCTTGCACCGCAGGAAGCCTTTTCACCGAACTTGTCACTCAACATTGGAATCAAGAAGCGGCATCCCGCGGTCTTCTGGATTGTGGCTACAGCTGGCCTTGTCCTGCAGTGCGGCGTCTTGGTCTTCGCGAGTATTGCGACATACTACTTGAGATGGGGAACAAATGACAGCCCTACAGAGCCTTACGCCTGCCCACTTGTTATTATAGGTACACTGCTCGTGTCTGGTGGCATGTTCATTTGCGCCTTTCTGGTGGGCGAGAGCACCGACGAGGAAGTGTGGTACAAGAAACCTGAAGCAGAAGACGCGCCTGATGGAGAAGTGCGGTCCAAAACAGAAAAAGATGAGTCCTCGATATTCTGGCTTCAACCTGGAGGACAAACCATTGGGGACCAAACATTTGATGCATTCGCCTGCGCCGATACCAGTGAATTGATGGGTGGGGTCTCGCAATACACTATATCACGGAAGAGAGATGTGCCCGAGTCCAATAAGTATGTTGTATGGCTCGCAGTTGGCATCACAGTGTCGGGTTTCGTTCTCCAGTTCACAGGGCTTCGAGCCGTCCATGCTGCAGTTGCAGTGGCACAGCTGGGGACTGTGATGATCATGAGCCTCGCTCGGGCATTCCTTCGTATGCAAAGGCTAGATCCAAAAGCCAACGCTCTTGCCGGTTACCCTAATCAACAAACCATCCACGGCCACGAGCTCGACTGGCTTGCACTGCGCATCGGCCAGGAACTGGCAGGGAGTAGGCCAAACACCCCAATCCTGACCGACAATGTGGCCCTCCAATCGACATCACCCGCTATGCATCTGGCCTGGACATTCAATAGCGCTCAGTATAGAGGAACAGGAATCACCTGGAATCGTCATACTGAAGGCAATCCCGGCTTTGAAATCATGAGACTTCGCACGCGACTGGCGGATCTCACTACGTCGGGGTGGGGGCTCCAGAAAGCCTCGGAACTCTTTGACGATGAAATGGTCAACGGACGACACGCCGCACGACAGCTGGGCTCGGCTATGTGGTCAGCCATTACCATGGTTTACAATAAGAGTGCTAAGGTCCATGAAGCATGGCGACAGATTGATGAACTAAATTGGACCTTCCAGTGCCAAGTATCGGGTCCTGCGCGAGATGTGGCTCGAACTCATATGGCGTCGATTCAGTTCTCAAGAGAAAATAAATAGGAAGACACAATGAGCAGGGAAGATAGGTACAGGACCACATCAATTCAGCTAGAAAGTGTTCTAGGCCTATGGACTTGGGCATTAAACCCTGATCCTGTTATGCTTGGAAAACGATACCATATCATCCCCGCTCACAAGCGGACAGAACAGCGTCAATTTCCATGGGTAAAAGCAGTAAATGATTTCCGATTGTGGCATACGCTCGGCTCCTCCAGATTTGTTCATGATTACCTTGCTCAGTGTGACAATCTTGAGCAAGCAAACCCAAATACGGTCTGGAAAGTGGAGGACGATAACAGCTTATCAGGTGGTGATCTATTTCCAGTACGCCCAGACGACTACAATGCCACGAGCCCCTGGAATTACCGGCGCCTATGGGGCTGGTACGGAACGAAATACCCGGGAGTAGGACCACAAACACTTCGTTTGGCGGCCATTGAGCTAGAGGGATCCCTTCTCTCAAGCTCTGTGCATGAGGTGTTTGGAACATTCGTCAGCAGTATTCTCAAGGTTGTCCAGGACATCGGAACTGTTGACATTGCCCTCAAAGAAACGGAGGGCTTTTACCTGAAAAACCATCTGGTAACATCACTTGCCGAGACATTTACGGACAATCAATTGGGGTCCGAGAATGATGCCTTCCTTTGCATTCTCACTGCGTTGTTACCACGGATGAAGGGCTCTCCTCCAAAATGTGCGGTAGACGCAGCAATCAAAAACGTGGCCCGCCATAAACGGCGGGGTCAACTGGAGGAGGCTGAATCCGTCTTGAAATGGGCCTTGGAAAAGTCGTGTTGGAGCGAAAAACTGATCGATAAACCAGTAGCTGCTCTGGCTGAGCTATACCGACACGCCTTGCGCGAGCCAGAGACGAGACAGTTTGGGCTGGACGGCATCGAGTGGCTTCACGGGGAGGCTGGCAGCCTATATGGGTCAACAAAAGACATGATTATAGCATATACCGAAGTTGCGCACAGATACATTCCTCGGCCACGCATCCACGACCGCGGTAAGCTCCTCGCTGCGATCGAGGCCAAGGACCTGGTGACTGCTCTGGTCGAGCTGACGCATTTGGAACTAGTACGGGGGGAGGCTGAGCAGACAATCGAAGCACTGCTTCAAGCCGCTGGTCATGGCTGGCCTGATATTGTCTCAGGACTCCTGGAATTATCGCCTGACTTGGAGAGACAGCATGCTGATAAATGGCATCGAACGTCGTTGCCCAACGCTATACAAAGCAAAAGTGCCGCAACAGTCAATGTACTACTCCAGTGTGGTGTTGTTCCAGACGCCATGGACATAGCGCTTGCGTCTAGAACTGAGAATATACATGTGCTGGAGACTTTATTGGGTGTCACAAACACCTGCATCGACTATAACCCGCTTCTGTTGGCAGTTCATGCCAACTGCGTCGCCATTGCAGAGCGCCTCCTTGACGAAGGCGCAGACATAAACGCGCGAGACTCTACCGAGTCAACCCCATTGCACATAGCAGCTGCTGCAGGGTATGTGAAAATGGTCAAGATGCTGCTTCATAAAGGCGCCGAAGTTGATTTGGTGAACATGGACCATTCCACACCCCTCCACTGTGCAGGATTGAAATCCCAGATGGCAGAATGGGCCTACAATGTATCAAAAAAGGGGAAAGACATCTACCAGAATGCTCAAGAAAAAGCACCGCCTGACGACGACGCACCCACAGCACCAGGGACTTCAGGCGAAGAAAAGAGTGCAGCAATTGCAAGAATCCTGATTGATCACGGTGCACGCACAGACTCAATCAATCGCTATGGCCATACACCATTGCAGTCAGCAGCTGATAATAGCAACGAACCTTTGGCAGAAATACTCCTGGATAAGGGCGCTGATGTGAATATGGTGACCGAGCCCGATGGCACGGCACTACATGTTGCGGTTAATCGAAATTATTCCGGGATGGTCAGGTTACTACTTGATCAAGGTGCAGATTTGCAAGTAGTGGACTCGAGAGGTGACACGCCGCTGTCCCTAGCAAGTAAAGGTCACGATTATATCTGTGATATGATCAAGGATAAAGAAGCCGAGTTACAGTCAAGCGCCCATTAGGATAACTTGGCAGACTGCTCTGCATATCGAGCCAGCATTTACTTCATGGAAACTGATAGGATGGCACGGAATACAGCTTTTCGCTTAGAGTACCATAGCTCTTTCATTCACCTGACAACTACCGCCACTTCGTTATTTGTGTACAGAGGGTGCACCCAACCTCACTACTACTAGGTAACAACACCTCACCCCCGTGCCCTGGCCATATCGCCGAGCTTTAACCCATTAGATCCCAACCAATAAGCCCCCATTCATAATTATCCCCGCCCACAGGATCGCGGGTCAAGTGAATGAACAGAAACGTCCTATCACGGGAAGAAGTGCGGGTTTGTATGAAATTAGGATTCCTCCGGATGCCCGCGACAGAATCCCTGGGTTTCTCAGGGATCAGTACCTTGACCAGCAGAACATTAATCCATCTTGTCTGGGACTCCAGGTGCTGGCAAAATCACACAGCCCTGGCGGAGCATTGCGTCATGCAAATCAAACATGACTGAAATAGCGGACTCGTTGGAGTAGCCCACGAGCCCTGGAGGTCAAGATCAGTGGCTTGCATAATTGGACCTGACGTCTCCAACTCCACCAATTCCACACTACCATATTTATTCAATCGTGTTGGAGCGGAGGACTAGCAGGCCATAGAAGCTGCTAGAAGCCTCTAGCCCAAATTAGCTTTATTCCCCGCGCTTATTTTAAAAAGGCTAGTGTTATTATATATTACTTTTTTTATTAAAAATTTTATATATAAATTATTTTTTAGCTAGATTTACTTATTATTTTATAATATTATTATTTATTTTATAATATTTTTATTTTATTTTAATAAATAACTTTTTTAGCTTTTTTAATAGGTTATAAGCCCCTAATTTTTTTAAAATTTTATTTATAAATACTACTTATTATTAACTATTTTATATTTAAAAATTTATATATAATTAATTAAAATAGCAGCGCTAAAAGCCCTAAAATATAATTAATTAATTTTAATTAATATTTATAAATATTTTTACTTTTAATATATTAAAAGACTTTATAATACTTAATATAACTCTTATACCTATTATAAAAATAATATTTACTTTTATTATTATAATAAATTAAGTAATAAATTTACTAAAAAAAGCCTTTATACTTAACATAATAAATAAAAAATTAAAAGGTAAAAAAACTATAATATATAAACCTGGTTAATAAGCCTAAAATTAAACTTATATAATTTTAAGGTATTTATTAAAAAAATATCCCACGCCTAATATTAATATTAATATTATATTAAAAATAAGTAATTATATTAAAAAAGGTTTAAATATAGCTTATAAAAAGTTTAATAAATAATATTATATAAATAATATATATAAATTTAAAAAAGGCGTTATATATAAATAAGTTTTATATTAAAATTAACTAGGTTTTTAATAAAAATAAATATATAATAGCTTATATAATTTAAAAAAAAGCTATTATTATTAATTAGGCTAGCTATAATATAGTTTAAAAGTTTATTAAAATACTTTATAAAAAGTATAAATTTAGTAATAAATTTAATATAATTATTACTTTATATTAATAAATTTTTTTACTTTTAAAAAAACTGCGGGCGGAAATATCTTTATATTATAAAGTAAAATATATTTTAATACCTACAAGCATTATTAAAAAAATAACTATAATATAATTTTAAAAGATTTATTATAAAGTTTTAAATAAAATAAAGGTTAAAACCTTTATTTAAGCGGTAATACTAAAAAAATAATAATAATAATAGTAATAAAAATGGGAGTAGGGACAAGAATAATAGTTTTAAATTTAAAAATAAAAATTAAAACGCACCTTGTTAAGGCGCTTTAAAAAAAGGGGTGTTTAATAAGTAGTGGTAAAAAAAAATAGCTTTAAAAAATTACTAAAAAATATATATAATTATTATAATAAGGGACCTTATAATCCTTTAAAATATTATTATTTAATATTAAAAAAATAACTATTAAGTTAGTGGCTATTAGGTAAGATTTAGTATTATAAGTTTATTAGGCTAATAAATTTAAATAATACTAAAAATAATAATAATAGCAAGCCTAGCACCGCCGCAGTTTTTTAATAAACTTAAAATAAATATAATATAAACTTTAGTATATATAGCGCTATGCTTCCTATTATATTAATAATATTAAAGTTTTATAATTAATAGCTTGTAAATACTAGCTTTAAAATTCTTGTATATAATAATAAAAATTTTATAAAAAATTTTTATATTATTTAGCTCCTGTAGCACGCTTTTACTATATTAAATAATAAAAAAGTAATTTTAAAAAAAAAGGTAAAGTTAATTTATATATTTAATTAAATAATAGCAAGGTTTTAATATTATAATTTAATTACTTATGGTCTTTTAAATTACTATATAATATTTTACTAGTAAAAAAAATTAAAATAAACCTAGGCCTTTAGTATAATAGTAAATTATTAAAAATTTAATAAATAAAAAATAATAAGGTTATTTTTAAGATTTATATTAATAAAGACGTGCCTTAGCTAAGTAAACTAAATATTAATAAAAAAACAAGCTTTAATATAGCTTTAATTTTAATAAAAGTTTGGTATAAATAATTAGGCCATGTGTTAATATTATAACTTAATAAAAATTATATATAATTAAATAATAATAAAGAAGATAAATATTAAGATAATAAAATAATTATAAATTATAAAATTTACAAGCTAGTAAAATTAAAAAAAAGGTTTTTAAAACTTTTTAATAATAAGCTATAAAGCCTTTATAAATAATACATGTTAATATTTAAATAATAAAGCCTTAAAATATATAAAAATATAACTATATTTTATTAACGCTTAATAATAACTTTAAGGATTATTTTTACTAGTTTTTACGCCGGAAAAATAAGGTATTAAATACACTTATTTATATATATTTATAGTAGCTTAATATAAGCAAAATATATATTATAAAAATAAGAAATAATAATACTAGGGATTTTAATAATTATAAGGCTTAGTATTACTAGAATTAAACTAGTACTAAATTTAAAAAAACTTTAAGCTATACGCCTAAAAAAAATAAAAAAATTAAGTAATTTAGTAAATATATTATATAAATTATATATAGTATAATAATAAATATAAAGTTACTAAAAAAGCTATAGCTACTAGTGGTTAAATTTATATTATATATTTAAAATTAACTTATTTAAAAAGGTAAAATAAAATTACTAGTAAAAAAATTTATAAAAAGCCTGGGGATACTAGTGCTAAATAATACTTTACTAAAGTATTTATAAATTTTTAAATATAACACTTACGTTTATATCCCTGTGGAAATAAAAATAAAAGCTTTAAAAATAATACCTAAAGTAAAAAAAGAAAAACTTATAAAATATAAAAAATTTTATATTTATAAGGTGTACTTTCTAAAGTTTAAAAAAATTATTAAATTAAAAAATATTATATTTAAAAAAAATAATAATAATAAAGTACCTTTGCCTACTTTACTATATTTACTAATTAATTTTAATAATAAAGGCCCTGGCGGTTTAGTTAGTTTTAATAAGTAATTTAAAATATAAAATTTTAATAATAATAATTTACAAGTGGCTAATAAAAATAAAAAGATTATTATAATTAAAAGGGTTTAAACCTTATCCCTAAATTTAGTGCTTCCTGCCTTAAAATCTATAAAATCTATATTAATAAAAAAAAAATTACTAAGCTATAAGGCTTAGTTAATATATTAATTAAGGCCACGTGCTTAGGTGTTTATTTAGTAAATATTTAAAAAAAGCGCCTTTAGCAGCTAAGTTAATATTAATTATAGCTATATAAAAAAAGTTAAAAAAGTATTAAAAAAAGAAAATACTCCTAGTATAAATTATATATAACTATTTAAAAAACTAATAGTTAAAAAAATAGTTAAGAGGGTTAAGAAAGTAAAAAAAGATATAAAAAAAAAATAAAAAAAAAGCAAGTAAGTAAATTACTAAGTTTATTTATTTTTAATAATATACTAGTATTCTTGCCTTGTAAAAAATAGGAAATATAAGTATAAAAAGTATTATAATTAATTAAAATAAAAAAAATAAAGTAGTTTTAAAGCAAGAAGTTTTAAAAAACTTACTATTTTTAAAAATTAATAATAAAACATGTATAGCCGTGGCTTAACGCTTTAAGGCTAAAATATAATATTATAAAAGTAAAAAAAAAACACTCCTAATTTATAATAAAAAATTTAGGGCTAATTTTGCCTAGTAAAAAAGCTAATAAAAAATAATTTAAATTAGTATGCTTTATAAATAAGCAAGCAAAGTAATTAAAGTAAAAATAAAAATACTATAATACTAAAAAAAAGTTAAAATTACTTAATTTATTAGCCTTACCTACACTGCTAATTCTAAATAATATTTATTTTTTTAAAACCTATAAAATATTAATTTTAAATAATTACAAAAAGGTAATAAGATTTCCCTAAAAAAAATACTAGATTAAAGTAATAAATAAGTAAAATATTAAGTTAAAAAATATTTTTATATAAAGATTAATTTCCCAATTTTTAGCTATTTAAAAAAAAAATTATACTAAAAAAATAGGTTTTTAATATTAAAAAAAATAAAAAAAATAATATTAAAAAGTTTCGCGCCCGCTAGGTTATATATAGTAACTTTTAGGTTAAAAATAATAGCTTAAAAATATATGCTTTAATTATTATTAATATACTAGTAAAAATTTATTTTATAGCTATTTATAAAAAAGGTTATTACTATATTTAATTTAATATAGTAACTACCTATCTTAACTTTATAATAAAATAAAAAAAGGTTTTTATAAAGTAACTTATAAGTTTAAAAAAAAATTTTATTTACCTACTCCTCCGCGCCTTGTATAAATTAACAAAAGTAATATATTTTTAAAATAAGATATTTATAAATATATTAAAAAATATAAGCCTTTAAAATATTAAAAAAAATTTATATTTTTTTTATTACGCCTACAAGGGTAGTATTATAATTATTTATATAAATAATACTTTAGTAGCAGCGCCTATAAAAAAAATTTATAAAAATTTTTTAAAAAAGTTAGCTAAGTATTTTAAGCTTAAAATTTTTAAAAAATTAAAATAGTTCCTGGGATATAATATTAATTTTATAAAAAAAAATACTTATTTTTTTTAAAAAACTTATATTTAAAAAATTTTAAATTAATTAAACTTTAATAAATTATATAGGTAAAGGGTTTTAATAAACCCTAGTTAAAAATACTTAATAAAGGCGGCTATTACTATATTTAAACTATTATAAAAAAAATATCCTAAAGTATTAATACTTAATAAGCAAGTTAAACTAAATATTTAAAAAAATAAGGCTAAATATTAAGTGCGCTACTATAAAATTATTAAGGTATATTTTAAATTTTTAAAATACTAACTTTGCCGTTGTTAAGCATATATTTTAATATTTTAAAAAGTATTAAAATTTTAGTATTTTTTTAAGTATAAATAATAAAACACTAGTTAAATATATAGATAATTTACATGCTAATTATAAAAAAAAAATTAATAAAAGTATATATATTTTATTTTTATAACACGCTTATTTTTTAAAAATTTATAAGGTAATTAATTATAGCTAAAAGTTTAATTTTAATAAAATTTATTATATTTAATATAATAATAAAAAAGGCTATTTAGCTTAGGAAGCTATATGCAGTGTTAAGGTTTAATATTAAAAAACTTATAATAATTTATATAAATTTAATAAATATAATTATTAAGTTAGGGAAACCGGGGTATACTTTAGGAATTAAATAAATAAATATTTAATACTTTTTAATAAAAAATTTTATTAAAAAAAATTTTATAAATTTTAAAAAAATTAATAAAACTAAAAACCTTATAAATAACTTAATAAAAACACTGGATAAGGTAAAGTTTTAAAGTTTTATTAAAATATTAAAGTTAGTAATAATAAATTTAGTATAAAAAATTAAAATTCTAGCTACTTAATTATTATATTTTATAATTTTTTATATTTTTATAAGTTTTATATAGCTTTAGTATATTAACACTAAAAAGCTATATTAAAGTAAAAAACTAGTAGGTTATAAAAGCTATTAAAAGCCTTTAGCCTAAATTAGCTTTATTTCCCGTGCTTATTTTAAAAAGGCTAGTATTATTATATATTACTTTTTTTATTAAAAATTTTATATATAAATTATTTTTTAGCTAGATTTACTTATTATTTTATAACATTATTATTTATCTTGTAATATTTTTATTTTATCTCGATAAGTAGCTCCTCTGGCCTCTCCAACAAATTAAGATGGTAAGGATTGCGGGGCAGGGCTTACACCCATGCCGGAGATAAGCCTGGCATACGCGTGCCTAACTCAGCCTGTATATCTTTCCAATATATTCAAGTGCGGAGAACTTAATGCCCAAGCCACCACAGGACCTAATCTACTCCCCCTTCGCCGCCGCATACTCCTCCTCACTAACAGCCCCCAACCACCTCGTCTCCCCCAACCCAACAACAAAATGCGTCATGAGACTCCCCTCATCCGCCCCATGCCAATGCGTCGTCCCCGCCGGCGCGAAGATAACATCCCCCGCCTTAATCCTTCTTGGCTTCTGACCCTCATCGCAGATCCAGCCCTTCCCCGTCGTGACTTTGATGACTTGCCCCTCTTCATGCGTGTGCCAGTGTGTCCGGGCGCAGGGGGTGAATGTCACGTTTGCAGTCGCGACTTTGGCGTCGTGGTGGATGAGTTCGAGGTACACGGTACCTGTGAAGGTGGCACCGGGGCCGACTTTGATGCTCTGCCGGGTTTCGGGGGTGGAGATTGCGGTGGACATTTTGGGGCTGGGCTGGGTGGGGTGTTAGAGCCATGCGTTATATGGGGTTTTGGGATGGGGTGCGTACTGGAAGTGTGATCTGGGGGGTTAGTTGGAATGGGGATGAGGAAGCTGGAGGCTTTGATGTGCGATGGCCGGCCTTTATACCTGTTTACCTGTTTACCGGTTTAAAAGGTCTGGCTTCGCATGATCTTTTCTTCTCCTCTGGCGATTCTCGTGGAGTCGTGCTGTTGGCTGCTTAACTCCGAGTCAGCTTCTCCTAGGGCTGGATACATACCCTAGTAACCCTACAGGTGGTTCGGACTGGGTCCGCCCCACCAGTATGCATCTTGCTTACGCGCTAACCTCGACCCATGGATGGTGCATTATGATAAGCTTTGGCGGACTGGCCGGATCTTGAAGACCGTATTGAAGTTCCGCTTGTAGATCTTTGATCACGGCGAAGGCTTGATGTGGGTAGGGATCTCGAGGGGAATTACTTGAGATTACCTACTTACTCTTGGATGACCTATCATGGTACATCGAGGACTTAACATCGAGGATCTGTGCCTCTGACATATTGGATTTGACTTGGGCGCAGCCGCTGTTAGTACTCAGCTCTGCAGTGGTTAAGATAAAACTTAACGAATGGTATGATGTCCATTGCATTTTACCAGCTTGATACCCAAGAACTTCTACATAAACGGTCTTTCAATGCATCCAAAGCCCCCTGTTCTGCAGTCAAACATAGAGCCTCATGCCAACATCGGGCATGCTTTGTACCGAGCCATCATGATCATGCCAACAAAACCCTAATTACACTACCGAAGGCGTAGGTTCATGCTCCCACCACCTGCACCTATACAGCGGAAAAGTCCAGACCAATCAGACTGGATATCATGCCATCCTCTCCACTGCTATTCCGGGAAAACTCTGAACGATCTCTTGCTATATATGTCGTTCTTGGTCCTGCGCAAACAACCAGCGTCTCAACTCTTCCGTATCTCTCCCCTTAACTTCTCTCCGCCGAACACACTACCTACCACAAGAATCTTCCTTCGAACAAACCATGCATTTTATCGTTATGGCGCTTATCTCTGCAGGAGCTCAATTCACCGGGTTCTTGCTCTTCTCCTGGGCCTGGGAGGAGTTTAGTCGTTGGTATCACAGCGAGCGCAAAGACTCCAGACCTCCTGGTATGTTCTACCGTGATTGTTCTGCTGTTTCTCCGGGAGTGAACCTTTATGGTAACGGGCTAATCGTCGTATAGGCTGGGATTGCCCTGATTGTACTTCAATGAAGTATGGCCGGATCTACGTCTAGGTAGGCAATAGGCCTGCAGGTGCTCATGTTCAAGATAGGAGTCTGATACGGTGGTACAATGGTCTACAATTTGCGCCAAACGGTATGACGAAGTAGCGGGTATAAGTTGGGATTGCTTGAAATGATGTATTCTCAGACTGTACTGTAGGGCATCGTCAATTGCACCGAAAATTGGAACAATTTCTTTCATTGAAGTACGTTGCATCCCGTAGAAGCGAGCGAGCTGCCTACCACCTTCTCCCCTCAAAGTCTGACCCGAACAGTCCGTCACTGTAGCTGATCACCCGATCCAGGCCGGTGAACTGCTGATCCAGCAGCATATGCGAGATTGACATCCCGTCTTCAGTACCAGCGCTCAAATCCAAGCCCGGCTGAAGCATAGCGTCATTTGCATCGTTTGGAATGCCGAGATTCATAGAGAAGGCGTTTGGTGTTAAGGAGGGTAATCTCTGGCTCTCAAAGACTGGCTGCGGGGGTATATTGTTGGAACTACGACTCTGATATTCTAGGTGAGGACTTGCCGCAAGCCGTTGACTGGGAGCGACGGATTGGCGACCTGGGAGAACGGCCTGAGTAGAGAGCAGCGGGCTCGTGTTGATATCTGGGACATACGGCTCACTGGGCAAGATATTCGACGGCGGTTGCAGGGCAGCCTCTGCATGTGATATCTCCGTGGTATACCCAGCGATGTTGAGCTGGAATGATTCTTGGGAGCATCTTCGATGGAGGGATATCAACGTGGATGAATACTTGGCTGGTAAATTGCTGGAATGACCTTGCGCATGGGCGCCGGCAAAGCGTGTTGCCATTGCGTCGAGACTCTGGATCAGGACCCAGAACTCTGGTGCCACACTGCCTAGGCTTGGACTGTGCTTCCAGTGCAGCAGAAGAGCCCTCGCTGCTATGAACACGCAGAATGCAAACTGGCTACTTAGGGGCGAAGTTGGCAGCGAGCTCTTGAGGTAGTGATTCGTGATGGACGCGACTTCAACAGCCGCCGTCTGACAGGTTTCCATACTACACAAGCTTGGTAGTCGGCTCTTGAACGGCCACTCAGGGAGAGGAAACGCGATTGGCTGATGCAGCAGAATCATGGATGCATTGTGAGTGACATGGGCCAGCGTGAGATTAGGATCCATCCTTGTTGAGCCCTGTTGCGCAACATTCACCGTCCACTTCTGAGGAAGCAGCATTTTCCAGTGGACTAAACGAAGATCAAGTTCTTTGAACCGGGTAAGCCAGGCGCCGAACTCTTTTTGGTCGTTGAGATTGACTTTCTGCTGCAAGAAGTATGTCGTTACGCGGCTTAGGGATTCCGTCGCTTCGATGCAGTAGGCATAGGCTCCGACGGTTGACATATCGACAGCCGAAAGCGTACCAGGAGAAGTGCCGGCCTCTGATGGAGCATCTGTTTCTTCCTCCGGTCGGGGTTGAGCTGGGCCTGGGGTTGGATGAGTAGGGAGGAAGGCTATGGGATTCCCGATCCGACCGGCAGACTTATCCCAGATGCCAAAGTAGGGCGTCACCACAGGATTCTCCTTGCGCCAGGTTATTCCATCGCACGGCAGCCGGCGTCGGACATCGTCCGCTGTGAGGCTGGTGTTCCATCCCATGCTCACCGAGCAGAATCGGTCCAGAACGAAAACCGCCCAGAAGATCCTCCGTCTCTCTTCAGCTTCAGTCCAATTTGTAGGTGCTGATAATAGCCTGTAGGGCTGGGAGAAAGGATGCTGCACTGCTTCATCATGTTCAGTGGTCAGTTGAAGATAGTCGACCATGCGTGACAGTGAGCCCACAAGAGGCCATGCCCGTGAGGCCCGACCGCTACTGATCTACCTCTTGTTAGCTTTGGTAGAGCTGTGGAGGAATCTCCTTACGTCGTCGGAGGCGACTATGATGAGCGCCTGCAGACTCTCGATCGATTGGTGCTTCATGGCCTTCGATACTAACCAATCTCTTGTATCGCCCGTGTCGCCCATCGATTTCTCCAAGTATGTCGCGGTATCATCGTCCTCCACGTATTTCCGTGCGACGAGCATCATAGACTGAACAATGAGATACAGCTTCTCTCGTTCAGAATCGTCCACAAGCCGCCTACGGAACCGACCTTCGTGGATGATGGGGGTCCACGGATGGACGTAGATGAAGTATGCCTCGAGAACATGGCTTAGAATGTCGTCCTCCGGTATAGGCGGGAGATCAATTGACCGGACTGCGCAGTGTGCTCCATTTTCATCGATCCGTCGGCGTTTTGAAGGCCCAGCATCCAAGCTCCCAGATTGCTCAAGCTTCTGAAGCCCGGCAGCGAGCGAAGAAAGGATGGTACGGACCGCCGAGTCCTTTCCACGAGGTAGCTCTGCTCCTTCGAAGCTCTCCAGCTTGGCCTGTTGTTTGTCCAAGGTTCGTTCCACGGCATCTGAAAAGATTGTAAGTAAAGACCAGGTGTAAAAAGGATTCGGACCCACCAAGTCTCCGATGGATATTATCCAACGCGCCAGCCTTCATGCCAGGCTTAGCCCGCTTCGCCTCGTAGTGGCATTCGGACGCCGTCTTCCGACAGTGCTGACAGGTCGGCAGCTCCCTTGAGCATCGGAGTTTGCGTCGTCGGCAGGAGTTGCAGGCATGGCCCACCTCGGGGCCGCGGGGTGTTTGATCGGGAGACCCCGATGAGTCTGGACCGTTGTATTCCTCCATTATCTAGCGAAATACTGCAGATTGGCAGTTTGAGATGGAGGTGACATGCGAATGTCTCGTTCTTAGGTTGAGATCCCCCGCATCTCGCAGCAATTAGCCCGAGGGCCGAATCCCGTTATTTGCCCGATTAGCCCTAATCCACCGACCGTCCGGGAGTCTGCCATGGCCAGCTCGAATGTACAAGAATATAAGATATTGGAAGCACTGTCCAAAGTTCTTCCGGTGGGTTTCGTCTGTATAATGACTGCTTTGAGTCTCTCGAGCAGTGTTTGCGACGAGCCATGGGCCAGGAATTTCCCACCCATTGGAGCAGGCCACCTCGGCACTCGGGCCATTTATTGCGGACGTCGGACTATTTCCGGCACTTCACTTTGGTCACCTTTTAAGGCGAAGGGCTGGGTTAGGTGTGGGTTGTTCTTTCCTCCGCTGAGATTTCTAGAGCCCTTCCTGCCGTTATCCCAGGACAACTCACACGCGCCCGGGCCTGAGTAACGTTATGTCATAGAAGCCCTCACCCGGCCAGAGCGGTGCTTGGCCTAACCAATTATCTTTCAAGCATGACCAATGGCTTGGCCCCTCCTAAGTATATTCTGAGCTTGGCCATCGCCCGAGCGGCCCTGGGGACCTCAGAACACAGTTCAGCTCACCTCGCCCAAATCGTCGAGATCCCTTCCATGGAGCAGATGGTTTCACTTAGCATGAGTAACCACACGAATGCTGTACTAGCCCGGATCGAAATTCTGATCCTGTGTCATCAACCCCAACAGGAAGAAAGTTTTATATCAGCATGAGCAACTACTTTAAATTCTGTACCAAGTCTGTTGAGGTGCCCAAGCGTCAGTCGCAGATAATACTACCCATGACATATTGAGATCCTGTATTGTACTGTAGCACTCGAAGTTTGTTTTGACTTCTGGCCAAGGTCAGAATATCGGCACATCCGGATATCGCCAGAACAGCACTGCATTGCACGTTTAGGCGTGATAGAAGTGACTCAGGACCTGCGCTTATCATAGGCAGATGTAATGGTGCGCCATCTGTACACAGCATATACACATAATAAGGTTGCACTTCGCAATGTCGGTCACCGACGCGCTGGGGCGATTGGTGGAGCAGAAGAGAATAAGCCGCACACTGTCTGGGTGGAGCATGTCATACCATGGATGGCAGATGAGCCTCACTCCCTCTCGTTTCCGGCTATTCTTTAAGATTAGTACGCAAGCTCTGTGTACCTATGCACATACCTCAAGTTTCAGATGCAATACCCCGCACATTTCCGGGTCCCCGCGCGTCCCGAGACAATTTTAAGTCACTAAGCCAACAGCACTACACACGCTCGAGCAATTGTATTGGTTTCCGCACTATATATTGCTGATCGAGCGAAGTGCAGTGCAGCCCTGCCCTTGACTACAGCCAGAGTACGCGTATACAGTGTAACAGAAAAGAAAGACACATCTCCGCGGGGTGAGAGCAAACGCAATGAAAGCGAAGCGAGGCGGGTAGTATAAGGCCTCCCATCCACGACGACTGCTAGAATTCAAACGCCTAGTTATGGATACTCTGTGGCACAAGTCGACGCAAGCGCATACATGCGATTAGCGGGGGATTGGACTGGGCCCGGATCGAATGTTGGAATCCCTGCCCTGTCCCTCCAAGCGTGGACTCGGCTTGCACGGCTCAGTCTGTGAAGTTAATTCGTAAGACTGAGGCAATAAAACGTTTCCTGAGCATCCTTAGAGGATGAATGCTGCTGAGGTTTGATAGCCCCGACTCCTGACTAATTGCCTCGCCACAGAAGTAATACTTGGTGAGGCCATTGAAGTGATTTATCCCGTATACCTCAGCCCTGGTGTTCTGTCCGTGCGTACATGGATGGTCGAACTGTTTACTTATACGCTGGGCCTAAGAGATGTCTGCGCAACACTCGCCCAAACGGCTCTCTCCCGGCCGAAGCATTTCTGAGCTCTTTTGAGCATATTACATGCTTACGAGCTCTTGTTCCAGGCAGGAGCCAACCAACCCTGATGAAGTACGTGACTCAGAGACGACGGCTGCAGATTGGAGTATTGCTGGAGAGCGTCAGCTTTGCTAATGGTATTTGCTTTTCGGATGCGCGGCCTTGAGGGCAGTAAAGGAAAGGATCTTGGAAGGGGGGGTATAAATTGGGCCCGGCCATCATGCATGGTACGAAGCAGCCACTTCCTCTCTGGTTATCCTGCCATCCAACACTTGTTAAAAGCCTGCTCGTTTTAGCTTATCTTGCTTCACACCTATATCCGAAACCCAAGCTCCCACCAGGAAACGGCGCCCAAAACATCTCGACGCCTTGACTCGCCTACAGCATCACTGCATATTCAAGCGCATGGTCTGCCACCATGACAACTCGAATCGACTTTGACAATTTGCCCATAGGCACAGATGTCACAACGCAGTATCATTCGCGCGGGGTGATGGTGCACAAGGGCCGAATTGCAAGTGATCCCTCGGCCTCGACCCCGACCCCGAACAAAGTCCTCCACGCCACAGAATACCGCGGCTCGGCCGAATTCCCCGAGGCTGTCATCGGGTTTAATTTCATCAGACATGACCATCAGTACATCGCGATGACAGCCGTCTCCAACCGCGCCGAGGGAGCCGGCGGGATGCTCAAGGCATTCGACTCGACGGGCAGGGTTTTGATAGAGCGGGACTTCGGGGTCCCTCCAGGCTCGCGCTCTGCATTCGGCGAATTCTACTCGCCGACGGCGACGATTGCCTCGTTTGAGATTGCAGGCCTCGCGGATCGGTTTGTCGACATCGATAGTCTGGTTTTCGATGATCCGACGGAGCCCCTGACGCCGGATTTCCAGCTCGTGTCGACGAACCCTCGTGCGTTGGGGGTTCATCATTCGAAGACCACTGAGGTGAGGATCAACGTGGTTCGCATCCATGGGTCGAGGGGGGCGATTCGAGTATTTGCCAGTGAGGTTCCTGATGGCGTGGTGGTGTCTTCCATCGTCCCGCATTATGTGACGGACGGGGGCGATTTATCGTTCTTTACGCTGCGGCTTACGGCCACGAGAGACGCGGATGCAGGACTTGCGAGGCCGCTGGTGATAGCTGCGGAGCCGGGCATACGCACCGCTGGGACTGTTCCTCATACAATCAGTCTTGAGGTGGTCATCCAAGATGCGTATGACGTGCAGATTGTTGGGATGGAGGTGACGCAGTGTATTCAAGCTCGCACTTTACCGAAGAAGCCAACGCCCCAGTCGACAGCGCCAGTGCCTTACCAGGGAGGAGAAAGCCCGCAGGTATTCCTTGCTGCTGGGAAGCTGACGGTTGTCCGGGTCTTTGCCACCTGGAGGCAGCTGCCCAGGTCGGGCTCGCCGCCGACAACGTACGAGTGCCGCTTGTGGGGACGACGGAACGGCGAGGACCTGCCTGGAGGCCCTCTATCGAGCCTCCGGCCGCTTAGGATTGGGATCGAACGCGGCACGGACGGTGTCACCGATGCTCTGCGATCTGACCCACGCGCCGGTGCCATCTTCACCCTCCCAGTGGCATGGACGGCGGACGGCGCGATCGAGCTGACCGCGCAGCTGATCAATATCAACCTCTGGCCGACCCCAGACGCCATCGACCTGGAGCCGCGCAATGACTCCTTTACCCTGGCAGGGGTTGTATTCCGGGCGATGCGGCCCGTCGAGGTCGTCCACGTCAAGATGGCCATCGAGGCATGCGACTCGGGCTACGTGAACCAAATCAGCGAGAGCATCCAGGGCTGCCGAACGCTATTCCCCGTCGCCGACAACCACTTCACTGCGAGGGACGTCGGCACCATGCACATTGACGACATCTACGCCATGACAAAGGAGTCCTGCGGCATCTTCGGCTGGGCCACATGCAGTGTCGGCCCCATGGAGCGCGGCGACATCGCCTGCGACCTGCTGCGGGACTTTGTAGACGACAACTCGGCCTCCATCGACCTTGACAACGACCCGCTAATCCTCGGCACACACGCCGCAGGGGGAGCCATCAACGGAAACACATCGCGCTCATTCCTGTGCCTGACGGTCTCCGTCGCGGAGGACCGGGACCGCCCACTCACATCTGTCGCGCACGAGCTCGGCCACGCCGTGGACCGCAGCCACGCCGGAAAGGCTTGCAGCGCCCCAGACGCGGTAAGCTGGCCGCCAGACGACCGCGGGCTGATCCAGGGCGTCGGCTTGGACTGCCGCACCCTGCGACTCCTGTTCCCGGACGACCGGAACGAGTTCTTCGACTTCATGAGCTACTGCGGCAGAGAGGGGAGCGGCGATCCCGAGCACTGGATCTCCCGGCGCGGCTGGCGAGAGACCCTCCAGCACAATCTGCACTTCGAATGGCCCCCACGAGATCCACGTGCGCCGCCGCGTTATCTCGTCGGGGATAGCAGCAGAACAAGCGCACCGGGCATCATCGTCCAGGCGCGCGTCCGGAAGGAAGGCCACGTCATTCTGACAAAGGTGGCCCCCGTCGTCGGCAGAGCCCCCATTCAAGCAGAGGCGAAGGAGGAATCGGCGTACGAGATCATCGTGCAGGACCGCGCGTTGAACGAGCTCCACCGCGTGCACCCAGTTCCCATTGACGACGCCGCATGTGCCGGGGACGCGCGGTCCTCCCTGCAAGCCGTGGTCCTGGTAAAAGACTACTCGGAAATCGGCGCCGTCGAAATCCACAAGGACAGTACGCCCGTGGCACGCCGAGTCCGCGCAGTTCACCCACCCATCGTCAAGGACGTCAAAGCCCACCTCGACTCGGCAGACAACCCGCAGCAGTGGACTGTTACCTGGACAGCCACCAGCCAAGCAGAGAGCGAAAACCCTCTCAGCGTGAAGATCGACTACTCGAGCAATGGCGGCAGCAGCTGGACGCCGCGGTATTACCATCCACGCCGGAACGAGGGGGTCGCCAAACTGCCCAATCTGTACTTCTCCAAGGCCACGGGGAAAAGCGGCATGGTGCGCGTGAGAGTCTCGGACGGATTCAACCTGGTCTCGGCGGTATCTGCGGGCTTCGATGCGCCCGGGTACAGTCCCATTGTTCGGATTATTACTCCTGCGGCGAGTGGGCAGGCTTTTCTACCTGGGGCGTTTGTCTATCTCCACGGTGAAGCGTATGATGATAGGCAGGAGTACCTTACGGGCAAGTCCCTTATATGGTCCCTGGACGACAAAGAAATCGGCCACGGGAATGTAGCGGGGACTAAGATCGCGCAGGCGGGGAGTTATAGTATCCAGTTGAAGGCGATAGATAGTCACCAGCGAGTGTCTATTGCGATGATTAAAGTTGTGGCCAAGTCTGAGGGGTGGGATGATGGCAAGGTCTGAGAAAGGAGAACTCAGGCGTCAATCATCTCTTTGCCTGATAGTAGTAGTAGTAGTGATATTTAACGCCCCGGGGATCGCTAGGCGTACGCCTAACGTTCCAGACCTCCCTTAGGGTATAGGGGCGTGCCGCCGCTAGGTAAGTAGCCTATTTAAACTATATATAAAAAGACTTTTTATTTTAAAGGGTAATTTTTACTAAAGCTTGTAGGCCAGGTGCCTATTTTTTACTTATTATTTTAATATATAGCTATTAATAAGTATTATTTATTACATGCTTAAAAAATTAATTATAGTAGTTTACAGGGTCCAGCCCTTATATAAAAAAATTATATTAAATAAACTAGTTATATTAAAAAAAGGTGTTTAAAATAAAAAAAAAAATATAGTATAATAAAAAAAAAAGAATTATTTAGTACTAGACTAAATAATCCTAGTATAAGGGGCTATTAAAACACGGGAAGTACTAGCATAAGTAAATAAACTTATAAAAGTTTATAATTTTTAATAAAAATATAAAGGCCTTAGGCTTTAATTTATAAAGGTAATTTAAGGCCTTAACCTTAGTTATTAATAATATTATTAAGCACTGGGGCTATTATAAAAAACACTATTTAAAGTAATAATAAAAAACTAGGTATTTAAGGCTCTTACTCCTCCCGCAGGAATAAGTAAGCTTAATATTTTTATACTAAAAGTATTTATAATATTACTTAAAGTTTTTATATAAAAACCTAAGTACTAGTTATTAATATAAAATAAGGTGCTTTAGCACTAGTTTTAGCTATATTTTAATTTAATAGGGCTTTAACTTTATAATAAGCTACTACTTATACTAGGCTAATAATTTTATAAAAGTACCTTTTTATTACTTAACCTAAGTAGCGTGGTATATTTATTTATATAGGTTATATATTTTACTTATAGTAAGTTACGCCTTTAGGAAGTTAATATTTAAAGGGCGTGCTTTTAATAAAATAGCTTTATTAGCTAGCTTATTAGCTAGTTTATTTTTTTTAATATTTATATGGCCAGGGGACTATTATAAGTAAACTATATATTAATTTATAAGCTAGTATAGTACTTAAAAGGCTTAATTAAAAAATAGTAAGGGCTGCCCGCGCGCACATTAAATTATTAAAATATTATTTATATAAAGCTAGTATACAGGAGCCCCGGGAAGTTTTTTAATTATTATTTTTAATTTTTAAAACGCGCTAATAACCTTAATATTATATATATAAAACTAGGTGTTAATTATTAATAATTTTTATACTTAAAAGTATTATTTATAGTACACCGCGAAGCTATAGCCTATATAATAAATTTTTTAATATATTTATTTAAAATTATTACTAAAAATTACTACCTTTATTATTAATAATACTTACTATTATTATTTAAATTTTTTTATAACTAGCTTTTTAGCCCTGCTACTAGTAAGATTTTTTAGGTATTTTTAAAAGTAATAAGGGTGCGCTAGAACTAGCCTAAAAGTTTTTAAAAAAAGTGCTTTTATTATTTATATTTTTATTTTAGGCTTTTAATATAAGCTAGCGCCCTAACTACGCAAGATTTTTAATAATATTACTTATATTATTAGCGGGTTTTAGTTATTAACTAGCCTTAGCCTTAAGGTAAAATATAATCACACTTTTTTTAATATTACTATTATAAAGAAAAGCCTAGTATTTTTAAAAAAAGTTACTATAAGTATTATTTAATAAACTAAAAGTATACCGCGAGTGGCTAGTGCTAGGGTTTTTTTAACCATCTTAATATACTAGCTTAATTAAATCTTGTGCATGCCTCCCGGGCTTAGTTTTATTATTATATTATATTTTTATATTATATAAAAGGCTAAAAATAATATAAGTAATAATTATTTTATAAAAAAAGTTTGCGGGTAAACCATGTATAATATATATTAAATTATAAATATATTAGGTTATCACGCGGGCTTTAGCTACCTACTTTATAATATATTAATATTAAAAAAGTTATTTATTAAAAAAAATACTTAATTAATATAGCACGGGCTATTTCTAGCCTAGTATTATAATAATAAAAGTAATTATTAGCTAGTTATTAATTACTAGCAAGGGTGATTTACCATGCCGCTTTTAGGTAATATATAGTATTTTTAGCTTTTTAAATATAAAAGCCATCTTATTTTACTTTTTTTAGGCTAGTATACTATAAATATTTTTTACTAGATACTTATAATTAATATAAAAAAAGTTACTTGTATAATTAAAATAAAAATTATTTATATAGCTAAAGCGCAGGATTAAATTTGCTAGTAGTAATTTAATAATATATAATAAAAATAATACTAGGGAGAGGGGCAAGCCTTATAATATATTATAATATACTAGGTATATTATTATTATAATAAATTTTAAGCATACTTTTATGCTTTATTTACTAAAAAAACTTATAATTAAGGCTAAAAACACGCGAGGCCAGCCCTGCTTTATTATTTTTTAAAGTAGGTATTATAATAAAATAGTATTAAAAATACCTAAAATATTTATAATAACCATGGTAACCTTCTAGTTCTGTAAAAGCATTATTTTTATATTATAGGTAAATAAGGTTATTAAGTTTATGGCTAATTATTTAAGTAAAGTATTATATTATTATAGGCTTAGCACCCCTTGCACTAGTATAATAAAAGTAATATAGTATATTATTATTTATTTAAGTTTTTTTTTTAGTATTAATAATAGTACTATAAGGCGCTAGAAACAGGGTAAGAATTTATTTTTTTTATTATTTTTTAAAAATATTACTACCTCCGCGAGCTTTTATAATAAAAAAAAGTATTTTAATTATAGGTATTAGTTATATAGCTTATAAATAGCCTTTTTAATATATTTTTAATAGGCTTTTAAAATATAAATAGTTACCTGGTTTACTCCGGGAGAGATACTGCTTATATTAATAGTATTTTTTTTAACCTTTTTTAATAAAATTTTTTTTAGCTAGTAAAGGTGCTTATTTCCCTGCTAGTGTTTTAATGCTAAAAAATTAAAATTTAAATTATTATTTATGCTAAAGCACTTTAGTATTATTTTTTATAAAATATTAGCCTTTTCCCGCGTGTTTTTAATTACTTTATTATTTATTAATAATAAGGGAGCCTTAAGCCTAGGCTTTAACTTATACCATGCTATTATTTAGTATAATTTTTAGTTATTTTTAATATTATTAATTATTTTAGTTTAGTACGCGTGTTTAGTCCTGTAAACTATAATTAAAAATTACTTTTTTTATTTTAGGGTAAGGTTTGCTACCTAGGCTTTATAATTTTTTATATATTTAATTAATTATTAAGGGGTGCTACGGCTTTCTAGGTTAGGGTATTTATTAACTACTTATATAGCTTTTATAATAATATTACTAAAAAATTTAATATATTAATTTAGTGCCTTCGCGTCCCTAAGTTTCCCAGGCTAGGAAAAAAATATTATTTTATTTTTAATAAGTTTAGCTAAGTATTTTAATTTATAATTTAGTATACTATAATAATATTATTTTAGTGTTTTCTCCCCGCGCCCTAGTATTATAGTAATTAAAGTTTAATAGTTAAAGCTATTATATAACTTAGGTATTACTAGTATATAAGTAAAAAAAATATTTAAAAAAGTTAAGTTTAAAATATAACTAGCTTTATATATAGCCATGCCTAGTTTATTAATATAATTAATATTATTATTACTAGCCTATTTAGTAATCTTACCGCCGTGGTATAAGTTATTTACTTTAGGCTTAAAAATATTATAGGTGGTATTAAGGTCCCTGCTAATTATATAATTAAGGGTAGGGACTAGTATAATTAAGTAGTTAATTATTTTATAAATAATTAATTTTTAATATATATTTAAAACTTTAATATTATTTATTATAAGCTAAAACATATCCTAGCTTTATACTAAGTAATACTATTTAATATATAATATTCCCCCTTTATAAATATAAGTAAGTACTTTAAGGTGCTTTTTTAGCTAATTTTTATAATTATTTTAGGTATTTACTAATATATAGTACTTATATATTAAGTAATTTTAAGTTTTTATACTTATGGCAGTCTAGGGCTTTTAAATATAAATAATATTATAATTTTACTTATAAGCTAGTTATAAAATTATAATATAACTAGGTATAAATTTACTTATATTTACTTAATAAATAATAAAATCTTATTATTATTAAGTATTATTATAATAATAGTTACCGCGGTACTTTTTTTAGTACTTTAATATTAAAGCTTAAAAAAAATTTTAGTATTAACCTTTATTACCTAGGGTAAAAAAGGTGTGCCTGTATTAGCTAGGATAGGTTAAATTAATTTAGTAAAAAGCTACCTAAGGTTTTAATTACTTATAAAAGCATTAAACCACAGGGTATAGTAATTAATAACTATTATAAAACTTTATTTATTTACCTTTAGCTTTTTTATAGCATGCTTCTAGGAATTCTTCTAGGGTAAAAATCTTATAATCTTTGCTTAAAGCTAGGTATTAATATTTACTTAGGTATATATATTTTAATACTAGTAGGTGTTATAGTAGTATATATTATTAAGTTTTTTTTTAAATAAATAAATTAAAGTTTTATTTTTATACCTAGGGGTTACTAAATAATTATTATATTTAGCTAGCTAGGGGCCTAGGTAGTTTATATAATATATAGGGTTTTTATAATTTAGGCTAATAAAACCTAGGTAGTTTATAATTATTATATTATATTATATATAACATGTTATATAATTATAACATGCTAGGTGGTAGTATTTTTAATAGCTAGGGTTATATTAAAAAACTAGCTAGTATTTTTTAATAAGTTAGTAGCGCTTGCTTTAGTTAAATAATATAAAGGTTTTAGGCTACTTTAAAAAAAAAACTACCTAGGTAATACGCCTGGTATTAAGATTAAGCCTGTATTTTAAAAAAGCAAGTTTAATTAGCTTTAGTTTTATTTAGGCTATAACTTTATTTTAAATTAATTTAATAATATTTATTTTACTATTATTATATACTAAAATAGTGCTAGGCACTTCTTACACCATGTAATTATATTACTTTTAAAAAATATATATATTAATAATACCTAGGGTATAATAAATTATACTAACCACTTTTTTAATTATTAAAAAATTTTTAATAAAAAAGTTATTAAAAATAATAGCCTAGCCCGTGTAGGTAGTATTAATTTTAAAAATAACTATAATTATAATTAATTTTAGTATATACTTAATAAGGGCTTGCTAAATAATATATACCTTAAGATATGTTATTAGCTTATTATTAAAAAAGGTAATTAATACCCTATAGTTATTTTACATGGTTAAGGCTATAATAAAGTTATTATATATTAATTAAGCTACTAAGGTACTTAATAAAGGCACCTTGCCTAAGGTAGTATTAGTTAAGGTAAAAAAACTTATTTTAAAAGGGGTAAATTAAGCCCTTAAGTTTTTAAAGATTAAACTTATTTTTTTTTAGGTAATAGTCTTACTAAAGGTTATTATAATAATAGGCTAATTATATATATATAAAAAAATATAATTAATATTATTAATATTAGTATAGCCCTTTAAAAAAATAAAGTATATAAATTTATTATAAATATTATAAGTAAAGGCTTTTTAATTTTAAGTTTTTTACCTAGTTATAAAGTTATTAATAATAGCTATAAAACTTATAAAAACTTTATATTTAATATATATTTAATATTTTTACTTATTAAGTTAATTATAAAGGGCCTTTATAACTAGGCTAGGTTAAAAAATTAGCATATTATTATTTTTAATAATAAAAAAAAAATAGGCTTACTAGGGCCCTTTTTTTTTTATTTTTTTATAATATAAAGGTTAAAAAGAAATAAGAAATTTTATAGTTAAGTAAAATTAGCTAAATTAAGGCTTGTAAGCTAGTTAAAAATATATACCTTAATTTTAGTTATTATATTACGGGGAGTAATAAAAAAGGGAAAAAAAAATTAAAATTAAAATTAAAATAATAAAAATATATATTTATAATAGTTTTAAAGTGTCTGGAGCCCTTATTCAAAGGTACCCCTAGATTACTAAGAGTTGTAAAGGTGATCTCTTTGCCTGATGATACTGGCACCAGCTTTATTTCTTAGTTGTGTATGGAAGCCACTATATTGCGGTTCTAATATTCAAAAGCTATCTCTTTGTCAGTAGTTCAATGGTTTGGTTTATGCACTCCATGGTATTTGTTGATCAGAACAGTTTTTGGTAGTTAGATTGAGAATGGCAGAACGTCCTTGCTTGTCTTTACCCAAGGGACTCAATTCACGAAATAGAGAAAGCTTGCTCACTCACCTAGGAGAGTACTACTTGCTTAGATATTGGCAGAATATCTAGTCTATAACCTCGGAGCACGCAATCTCTGCCTGTTTAATAATAAAGCTGTTTTTGACCCTGTACATCCGGGAGAGGCTTTATAGACTCTACAAGCTTTACAGACTCTACAGACCATACTCCAATCCAAACAAAAGCGGCTCTCGCGGTTGTGCTCGACAATGTGTCGCACTTGTTGTGGCCGCTATATTATCCAGCTACAACCAGCTATAACTATAAATAAACCATAATAAGCTTCAAGATACCTAAACAATATTGGTTAAGCCTTGATGTGTTCACTGTCGAGGTTGTGTCATCTACCATAGGTCGCCATCAAAAAGAAAGCCGCGTCATGACAGCAGGGTGTCGCATCATTCCCTCTCAATTCTTCAAGTCTGGCAACCCATTCACGACATTCATACACATCTGCAATTTCCTTTCTGTTTATTGCCTGAGAGACTGGGGGACTACATGTGTGTATGGCTGCCCGAGGCCTTCGGGTTAGGGCTAAGTACGGGCTTGCCCTGAGAAAGCTGGAGTGCAACAAGACATTCCAACCAAGTCTTGCTATTTGGAATCATAGAACGATGCCAAATACATAGTCCCATCGTCAACATTTCTCCAATTCTAGCATCCACACCACTCCCCACCCCATCACTCCAACAACCTCGCAATACTATGCAACCGCAACCCATGCGTCCTGGCCACATCATGCACACACTGCTGCGCCGTCGCCCCATTCACATCCAACGTGGCCAGATTCGGCCGAACCCCAGCCCCATTCCCCGCGCGCACCAGCCGAATCAGCCGCCGCGCATGCTCATACCGCTTATACCGCCGTGCAGCCGCATGCTGCGCCGTCAACACCCCCAGCGCAACACTATTATTCAAGCCCTGGATCTTCGTCTCCAGCGCCGCAACAATAACATGGTGCAGTGTTCCGCCCCACACGCCGCCACCGACAACAGGGCCAACGGGGTCAATGTTGCCGTCCATCCGCACGGCCGCGGCGATGAACCGCCATTTCCGCTGCGCCTCGTACGGCAGACTGCGCAGGCCGTCCGCGGAGCGCAGGAACAAGTCGGCGTTTGCGCCGGCGGCGAGGAGTTTGTTGAATTTGGCGAGCTGGTTGTTCTGGCAGGCTGTTTGGAGAGGTGGGTCGAGGAAGGCCGCGTTGTTTGGGTAGGCGTCG